AAATCTAAATATTTTAAAATTGCTTAAAAGCTTATTTTAGCGCTTTTTAAAAGCTAATTTTTTTCCTAATATATTTTATTAAAATTAGCCGGTATTTTAATTTATTTTAGGGTTATTCGCTTATAATTAGGGTATTTTTAAAATAATATTATAATCCATAATTTTTATAATATCGCATTTAAATCCTTTTTCGTGGTTTTAAATATAAATTTAAATATACGTAATTTTTATACTTATAATTCCGTTTTTATACGATATAAATTTTTTATTAATAATATTAAATACGTAAGGCGTTTTTTTTTGCTTTTATAATATTTATAAAGCGTTAACGATTATTAGCAAAATAAAATTTCCTTAAGCTCCCGTATTTATTAAAGCTCGTATTTTTTAATTTATAATTTTAATCTAAATCGTAAAATATTCGTTAATATTAATGCTATTTATAGCATATATGGATTTTTTGGTCGGGGTCTATTTTTATCGCTTTAAAAGTGCCCATAGTCGTTTCCTGAATTTTTATTAATTCGTTTATTAGCTCGTCGTATTTTAGCGGCCGTATATACCTATTATTTTAGTATATTTAGATTTTTTTTGGCTTATAAGGGTCAATTTCCGTATTATTTAGATAATTCGCCTATTCTTTATTATATATTAGGGGTATTTTTTTATTTTTTATTATTTTTAAAGGGCTTTTTTAGCTTTTTATATTTTTAGTATATAAAATATAAATTAGTAATAGTCCTAATATAGGTTTTTTTTATTTTTTTTATTATTTCGATAATTAGTCGTAATAATAAATTAATTATTAAATATATAAATGGTTCGTATTTATTATTTATAGCTTATATTAAATTTTCGGTATTATCGTTTTTTAGTTAGGTAGCTATAACGCGGATGCGTTTTGCTGCTTTATATTTTTTAAAAAGGTGCTATATTTTGATTTTTTTTATTGCGTAATATTTATAATTATAATATAGGCATTTTTTTTATTTTTTATCCCCGTTTTTTAGGTATCGGTTTAAATTTTATAATCGTATATAAAGCACTACGAATCCTCGAGGGTCGATATAACTAATTTCTATATTTTTTATTTTTCCCGCCTTAAAAGGGTGGTAAATGGCGTTTTTATTATATCGTAAGGGGAATATCCCTTTTTAGATTTTGTTTTATAGGTATATATTATAACCGGGGTCGATATACCCGTATTATATTACGGTATTATATGCTGGGTGTGTGTGGGTAAGCTTTATGTTATCTCCTATTGCTATTTTTAGGGTTTGTTAGGTTTATAAAGTATTAGTTTTTTTTTAAAGGATTTTTATAAATTATAATGCGGTGTTTTATTATTTTATTATAATAATAATTGTATTATAAACGTAGCTAGTTCCGTTTTTGGATATATAATCGATAATATATTTTTCGTTATTATTTTGGATAAATTTAACGAGTTTATTTCTTTTTTGCTCGTTAGAATTTATATTAATATCGATATTTTTTTCGCAATTAAAAGTGTTATCGCATAAATTTTGCTGGTTCTGGCCTTTTGCTTATTTTATTTAGTGGTATGCTTCGTTTTTTAAGGCATCCGAAAACGTATAATCGTTATTATTTTAAAATTGCTTTTATTTTTTAAAATATACGGTTTTTTTTAGTTATATAGCTGCTAGGGTTTTCCGTTTTTAGGGGTATTATTTATTTTTATCCTTATTAGATTTATGCGTTCGGTATCCGTCGTCGAAACACGCCGTCCAGGAAAGTAATTCGTAAGGTATATTATTCCTTTTAGTGCTATTAAATTACCTTTTGCCTTTTAATATTAGCTTAAATTTTGATTTTTTAGGTTAGTAATATTCGCTAGTATAATATTTTATTTTATCGCAATTATAGCATTTAATTTTAAATTTGTTTTTACGTTAGGTAGCGTTAAAGTTTATTTATTTGCTATAGGTTCCGTATAATATTTTATTATGCTAATCGTTTTTAGGTCGTTAGGTATTTCGTTATTTATTTATATTAGCGTAATTGCGTTAAAAACGTGGTATAGGGTGGTTCCTTTTTTTTTCGTTTTATCGAGCGTATAACTAATTATCGATTTTAACGGTAAATTCGCTATATTTACTAAATTCGGCTAATAATTTAAGGATTTTATTAAATTCGTCCTTAATATTATTTTTAAATTTTCGATAATATAATATAATTTTAATATCGTCGGTGCATTTTATTTTAATAATTATGCGTTTAAAATCTACCGTATAATTAAATGCGGATTTTTTTTATTTAAGGTTTTTAAGTTTTTTTTTAGCTTATCGTTTTTTATCCGGATCCTAAAACAAAAATCGAAGCGCTGCTTCGAATCTTATATAATTTTAAAAAATATTTTAAGTTTCCGCTTTATATAATTTTATTTGCTATTCGTGCTTAATTATATTTAAAAAGTAAAATTCGAATTAGGCAAATGCTCGTTTTTTAAAATAAAACGTAATATAAAGTATTTTTTATTTTTTTATTATAAATTGGTTACCGTAAAAGGTTTAATAAGCTCGGATTTAGGCTAGGAATCCTTAGAGTAATCCGGGGGTACCGTTAAAGGCCGCTAATATATTAAGCTTAAGCTTTTTGGAATAAATTAGGGTAAAAATAATATTAGCTATTTTAGCTATAGCATTATTAGAATTTTATAATTTTTATATAATTTATCCTATTTAGGCTTTGCGTATAAAAAAGGTGGTTTTTTTTTTTAAATACGCGGATTTTTTTAACTAATTTTATATATTAAATTTTCGTAAATTCGAAGTTATTTTTTTCTATTTTTTGCGTAAGCAAGCGCTAGGAGTATTTAAATAAAAAAAAAAGGAATTTTTCCGGTTAACGATATTCTGCTAAATATTGCTTAAGGTTTTTTTTAAAGGTAATATACCTAAATAAAAGTAATTAAAATATAACGATTATATTATAGGTTTTTAAAATAAACCTAAAATATAAAAAGTATTAAGGTTTATGCTAATAAAAAACGATAATTTTAAAAAAAGGTATTAAGTAATAAATATTTAAAAATAAAAGTAATTAGATTAATTTACAAATATAGTCGTTAAAGCGTATTAAATACTTTATTTATAGGTAAAATAAATGCTTAAATTAATTATTAAAGTAATAATTATTTATATAAGAAATCCTTTTATAATATATATCTATTTATTCCCTTATTAATATTTTTTGGATTATAATACCAAGCCGATTTTATAGTCCTAAAATCGATAAAATTTAATAATCCTAATAATCTAACCGCTTAGATTATTGCCAAGATTATAATCCTGTTAGGCAGCTGGCTGGCAGCTGTTAAAGATGGTGGTTCCCGTTTTGACCTGTTCCCGGCTTTCGGTGCTAAGCCCCTCCCTTTTTTCCTTAGGCGCCAACACATTTGTTTGTTCTTATGCAAGGGTGCATGTTCGTAATAGTATAAAATCGACTCGAAAACCCGATTATTACGATAAATTAGCTTTAAAAAATATACGCAAATATAAAATAAAAGTATATAATAATTATAATTTACCGGTAAATTAATAATTTAAAAAAGCTAAAATTATATAGCTAAAAACCGCGGGAAAATATAAAAAATCCCGTAATATAAATCCTATTTACGCGCTATTATATAATTTTAATTAGGCCCGATTAGGAATTAATAATTTTAAATCGGGTTAATTATAGCAATTACGATAATTTTGGCAATTACGTAAATTTTTTAGCTAAATACTAATTATAAATAATAAAAATAATTTTAAATATTTACGGTATATTACGGTGTTTTTTAATTTTACGATCTTGCTATTGCTAATTATTTTGCTATAAATTACGGTATTTTTTAACCTTATAATCTTGCTGTTACTAACGATTTTGCTATCGCTTACGGTTTTGCTATTGCTAATATTTTTTTTGCGTAAGCAAAAAAAATCTGGCTGACAGGGTCAGCTAGTAATTAAGATATTATAGCTTTATTAAATCACAACTCAACATATTGCTAAACGAGATGTACCCTAATCCCAGCGAATCTCTGCAGTTATTCGTGATACATTATCTTGCGGTCTGTTGGGGATTGTTGACAGGCTGCATCAAGTTCGTGTCAAGGGCTTGTAGTACTGTATTCAGCCGCCCGTTTCTCCGAATTTCTGCTCAAGTGCACTGTATTCGAATTAGTATATTCAAGTGATTTATTGTTATAAAGCTCAAATCATCTAGGCTTATAAAAAGAGGTTATTTCTTCTAATAAAAGGGGAGGGGAATCCGTTGTTTATGGTGGCTTGATCAAACTTATCACTGCTAACATAATGGTTTGCTCTACGACCGGTTCCCCACTTCTTGCTCTCCGCCAAACCATCCTACTCAGTGGATTGATCAAGCAAGCGATTCCCCACTATATTCACAGAAAAAACGCGACTGCATCAAACCCCCATAGATGTGGTGACTCGGGTGATTGTGGACTCGGGAATGTCGTCTTTTTCGGACAATGACAAGATTGAATTCTAGAATTCTAGATTTAATGCTAGATCTTATCGTGAGCGGGTCAGTTCGGGAAACACTGTACCGACCAGAGGGGACTGCGACTTGCGTGGCTTGAGTAGATTTCTATGATGATTCCCAACAAAGTCCCGAGGTGATCGGCCCGGGAGTATATTTTAGTGGTCTCGACCCCACTAGCGTCGTCCTACCGCCGGCCGCGGGGAGCCCACCAAGCAGTTTAGTAGCGCACACCAAAAATCTGGTGTGACTGACTCTTTTTTCTCTGTCCCTAGCCAATACCTTAGTAATCTTGTCCTCTTTTCTTCCTTCTTCTTCACCATCTCTTTATACAGTAGATAGCCAGCACGACTCTACTCTTGCGTCGCCAGACGGTCCAGCCTGGAGAGGAGCAAAAAGGAAGAGGCCTTGCCTAGAGAAACAAATTCGCCCGAGCCCGCCTGGTCAAGACTAGTTGCACGCACCTCCATTGCTTCACAGTCGAGAACATGGCCGGCAATCAATCGGACATGGATGTAGAGGGCGATAGAAAAGTTCCGCACCAGACGAGTGCCGACGCTGATACTGTCACTGCTGCTGATGAGCGAGGCCAGAATGCCGGCGGCGTCCCTGCACCCATCGAATACGATGTCGCGCGCGTCGAGAGAGTATATCGCAAGCTCGACCGTCGGATCATTCCTGGTAAGCAGCTTGGAAAACCATCACTAGAAATTGGACCCATGCTTATCGCACATTTAGCTTTCTGGGTCTTGTACTTTCTCTGCTCGGCCATTCGATCCAACATTGGTCTGGCCCAGACGATGAACACTGCATCTGGCCATAATCTGATGCAGGTCCTGCACTTGAGCTCAAAGGACGTCTCCACGGCATTGGCTCTGTTCTACGTCTCCTATGTCATCTTTGATATGCCCTCAAATCTCATTCTGAGCAAGCTAGGCCCACGTGTTTGGATGGCTAGAATCGTCTTTGCCGTTGGAGTGATAGGAGTCTGCTTCACCGCTGTCAAGGCAGCTTGGAGCGTCAAGTGAGTTTACTCGAAAGGGTTTCATCATGTGAGAAAGACGAATGACCACTTGCTTACACACGGCCAGGCTTCTTCGATTCCTCTTAGGTGTAGTCATTGCCGGCATGTGGCCTGGCATGTCGTACTACTTGACCTTGTTCTATCCGCCATCGCGAACGGGTAAGCGCATCGGACAATACTTTACGGCAGCACAGGTCTCGGCTGCCGTAGTCGGTCTCGTCTCGGCCGGCTTTCAGAAGATGGACGGCTTGGGTGGTCTGGTTGGCTTTCAGTGGATGTTTCTCATTTACGGTCTTTGTGCTGTGGTGCTCGGTGTCGTGTTGCTCTGGTGGCTACCTGACCGCCCGCTGCCTCCTGGCGAAACCCGAGTGCGCAAGGGTATCTTCAAGTGGATGCCGAAAACGCCCGAGGCCTTGACCGGTGAAGACGCCCTTGTCCACTACCAGGACCTCAAGCGTGTATATCACCCAAGACCCTGGACACTCAAGGATCTGGGCTATGTTCTCATTGACTGGAGACTCTGGCCCTTGACTTTGATGTATTTTGGCGTCGTCGGTGTTGGCATTGGTACGCAACTATATGGTACCGTCATCATCCAAGGCATCAACCCAAACTTCACCGGAGTTCAGCTTAGCTTGCTGTTTGCGCCCATCTGGATTGTAAGTCGACACCGGCTCGTTTTGGACAGGGTCAGAAATTCTAACAGGAATAGATGGATCTCATCGCCATCCTAATTGTCACTCCCATCGCCGATCGATTCCATAAATACCGCCCCTTCTTCTTCGCTGGTGCAACCTTGATTCAGATTGCTGGCCTTCTCATTGTCACCTTTGCCCCAACGACCAACCAGTGGGCAAGATATGGAGGGTTGCTGATCGTGGGATTTGGACTTGGCCCAACTGTTCCAAACTGCATGGCCTGGACCAATGAAATCTTCCAAAAGCGTCACGGCGAGGTCGGAGTTGCTGCCGCAGCCGCACTCGTCTCCGGCCTGGGTAACCTTGGAAGTATCACGACAACCTATGCTCTGTATACCGGTTGGCCCGAGGACGCGGTATCTGGTCCTCATCAGTACCGTCGCAGCAACTTGACCATGATTGGAATTCTATGCATCAGCATTGCCAGCAGTGTCGTCATGTTTATCGCCATCAGAATCTTCGGGAACAAGCCTCATCACAGAAACATCAGCAGCAGTGCCGCATCCGCCGTCGACAGCAGCGACGAGTACCAAGATGGCGCTGCTCAGAGAGAACGCGAGCAGCGCGGTTTCGGACGCTCGTGGTTCAGCAAGAGATCTTAGATCTCTTGCCCGTTCTGAAACGACACAAAACGACAATGCGAGCTTCGATGTTCAACCATTGCCCTAGCACGACCAATTCGCTTCATATCGATACCGGCTCGTAAGCGTAGCTCAACCTATCGACCAGCTTGACCTCATTGGGCTTCCCCGCTCATATTATTACCCAACTATTTTATTACATCGTAATCGGTAAACACAGTCTTTGCGAGGCTCGGCCCTCTTCAATGCCCATCATCTGGCTAGGGTTCGTTTGGCCTGAGACGATGCGGCCAGGCCTCAAACGGCGACAGTGCTTTTACGCCATCGCTGTGGAAGACGTTTCTTATTGAAAAGAGGAGGATAGGTGCAACAACGCTGCCACGCTATTGCATGAGCCTGTCGGCCTCGCTTGAAAAAAAAAAAATTTGCTACCAACATTGGTGGAAGGAGATGGGAGGAGACTGGAATGGTGTTTTTGCTTTTTTGTTTTTATTGCATATGATACCCCATTTGTGTTTGGATACGCTGTCACTCGAGAGAAGGGTTTCTTCAGCAGAACTCGCCAGCGAAAGTGCTCCTACGCCATCGCCTGGGACGGCGTGTTGCAGCCGAGTGAGACCGACGACAATGCTTCTGCGCTATCGTTAGGGTCTCTTCTCATGGGCTCGCTTTCACACGTTCTTTGAGTTTTTTGGAAGATGATTCTATTCAGGGTGGAAGAGGATTGAGTTATTTTATCTTGAGTGAAGGGTTTGGCTCTTGCCATCCGCTTCTTGAATATATCATATACATGGCGCGAGTATACTCACGCCATGCTTTTGATTATTTGAAAGCTACGCTCCAGGCTAAATTGGTGTTTGTGTTTACGCTGTGCTTTACCTATCGTCGTCACTCTTGCTAACGAAAAAATTCACTTACATTTAGTTGGATGCCGTCGGGTGGCACTTCTTGTCCAATTTAGTCCCAGCTCAGAAGCATATAAGCCTCTTCCACTTCCAAAGCAAACCCCAACCGCCCAAGAGCGATGACAGTCCCGTAAAAATGATAATGGGCCCATAACTGGTGCCATAACCGAAACTGCCCACCTGATGGTGGCTACCGGCATTGAGCAATGGCACTCCCACAACGCCACCAACTACGTATCCAATACCCCGTGCGCCATTGAGAAGCCCGTACACCATGCCGGTATCGATGGCCTCGTTCCTCTGGGCGGCTTCAGAGGCCATTTCGTTCAGGAGACCTCCCCACGTCGCGCTGTACCCGCCGGCGGCAAAGCCAAACGTGACGGAGAACAAGACCAACAAGGCCATGCTGCCGGGAGATGTGAGGCCCCAAAATAGCAGGGCTGCAAGACCCGACATGACGCCCGAGATGGCCGTCACGGCCGCCGCCGACAGCGGGAATCGGCGGTTGTCGCTCAGGTAGCCAAAGAAGGAAGACGAGGCGATGCCCGGCACGTTGAAGAGTGTCAGCAGCAGCGTTGCCGATGTCTGCGACAGCAGAGCCACCTCGTGGGCGTAGGTGTTGAGGTACGTCTGGGGGATACCGTAGCCGCAGCTTTGCAGCGTCGTCGCCGCGCTGTATACCCAAAAGGTGCGGTGCCGAAGAAAAGACCACGGGATCCTTCTCGGCGCGCGAGACTCGCTGCTCGCAGAGACCAACGCCGAGGGGTGCGTCGGAATCAGCAGGACGGCGAGGATGCCCGTGCCGGCGGCCACGGCGGCCCAGATGCGCAGCGTCGTCCGGAAGCCGTACGCGTCCAGCAAGACGCGCATCAGGAACGGACAAGCCGAGCCCACGATATTCTTGCACGACAGCGTCACGCCATAGGCCAGGGCCCGGTTTCCGTCATTGTACCACTCGCCGAGGGACAGCGTCGTCGGGCTGAACATGAGGGCCGTGCCAAGGGCCGCGAGCACGCCCTGCGTCGCGACCAGGTGCCACACGTCGGTGCTCAAGGACGAGAGCAGAAAGCTCGAGGCCGTCAGGGCCGCGCCGCAGAGGGCCGCCGACCGCCGCCAATGGGCCCAGCGCCGGGTGAAGAGGGCAAAGAGCAGCGGCATGGCCAGGTACGTGACACCGTTGAGCGTGGTGCCAATGATGCCCGTGACCTCGCGGCTGCCCTGGAGCGTCCAGTTGGCAAAGAAGAATTCTTGAAAGACGCCGTAGCTCATTGCGAAACCTAAATGATGTGAGTTTATGGTCCGGGGGGTTTCCCTTCCTTCTTTCTAATGACAATCAGAGCGTGGTGCTGCGCCTACCCCACATTGGCAACTGCAGCATCGCAGAGCCCATCAAGACAGAAGTCTTTTTCCATTGTGACTCGACCTGGCGAAGTTGTGCTTGTTCGAGATTGCCATCGCTCAAGTCGGCCGCACCAGTACGAGCTTCTTGCTCCCTGCCAAAGGAAGAAGCGTCATGCAGCGAAATAACGTCGTCTTGTGACATGTTTGAAATATTTCCTCAAGCCCGAAAAGCCTAGGCCAATGTAATGGCTCTTTCAATTTCACTTCACAGTCGAAACTGCAATAACTGTGTTGTGGTTCAGATCCTCCTGGTGATTCAGTCTCATTGAGAATCAATGATTAGTGAATAGACAGACGTCACTTCGCTTAGATAGCCGGTGGTCGGAGGGCGTTTCGGCAACAATTGCCTTTCCCGGCAGTACCCAATTGGGATTACAATGCATATGCAACCATGAACCCTAAACCCATCATTACGGTTGACCATGAAATGACCAAGGGCCAATAAAACTACATGCCCGTATCTGCAACAGACCGTGCTCGGCCGTTGTTTACTTCTTATTGGAATGCCTCCCATGTTCTGAATGACTGATTACTCTGCATGGTGTCAGACGGTGTATCTTTGACCAGGGTGATTACCCAGGCTTTCGAAATAGGCAATATCTCGGGACCGTAATCGAGGCCCAGAGAAGGCGGAATAAATCAACCTATCCACGTGGCTTTTGGCTAGGATTTTTGCTGAGTATTGCAGATTTGGTCGCGTCATTGCAAAATGAGTAAGGCGTTATGCCCGCGGCGGTGAGCTCCTTGGGGCAAGACTTTGCGAGATCGATCCCAGCCCTACAAGGCGCATTGAAAGAACGGGAGGATCATTCAGATCTCTCGGCCCGACACGCTGGGGACGATATAAAAGTCTTGTAGATCCCGAAAGATTTGTTAAACTCTCGAAACTGTGATGCCAGAGGTGTTATCTGGCATTCAGTTGATTTCTCCAAGCAACATTCCAGTGCACGCATTCACATGCTGTTGCCTACGGTAGATGATTACAGAAAAGGCCTGGGCTGAATGACAGACTTGGGACGTTGATGGACACTGACGTGAGCAATGTGATCATCGGGGCCAGATGTGGCTCAGAATAGACTCGCCCACACGCTTCTGTTGAGGGAATCATGCAGTGATGTGGCGGGCGACTTTTAGTCAGATTTGGACTCTTTTTGAGCCTCTCGTCTTCGCTGATATCCGTGATTTGATGGCGACTTCCGTCAGATGAAAGTGCTGCCCTGTGCCTTAAAATGTTGGCTCTCTGCCTCGATAGGCTGACTTTTCCAGTCTCCAATCTTGAACTGGGCTGCGATATTTTACTGTTTTCAGAATGAAGACTATTCAGCTTGACACGACTTTGGCGGAGTTGTATCGCAACCATGGAATCAAGGGGCCCTTTATTGTTACAATGTACTGTGTCTTTGGACATCTCGATCTTCACCCAAACTTTCCAAGGGAGCTTACCTTTCCCGAAGACGAGGAGCCAGTCCCTTTCTCAGAAGACGCAAATGAACAGGACCGCTTGAAGAGAATTATTCTGGGTCTCAAGCCGCTCCGTCGAGCCTTTGGAATTGGTAACATGGATGTCATCTTTTTCGGGCCAAATGCCACTGCCGCTGGAATGGAGCGTGCCTTGTCGCAATTGGAGCCCAGTCAACGACACAGACCGCGCTTCTTGGATTTGGAGAAGGGAAATGTACCTCAGCAGTTGCTGGATGCTTCAAAGAATAAGAAGTTGCTCTTCTGGAGGCCACAGGGCTGGATGAAGGACCACGACTGCCTCATTGATCCCCAGGAGGGATACGACATCAACTCGAAAAAGTTTCTGGTTACTTCTGGGATCAAGACGCCTAGATCGATTGTCGTGAATTTACAGGACATGGATCTGGACGATCCGGAAATGATCTTGAACCAGCGACCACTACCTTTTGTGCTCAAGCTGTGTCGTGCAGGCTGTGGATTCGGGACATTTATCGTGACGAACGAAACAAATCGCGGCAACATGATGGAGTCCATGAGAACTTATAAGAAACGGGGCGTTACTGAAGTTCTTGTTTCGGATTACATTGATCTGGTACAAGACCTTGCAGTCCATTTTCTCATTGGAGCCGCTGATAGCGAGAGAAACCACAACGATCCCTTGATACTGGGCGTCACGGTGCAAAAGCTGACGGCCGACGGGAAATGGGTGGGCGGCCACATTGACTATAGCGCTCAAGGTGAACTGCATGACCTGGTACGCGAGACCGTTCGTGACACTGCACGACGCATGCCCCGGTCATACGTGGGCTGGGCCGGCATCGATATCGTGGTCGATAGGCAAGGACAGCAATGGGTCGTGGACCTCAACGCCAGGTTTACTGGTTCCATGCCCATCTGCTTCATGTCGGGCCACTTTTGGAAGAGACGCAGCCTCCCACTCGCGCAGTTTGGTGCTTTTGGGTACTCTGGAAAACTCGACAGCATCTACGAGCGGCTCAGACCACTACTGGATTTTGGTCAGGTCATTGTCACTGCGACGGCGGAGATTTATGAGGGAGACAACATGGCCGATATTGTCTGGGGAGGGAGAGACGCGGCGGATCTGCAACGAGTTGAGCAGTGGATCAAGGAGAGACTGGCCCAAGTTGAGTTGCCAACTGTAGTGTGATCAAATTGTGTAACAATAATACATTGTAGCAATGAGTACTCAATCTGTTCATTTTTTTGTCTATCAACCTCCATGCTTTAGTACCATATCTCCAGATTTTAAACGCGTGAAAATTACAAATATTAACGCCCTACTTCTACTCAAGGCTTAACCCAGTCGGAGAGGCCAGCTGCCTTTCTCATTCTAGCTCTCTTGTTCCATGATCTCTCAACAATAACATTTTCATCAAATACCGAGGTCAGACTAGGGTGCGAAGAAACAGCAGTGGCCCACTTGTGAAAATGGGGGGCCTTCTCGGCAATCAGCTCCACGAGACTCGTTGGGTACACTCCGTGTCTCGACAAGGCCATGGCGCGAATCAAGAATGGCCCAGTAATAACCTAGTGGCATATACAGTCAGTTTTACAATCAATTCAATGGATTTGGATGTCGCTTTTTACCTCTGCCAGGGTAAGTTTCTCGCTGCCGCCAAAGAACGGACGCGCATCCACCAGCAACGGCTCAACCTCGCGAACGAGCCCGGCCACGGCGTCGACGGCAATCTGCTCCGTGTCGGCCTCGGTGGCCGCCTCGAACAGCCGAAACAGCACCGTGTGGAACTTTGTCCAATAGGCGTCGGTGAAGAAGGCGATGCGGGCACGACCGAGCGCACCCTCGACGGACGCGGCCGGCGGGCACAGCGGCGAGGGATACACGTCGCACAGGAACTGGCACACAATGGCCGACTCGATAATGATGTCGCCGTTGAACACGAGCACCGGCACCAGACCCCGCGGGTTGATGGCCAGGAACTCGGCGGGGCGCGGCCCGTCGACGTTGATTATGCGTTCCTCAAAGTCGAGGCCGAGCTCAAGGAGTGCAACTTTGGCTCGGTTTGACCCTGGAAGCTTTTGCATCAGTACTTTGATTGCTGGTTTTTTGGTAGTCGTGGAAAGCTCTTACATGTGCATGTGTCATTGTTATATAGAATCAATTTGTTGTCAGTAGAACCCATTTTGACTCGATTGTTGGTGTATATTGAAGCTATTTCCGAATACAATTCATATATCATGTGGTCGATACCTGTCGAGAAGGCAATGATCTCTCTGATTTATAAGTATTTTCAACAAGCGATGACGAAAGGTCTGACTCAGATTCACCGACATGAGAAATCATCATCAGATCTGAATTGAGCATCTTGCATTCACGTTGCAAATGACCGACCGCTTCATTCCACTAGTGACTTGGTGATTCGTACAGTTACTGCGAATTGCTGGCTTTAACCCAGGCTTTGTGCCACAGACTTGCGTGCTCAGCTGATGGTCGGGCGTAAGCTGCGTGTGTGTTCGCGTACGCATGCGTGCATACCATTGCATCCATTACTTGATCCACTAGAAAAGTACGTAAGCAATCAGCAAATTTGCGAGAGCCGCATTCACTCCCTTTTTCTCTTTCTTTTTTGGTGTAGGGAGATATGCATCGAGTTCAAGTCAGTGGCACACGTTCGCTGGTGTCCTAACTTCGGCTCAGCAAGCGAATGCACAAGTGACGTACCAAGGAGCCTGGGTTTGGATATCAGCCGCTTCTCCAAAATCAAGTAACCTAGTACTTAATCAAGAAAAAGGTCAAATTTCTTTCTAATTCTGTCTTCCCGGAAACGTATTTGTCCACTGACTATGCACTAGGTGCGAGCAAGTCAAGCCGTAGACTTTGGTGTCGCTTTCCAACTTCACGTAAAGACCAAATGTCTGTTGGCCGCCGCTTCGAACTGATTTCCTGGGCTGTGTGGAACGATTGCTTGGGGAAGTCCTGAGCGGGCAAGAACAACATCAATCATTGCACCCAGAGCTGCCTTAACAACAGCAGACTTGTCATGGCCGCAGGCGTTATCTGGCTGACGGACTGCACACGACAGGTGGTTCATTCCCTGAAGTAGACGTTTTTGTTGCAGGTGAGTGGAAGGGATAGCGTGTGAAGATTCTCATCCAGCGTAGATCAGATAGAATGGGCAAAGAGTACCCCTGCCAGCTACAACCTGCGCCTTGCCTCCTACATATTCATATGATCGATCACGTTGACTTGTGGCTCTTTCCCAGTTCCCACCATACAAGCACGCGTGGATGGGCCCGGCATGGGAAATAACCATTGTGGCCATGCCATAGCTTTAACTTGAGGAGAACAGTAAGTAGCCATAGAGTTCATATCCTTAGCAACACTCGATTGTTGGAAGGTGCAATTAGCAGCTACGGAGGGGTACAAATTAGAGCTTCCCAGGCATTCCAGGGGAATCTTCCTTTCATCACCATCAATACACCTTTACCTCGTCTTTTGGGCATCTCTGTTCTGTCCCGTTCCAGTTCCTACAGTTTATCTTCGAGTCTATGCTTCAAATTACGATAACTTTACGGGAAATTCTTCATCTTTCCCGATGGTTCATTCTATGACTATGCGTCTGCCATTTAATCAGAACCGCTTTATGTATCAAGGAGGTCGGATATTCAAGCAAGCCGTTTGGGAAGAAGGCAAAAGGCAGCACCACGTTCAAGCGAATCAGACCACATCCGACGACATACATTATGCGCTAAAAGATCGGCGAGACGATCTCGAACAAAAAGCTCGCGAATATCGAGAGAGAAAATCCGATGGGAGTCATGGTACCAATATCAAGAAAAACTAGAGCAGTGGGAATGGTACCTCGCTTCAACCCAGAGGCTATCCACTCAATCATCCCAAACATTCCCTCAACCAACGGTCTTATCAAACATCAAAATCGTCAGGATGTGCATCTGGAGGAGGTTGCATCTTGATTGCACGGTCTGCGGCTAAACCGCTGTGATCATCTACATCGATCCAACATGCAATCTTTACGAGCACGACCCCATGTACCAGTTCGACGAAGGCTTTGGACAGCTTGAGCCGACACCGAAATACAAGAAGACACTGCGATGATTGCAAAGGAGAAACAGGAATAAGTGTTTTGTTTAAGAAAGAAATTGATGGGGCACAGTATGGGATGAGTTGGCTGTGTAAGGATGGATTCTGCAGTGAGTGCGGGAGAGCCTATTTATCTGTACCCCTATCGACAGAGAAGGATCACCTAATACACTCTAGGATACTACTCTTTTCATCATTCACGCCATATATCATAACCTTTTCACATTGCATTGGATATTCTGATCGGAATGACCTCGAATTACTCAAGACTGTATTGGATACTCTGGCGCATATTCGATCAATCTCTCCATCTGCCGAGAAGCAGTATGATCTCTTTCAAGCACTACATCGCATTGCGGAAGCATACACCAAGGATTGTTCACTGACATCTGAACGAGAAGAAATCATCTCGTCATATACGAATCTCCTTGGATTTCCCCTTCAAGACTCGATTCCGAACAGTTGGGACTATTTGGATTCCGACTGGTTGCAGAACATATGACCTGTGCTGTCAAGGGTATCCGTTGCAATCAGAGTCATGTTACATTCAATAGATAGAATCAAGCTAAGCTACTCACTGTATTTCACGTGAATTGACGTGATTGTATGCGTGGACGATAGTCTTAGAAAGAAGTCTGAGCTGATTCGATAGAGTAACAAAGTATAGATGTGAAATACCATCTAGCCCACCCACAACCAGTGATCTCCAGTGGCTGCTGTGTATGCCATTGCAACACGATATGATTGTAATAGGATGATCGCAACATTAATGCAATGCAATATTTATGCGGATTTAGATGGGCCCCGAGACTCCGGCGTTGCGGACCCGATACTTTCGATGCAACTTCTTCAAGCAGTTCGGTTGATTTGAGCACTGACGATGGTGGGTCGGCTCCGAGTGCCAATGGAAATACTGCGAGGGCCTACTGAATGGTATGCAATGGTAGGATTGCGAAGTCCGACATATAGATGGAACGTTCATCTGTTCTCCGCCTCGTGTTCAGCGGGTTGTTCTTGACACAAAGCGTCCACGCGTTCCGCGGTCCGCGCCAGAGCCGGCAGGTCCGATGCCGATCATCACAACGGCATTGACAAAGTGATCTACAGTATACACTTAATCGACCAAACTCGTTCTTCACTCAGTAATCTCGAATGGATTCTAGGATTTATTTAAGCCAGACAAAGCTCGTGCAACTTGATCCGAAGAATTCAAAGATATATTCACACGCAACGCCACACGCAACTCCACACGCTTCTACAACATTACATATCAGAACCGATGGACTACGGGCAATATATCGTGGGTGACGGGGGCCTTGCGGCAAAATCAACTTCAATCTTGTGCATCATTACCTCCATTTTGGCTGTGTTCATTTTTCAGCAGATTGATACCTCCAGCATTCCATTGCTCAATCCAAGGAAAGCCTTCGAGACTTCGGACAAACGAGCCAAAACCGAGTTTGTACAAAATGGAGGCAACCTACTCCGTACTTGGTTCAAAGCGAATCCAGATAAACCAGCCCGCCTGATTGGAGACGTCGGCAACGTCATTGTATTGCCTCCACATCTGGCTCAAGAGATTCGGAATGACAAGCGTCTTGATTTTGCGAAATGGACTTTCAAGGTATGTCCGAATTGTCGCTCACTGGACCATCACGAGCTCACTTTTGCACAGTCATTCCATGCCCATCTACCTGGGTTTGATGGCTTCCGTGAGGGTACAAGCGGAAAGAACCTGGCCCAGATGATCATTACAAAAGACTTGACAAAGTTATTGAGTATAAGCTCCTGCATTTTGTACTGCAAGATCATGGCTAACAAGTGATAGACAAAATTACCGAACCTCTGGCGGAAGAGACAATTCTATCTCTAGACAAGTACTTCACAAAAGACACTGGCAAGTAATATAGAATGTACAACTAGATCATATGCTTACAAACGACAGAGTGGCATACTGTCCCAATGAAAGAAGTGGTGCTCCGAATCGTGGCCCAAGTTTCATCACGAGCCTTTCTTGGCACCGAGCTCTGCCGCCACGAAGGATGGCTTCGCATCACCCGCGAATACACCGTCAACGGCTTTGAAGCCGCCGAAGAGCTGCGCATGTGGCCGTCATTGCTACGACCTCTCGTGCACTGGTTCTTGCCCAAGTGTCGCAACCTCCGAAAGCAGGTCAAGGAGGCTCGCCAGGTCATCAATGCCACCCTGCACAAGCGACGGGAACTCAAGGAACAGCACAGGGCTCAGGGAAAAGAGATGCCTCGCTTCGACGACGCCATTGAGTGGCTTGAACAGGCTGCCAAGGGTGTCTCGTATGATCCGGCCGCCGCACAACTGGGGCTGTCGCTCGCGGCCATTCATACTACGACCGACCTACTTTGCCAGGCTCTGACGAGAATTGCCCTAAACCAGGATATACTGGTGCCTCTACGGGAAGAGATCATTTCCAATCTTCGAGAGACGGGGTGGCAAAAGAATTCATTATACAATATGAAGCTGCTCGACAGTGTGCTGAAGGAAAGTCAGCGCATGAAGCCCACAGAGATGGGTAGGTACTCGCCGTCATATCGATGACAACAACGAGCTGATTGAGTTTTTCTTTTAATCTAGTTTCAATGACCCGGCTGGCTCTCGAGGATATCAAGCTTTCTGACGGCACCGTGATTCCTGCCAACAGCGGCTTGGCGGTTTCGTCTCACCGAATGTGGGATGAACAAGTCCATACGCACCCAGAGAAATGGGATCCCTATCGGTTTTACAAGATGCGTGAAGAGCCCGGAAAACAGAATATCTCTCAACTCGTTTCCACTGGTCCCAATCACCTGGCATTTGGTCACGGGCTCCACGCCTGTCCAGGACGTTTCTTTGCTGCAAATGAGCTTAAAATCCTGCTCATCATTATCATTTTGCAATACGATTGGGTTTTGCCGGAAGGGTCGAGTCACCGAGTTTTCGAGCATGGGTTCACATTGGTAGGCGACCCTTTTATCGAGATGCGCATCAGATATCGTCCACAGGGTATGGACTTGATTCGTGGCAAATAGTGGAATAATAGACCTGTCATACTGAGGTGGAGGGTACTCATCAAAGGTCACCGGCTGTATATTACCTAGATAGATCTTGAACACATTTCTTTGTAGCTTGATAAAATCAACTCAGACTCTTCCATCACCTCACTCTTTCAGATCTCTTCTTTCCACCGACTCAGGTAAAAGTCAAAGATGTCATGCGTGCCGTCTACGCAAAACCTAGAATATGTAGGTGATATGGTTCAAGAAATTGCATCGTCATGTAATTCATCCCTGGAAAGACCATGTGCTCAACTACTGAACCCAAGTAGCCACTTTACACCAAGAACAGCGTCGTCGTCTCTCTTCTTGGATGCTTCAAGTTCCGGAAAATTCGACCACCAAACATGAGGATATCCAGGATAGATATCGGCTTTTGTGTCAATTCTACACTCTTCTCTGAGCACCCGCTCATAGATCAAGTTATCATCACGCCCAGGGTCCAGCCCGCAGATTTGAAAGTACGCGGGCGGCAGGTCCATGTGTCCGTACTTGACCCCTGGGTCTTCAGAGTCCTCATAATTCTCGTCCCTGGGATCATGCTGGTCAAAGATGGCCCAGAGTGGCGATTCATGGTCTGGCTGAAAGGCACTCTGAAACATCTCGCTGAGATCAAGGTCAAACACGGGAGCGTCCTTGTTCTGTTCCCGAGCCAGATAATAAGGCCGATAACGCTTTGGAATGTGCTTGTGGCTGATATAGGTGCCGGCCACCAGCATCTGGCCCGTCAGCGGCGGATCGAGCTTCTCGTCCCGGGCCAGATGCGCAATTGAGGCCGCCAGATTGGCGCCGGCGCTGGTCCCGGCGACAATGAAGCCGCGAGACGCATCGCACTGGCGCGGCAAGAGAGGCGCCGCCGGGTCCTGCGGCTTCTGCGTCTCGGCTGCCAAGCGGCGGACCGTGGCCCACGCGTCGTGGATGGACGCCGGGAACGGGTCCGCCGGGGCGAGGCGATAGGTCGGCAGCACCACGACGGCATTGTGCTCGAGCGCTAGACGGCGCGCCAGAGGCACCTGGGACTCGGGGTTCCCGACGCAGTGGCCGCCGCCGTGGAACATTACAACGAGGGGACAGCGTGCCTCGGGGCCAAGGTTGGCTCGGTGGCTGATTAGCAGCCGCAGCCGATGGCCTTCTTTCATGGTGATGTAGCGCTCATGCTCTGCGAGATTCGGCGGTCGGCTCGCTGCCAGCCTCTTTTGGGTCCATGGCAGTGACAGCTCATTGATTTCCTTTAGATCGCTGAGCTGATAGAATGCGCCTCGAGGCACTGGCGTCTTTTCAATCACTTTTTTGAACTCGGGGTCAATGACACCCGTGGCCAAGATTTCCTCTTTTGTCTTTGGTAGCCGAGACATGACTTTGCCTCTCTCTTCTTTGGTGGTCTGCGCTGTACGGAAGAACAATTGGATTTGAAAATGGTTCCGACGTGGTACATGTCCGAATTCCGATTACCTGTGGCACCTTTGACTAGGCGGAGTAAGCATGCATACTGCATGTTGTTGCATGGGCTGCTGACTGGCGCTCGGTTGAGCCAGAGGTCAAACTAGTCATCGCCTGGAATGATTGCGGAGTCACTCCATTGATGTCTTGCCAACTTGGGATTCTATACTCCACATATCTGTGAGTATCGACTGTGTGCTTACATGGGTCACTTCCTGCTTACACAGTTCATCAAGCACCAATTAACTAGGCAAATTAGTTACAGATGAGGTCTATAAGTATATAGGTGGGTTTCCCTTATCTCTTTCCGTATTTTATTCCCCTGGATATCTACACAATTTGTGGAGTTGATGAACATTTTGACTCTTGCAACTTGCAAGGTACTCTGTGCATAGTAAACGACAGAAATTAGTGGGTAACATGCGCATATCTAAGAAGCTTATGCGAAAAACTATCATCAACTCAATAGTGTCTATGAACTAGTTGGAGATCTCACGGGCTCGAGAGTCTTTGTTCACACCAAGACTGTCTTTGGCCGACACTCCAGCTCAACACAAAGCTTCAGACGTTCCCAGATAATCCACACGGTATCCAAGTGGACACCCATTTATTTCTTAAAAGACTCGACATAGTCCTAAATTCACCGTTTTGAACACGTTGTTGCACAAGTACGCCCTAGCTTAGATTCTCTCGAATAGCCATTACTGAATCCTCGTCGGCACCCTGGATTGTCGAATTAGCCTTCGGCGCAATGTTCGAATCGGATGTGTCAATGTTCAGCAAGATCGTGCCAAATAGTAGAAATCACAGCTCGCATCCTACCGATTGGTGCTACTGGCGCGCAACTAAACGTTTCTTGCCTTGGAGTGCTTGTAGAATTATGTATGTGTGTGATGTCTGCATATTCATATCCTCCTAGAATGACATCCTTTGTGATGGATTCATTTGTCGATGCTTCCCCCTGCCATGAAGCAGCTTGGAGTCGGTCCCCCAGCCCGCGCTTTCGCGAACGGCTACGTGCTGGAATTTTGTGGTTTTGTGACCACAGTTTTACATGCAACCAGAAATCATAAGGCCCACAACGACGACAGCACACTGCCGAGGCAACGCCATCTGAGCTTCAAAGTATTGTCTCCCACAAAGCACCTTTCCCTGGGGCAAGCTTTCTAGTCGTCAAATTTTTCGTGCGTTGCCTATCCTTGGTCACAAACTCCCTTTCGACGCGATGCCTCTCAAAGCTGAGGCTTAGGCTGTTCTGGAAGTCTTGAGGTTTCGAAAGAAGCATTGCGGATTGATGCTGGCATGTTTGAAACAGTATGCTTTCGAGTTCTCTTCACAAAAGTCTCTTTGATCAAATCTACCAAAGCCTGAGATCGAATCCTTAGACATAGAATAGGATGTCTTGGAATCGACTCGATGCATTTCGCTGGTTCCTTGCCAGCTCTTCAGGCACAGATGGCTCTAGTGGCTCAATCCCCTATAAACTGAACGAGTCTCAGGCTCCCCAGTCCATGAAGACGCGATGAGGAACAACTTCCTTGGAATCTGAATGCTCAGGACACGGCAGGCTCGACTCATTTCAGAACTTCTTGTTCCGATGCAACCAAGTTTCATTCTCGCCAGAACAAGCACACTACATTTATCTTCATTATACTTTTACCTTCTATCGCCCAACATCCTTGTGTTGTGCCTGGCAAATCTGGCTCAAGAAAACAGCTCTCACGACATCTTTCATCGACCGAAAATATTCTTGGAAATCGAAAAACCTTGCCAGCCCCTTTCTCAGTGCCTGTCGCCAAGAGAAGTACTAGGAGCTGTCTGTGAGGACTCACGAGAACCACCGTTCCGCCTTGCAGTTTGGTCAGTCTACCATCAGCAGCTCTTGGCAGAAACTTTGCAGCTTCGCACAGCCTTCAGAGCCTGCAAGCAGGACTTCCCGATACATCGAGCATCCACATTTCTGACCACTCACGGCATCATAACCAATAATCGCAGGGCGAAATGGAGGCAGAAAAAGGAATGGAGGTGGATGGGATGGAAGATGTCAACATGGCAGATTTCCTGGTGGAAGAGATTTGGCAGACACTGAATTATGATATGCCTGCTCACGATGATGCAACCTTGGGCTTGGCAGACACCAGCGACCAAAGACTGCCCTCGGATCCCACGCAGCCCTGGGATTTGCATCAGCGTATGACACCAACAGGCTACGAGGCAACTCCAGACGCTTTTCTGGAGGCTCCAGCGTCGAGCCTCAATAATGATCATCAAGGCTTCCCACTTGGGACATGCGACAGTGACCGTGGAGGATACCCAAGTGGTGTTGCTATTCCAAATGAGTCCCCACCATATACAGCTTCTCCGCTGAACTTATGCCACGGACTTCCTTACATCCAAGCACCAATAATTCAAGGAGGTGCCCGGGATATTCGAGTCAACCGGCCGCCCATCCCCGCAGCTCGGTCCACTGGACTGCTGCCTTCTGGTAGTACACACTATGTACAAGAGAGTCAATACAGTGAGTCATATCCGCTGTTCCTGCCTAACTATAGGCCTCCTCTCATAGGTATTGCTACGCCACCTGGGGGGTTTTCCACGCGGCTATAGTGGCTGGTTGTATACAAGAAAGAATCACATGGCCATGTAGCAGCGCACGGAAAGGTCTGAGAGCTAACCTGAAATATATAAAGCATCGCCTCTGCCCACTGGCGCCATCTCTTCTGTGGCACCACCACAACGACAGCAACAGCGGCTTTGGGCATACGCTTTTGACGTCTTGCCTAGTAGTCTTCGTAAGTGAGCATTCCCTCCTTTTTGGAATTTTTTATTCTTTCTTTTTCCGAGCCTCCGAGGAAGAGAGAAAAACACAAAACAAGAAAAAAAAAATCATCACAACCCGAAGAGTCATACATCCTGTCTCTTAACACCGAAAAGTATTGGAAAAGGCCGGGATTGAATATTTGGTTGCCTGCCTACCTACTACAAGGGGCCTCCGCCTACCTGCGGTTCATTAGGTACTTACTGTAGGTACCCGACGTGAAGACGCCACAGTTCGGGTTCGCTCACAAGGTTGACGCATCAATTCCAAATTCTAAATTTGGAGATCCGCCCTTGCCTGCTTACCAATTGCCAAGTGGCCTGAGCTCAGCCACTGAAAGATATCCACCACCAAAACGCCCTCCTAAGGATATTTCTCTCTCATTGGTCGCCCTACCGAAACCTGCCCTTAGAATTGTGGCTCGGCTGCCTACTGCCGGCTTTTACCTTTTTTCTCTCTGCTGTTCCGGCTCTCCACTTTTGCCTCTCCGAGATTCCGTGCTCGTGCTCGTGCTCAGCTCAGCTCAGCTCAGCTCTTCTCGCTGCCCTGTCACTTTTGTCGCCTAAGATTTCAGGCCGCTCCAAAAACTGACTGCTTGTGTTACTATCACAATATAGAAGATCCTGCTGTGGTTGAGCATACTATCGCTATCGGTCAGAGGCTCCAGTCGAAACGCCTGGGCGACTTTCGTTTTGAACTGATCCAGTCGCCTTCCTTTGGTAATAACCAGACGGTGCGTCGCTTCATCTTGCCCAAGCGCTTGCGACAAGACGACCGCACACGGCTGTTATTTATGCAAGTATTCAACGGCAACCGCCAGTACAACTCCAAGCTGCCGGGTTATGAGTTCAAGATGGTCCAGGTCTTTGAGCCGAGGCAGTTCCACACTCCGACTGAGGACTACCAGGCTATCGCTGGGCTAGCAGAGGAAGACGGCGTCGATGGCCTCGATCGCTTTGGCGACCACGACATTGCTGATCTAGCTGCTTACACCACTCCCGCCCCTGCTGCTTTCCCGTCGCCAGAGACTCATCCAGATATTGATCTGCCTCACCTGCCAACCATCAACACGACACCAGGCGCAGCCCTCCCCACTCCCAAGGATGACACTGATCTGCATGCTGCCACCCATCGCAGCAAGCCCATCCCCAAGCCAGACCGGGATATCCGGAAGAACGCCCTTGGCAAATACGAATGTACTTGGCCCGACTGCATCGAGGAACAAAAATCGTTCAATCGAAAATGCGAGTGGAAGTAAGTGGTCCCCGTTCACCCCCCGTCTAATGCCACGAGTGCTAATTATTTTCTGTAGCAAGCACATGGACAAGCATGAGCGCCCGTACAAGTGCTTAGCTGAAGGCTGCGAAAAGCTCGCCGGGTTCACTTATAGTGGCGGTCTGCTACGGCACGAGCGTGAAGTCCACGCCAAGCACGGAGGCCCGCGCAACCCACTCAACTGTCCTCATCTTAATTGCAAGAGACATTCTGGTAAGGGCTTCTCGCGTCTGGAGAACCTCAATGAGCATCTGCGCCGAGTCCATACCAATCTAGGCCCCCTGGCGTCCGGTGACGAGGCGGCCGAGGACGGCGATAGCGTTACCGCGTCCTCGGAGCCTGGCCAGCAAGCTCTGCCGACTTCGATCCAATTTCCAACGGCCGCACAGCCGCAGGCTCTGCCCTCGCCCCAGATTGCTTCGGTGCTACCCCAGAAGCGTATTCTAGAGGATCCAGAGGACGACGGCCCGGCCGAGGTCAAACGGTTGCGCAAGTCTGAGGAGACTCTGACTCGCATCAATGCCGAGCTCAGTCGACAGCTTAACCTTCACAAGCAGCAGGCCGAAATCGCAGCTTCGACCCAGGAGAGCCAGCAAACCGAGATTGAAGCTCAGAAGCGCCAGATCATGGCCATGATGGGCGAGATGCAGGCTCTTCGCAATCAACTGGCTCAAGCTGATCAGCAGAATACGGTCATGATGCAAGAGGCTTTCCACTAGTTCGAGCAAGAACTATCGGCGTTTTGAAGGTTTTTCTTTGTTGGGCTTTTGCCCTTTTTTCTGTTCTGATTTTACGTTTGCTCGTCGACACCAAAGATACCCCTCTCGCGTTTTTTTCTTGTCGGTTCTCTCTCCGTTCACATGATACACATTGCATAGACGGGCGTTTATTGGTCTAGTTTTGAAAGAGTTGATTTGTTACTCCTGTGTTACCACACACAGTCGGCGTCTGACACTTAGAATGGACCACGGATATTGTGTGAAGCATCACATCACATGAATGTACTCTTTGGAGGACTGAGTTGGCAAGGGGCCAGTGTGGACGCGCTCAAGGCTTCACCATCATACGCTCTTGTCTTTGTTACCCCCTTTCGCGACGGCGGCGATGACTGGTTTTGGCGTAGTCAATGGAGCTCCTCAATAAGATACAAAGGCAAGGGGGCATTTTCTTACAGTGTGCTCCGATTCTTTCTGAACGGCGATCGCTCTAATTGCGAGTTCATTAGAGGAGACTGGATTTGATTGTTTCCTTTTTTTTCTTTTTCTTTTTGAGGATTGTCGATGAAGTCACTGCTTATGCTAGTGAACATCTTCGCATGTCACGATCAATACTCTGATCTCGCCATGGAGTTTGAGAGAAGAAATTGTATAATACACAGAAATACTTCAACCAGATTGGAAAATGACCCAATTGTATAGAGCTACATTCAACAATAACAACGAATCGAGGCATCACTCGATGCCACCTATCACTTTTATCTAGCTACTCCCATAAGCTGTATGTGTCCACATGATTCAGAGCTATAGTCACACGTTCTGTGGGGGCAAAGTGCTTGTATTAACAATTTGGTGTTCTTATTATTCGATTTCTGGATAGTTTTACTATATTATATGACATATGAAAGTGGTATTTGTGGATGGGGAAACGCAGCATTGCGACCATGTCCGACTTCGAGGCATTCTTCTTCCACTTATCCAATACTGAACAGTCGCCGCCCTAATGAAGCCGAGTTGATCTCTCGACATGACAAAATTTCCCCAGATAAAACAAACGAACTATGGGCTCTTGGGCCGTGGGCCGTGACGGGTATCATCTTTTAAACCTAAATCAAACTCCTCCTCCCAACGCATATTTGAACGAATGGAGAAACAAGCGCCATCCCCAATGCTAGTAGTGTAATAAAAAATAAAATAAAAAGGTAAGGTAACGCCATGTGTGCATGCATGCTTGGTCCGTGATTAATTGTGTGCTTGGGCTTTACTCAGCCAAGCCTTCCAGGAGGGCATCGTGGTCAACCTGGTCTGGATTGACTTTTCCCGGATCACGTTTTTGATGGGCTGCCATGTATTCATGGAACCCAGGAATGGCGCCAATCTGATTGATACCGGGTGATCGGCCAAAGTCCTTGGCGGATGGTTTCTCCTTGGGTTTGGGAAGTGTGCCACCTTCCGAGGCGCCACCTTTCCAAGGTCGCCAGCCCACCCAAGAGCTTATTTTCGAGGGGCCGTTCGGCGTAGGGCCGGATACCGACCGCAAGCTACCGACAGAGGGCGCATAACGTTCCCGCAGAACGAGACTGCCCATTTGGGAAGGACTTCGGGACAGCATTGGACTAGCCGTGATGGTGCTGCTTGCCGTGATAGAGGTCGCATTGCTAATGTGACGTAGTGTCATTTGAGTAGGTCGCGACTTGAGGGTGTGAATATCAAGACCTCCTGTCAGCGACATGATCGATTCATGCGATACTGCCCTCCGGTGACCACGCTGTGGGCCACGATCATCTTCTGTCTCTCCGCTGATGTAGATATCAACCTCGTCCATCGAAGTGTTCGGGTCGCGTGACGAAGTTTCATCGTCGGCACCAGATTCGTCCGTGACGATACCTAGATCTGGCACCTCTTCCAATCCGTCTCCCTCCTCGACAATAGTATGCGTATGCGCATGATTTGGGACGTCGAGGGAGTAGGCGCTGGGCAGTTGAAAGCTTCGTGCCGACAAGTTCGAAGGAAGCTTGCGGTGTCCCCGCCAGGCGGGAGACATTGGGTCAACACTGGTGACTGGCGAGGCTGGCCAAGAGTCCGTGGACGCGGGATCGAAGAGTGAGTTTCGCGCATTGGAACGCGGCGAACTGGGCGCCGAGGATGGCGCAAAGTCGGATGCCTGTTCAGACATAATGGACAGGCGACTCGACATTATCGAATTTATTGAATCCCGCGGTCCTCTTCGCCAGGTCGAGGTAGGTGGCGTTGCTGGAGGTATGAAACCGCCAGGTGTGAGAACCTGGCGCTTCTTCTTGGTCTTTTTGGATTCAACCTTTGGTGTGACGTGGTAGTGATGGTGGATATGGAGCTCCTGAGAAACCGCAGGTACAGGTCTTTCTGGGGATTTCTTGGTTTCTAGTTCCGCTCTCAGGGTGGGTGCAGTTCTAGCATCTCCGTCATCTGCTGGCTGATGGTACATGAGCTCCTCCCGCAACGCTTGAATCTCGTCGTTTGAATTCATGAGCATCTCCCGCAGCTCCACAATGTTTTGCTGAAGACTGGTGTTGTCTTGCAGAAGGTCACGGACAAAGTGTGATACTACAGTCGATCCGCTTCCACCACCCATTGTTTTGGCTGCAGCCGCACCCTTTAAGCGACCGGCAGCCGTGTTCAATTCCTTTTCAAGTTCGCGTTGTTTTTCCATGCGTCCCATTACTTCGGCATGACGCTCACGTTCTTCCTTGCTCTCTTGCTCCATCCTCTCGAGCTGCACCTGAAGGTCGATAATTCCCCTCTCCGCTCGTTGCCATCTCGCCATGGATGTGCGAGCTTCTTCGTGTTTCGTACTTAGAGTTGTTTGTAATTGTTCTTGTTCTTGCTCGAGGAACGCAATCTGCCTCTCCAATGATTCGGCTCGTGCGGTCTCTGTCTCTAGGCGGCGTATGATTTGTTGCGAAGACAGCAAGGACGCCTCGAGGGACTTGATATGCGCCTCCGAGTCGGATACGGTCGTGTTCAGTGATTCCAGCTGATCCAGCAGAGTTCTGTTCTCTTCAATCGTACGGGCGTTCTTAGCCTCCAGATCTTTGTTGTCCATCTCCAGTTGCTCGATCCTACTCGTGAGCTCCAGGTGATCTCGTTCAGCGTCGGCCATGTACGATTCGTGACGTGCTAGCAGCGCCTGTAAACCAAACATTAGACATTTGACTTGAGCCATGATGCAAATATTGGTAAAATTGCGATTTATTCCAACTAAGCAGGAATGCGCTTGGGCAAACGAGAGAGGGTATGAAGACATCAGTAGTGGGGTTTATCACATTCCTGGGAGGTCATATATGGGATGGGTCATGGACGGGTATGTCGTGTATGTCCTAGAGGACCATGATGCAGGCGTAGGGAGTCGTAAGAGACGGTTTGCAAAAGCAATTCATAGCCAGGACAGCACGACTTACTGGTCCTATATGCTTACCGCTCGTCACTCCCATTGCATCATGGCAGCCAGTGGGGGGTAACGACGACTGAACAACAAAAACAAGTACAGTCTTAAACGCCCCCTCCAAAAAACTGAGACAATCATGGCTTTGGCGGTTGCCGCCCCCAGTAGAGACACTTCGACAGCGGCAGAGGTAAACTTAACAACGTACCTTTCCTATCCGTGCTGCATTGTGCACATCCTTCTCAACGCTATCCAGAATGGAGTTGCTGTGTCTTAGAAAGACACATTCGGCCGAACCACAGCAGCATTTTAGCGACGGGTTGTCGCTGCGAGCAGAGACAAGCGCTGGAGCGAGGAGGAGTTGTTGTTGTTGTTGATGATGTTCTGATTCAGCGTCTACGCCCGTTTCTGCGCCTACCTCGAGTAGAGCTGAAGAATATGGTTCGGCCATCGTGGGGTAGAAGAGGAGTAGTACAGTAGGGGACTGCAGCAACGGGATGCAGAGGCGGCGGCGGCGCGAGTTTACTTGGACAGACTCTCGGGTGTGGCTTCGCAGAACCGTGGGACCATGACCATTGACAAGCAGGCAGGTGCACTACAGGCGCATGGCAGTAAGGTTTTCTTTCGGGCAGCAACGTTGTCGCGTGGTGCTGGTTTTCGACAGGACAAAGGACGATAATTCGAAATGCAGTGTGAGTCAAATGGTTGCAGTCTCTTCTTCTTCTTCTTCTTCTTCTTCAGCAGGGCGGTGAAAGTATTATTCCTCCTTTCTTCCTATTCGCGTGCGACCCGAGGCCGTTAAAGTTTTTGCTCGCGTGTTTAATGACGCTTGCTTTCGTTTCGGCCTCAGGGTCGTCTTTTCCTTTGGAGTTGAAACTAATGAATTATGATAGTTGCAATGGACGGTGGAGTTTGGCCCGTCCTCGACCGACCGACCGCCACCCGGGGGAGCTCGAATCTCCAGCTGGAGTGGGGTTCACCTGGTACAGGCTGTGGGCGCATTGCCAACCATGGTTCGTTCGTTGATGTGGATATACTTGTTGTTGCTGTAGGATTTGTTGTCTCGCAGCGCAAGGCAAAGTGGGCATCCCTCTCTTTTGGTTTAAGGCTCCCTCCCAATGAGTGGCTTGGCTGTCAACCTGCGTGTCGGTGTGTCATCAGTGCCAGAGTCATATGGCGTAGTAGTCGAGCGAGTGCCACACAAAGAGATCGGCAGTTGGAGAGACAGTCAGTCGAGAAAAAAAGAGGCCCGTGGGCGCGACTGATGAAAAAGGTTGCAAACGGAACAAAAACAGCACAGAACGGCGACGATGGACTAAAAGCAATAATCTAATTGATATTAGGACGCGGTAGGCAAAGAGGGAGAGGAATATGTAGTGTACTATGTAGTATTTGTATGTTCGAAAGAACTAATGCACAGGCGATGCGACGCGCCAGCAAATGGGTACATGTAGCCTGTTTCTGCACATGGTCAGGTGCATCTTGGTATCTGTATCTGTTCATCCACAAGAGTTTTAGACCCGGTCGTCGCGTTCCTATTCTGCCATTTTACCAGCTTTTTATGCAATCTGACAGGCAAAGGCCCGCGCGCAATACCTTTTGCCAGGTTGCACCAGGTTTGTCGCATATCGCCAATATCGACCAGGTTCTTGGGTTTCTTGGGTTTCTTGGGCACACCTCATGGGCCATGCCCACATGCCTTATGACGACAAAGTCTACAGAGTACAAGTCGCTCAATGGTCTGACGCTGGGCCGCTGACACAGAGGCCCAATACAGAAGCATCACAGCCTATCGTGACCCTACACCAGCCACCGACGTCCCAACGCTTCTTTCCCTTTTTATCACTTTTTGTTTTATATCTGATGCCAGCCATTTTTATTCCCTTCATCTTTCGTTGATTATTGAGTGCGTGCATAGGGAAGAACCAAGTACATACGGGCTGGTGTGACTTGCTTCTTCCACCCACCAAATTATGCCTCAACGAGTCAGCCCGCATGTTCATTCAGGTACCCGTTCACTAATGTAGTCAACTGGGGTCACCCAGGCACCGGGAGATCTCATTTCGGGGGGCCGAGATTGACGCAGGGCACAGGTTCACTGACAGTACCTATTTTCTTGCCCATCCCAAGAGAAGCGAACCACGAGAGATAAAAGGTCTCATGATTCCAACCAGACGATGTTTGCTTGCCTCGTAATTTGCAGCATGATGATAATATTTTATACTTTTTGTTGGCTCTGTTATTGTTCAGCATCTGTCTGCTGGCCCTGCCCTCTTTATCCGTCCCACGCGTTTCTCGAACTCCACTTGTGCTGTGCCTCGCTTGCTGCGGCGTCTTGCCTGCAATGGCCCTTCTTCTCTCAATCTTGCAGCTTGCTTGGCCCGCTGTCATTTCCGGTGTTGCAGAATTTGTACAGCGGTAACTGATAACGTAGATTAGTGTGGACGAGACAAAAATAAGCAAACAAGACATGAGCACGAAAAAATTTGCTAGCTCCATGCTTTTTGTGCTTGTTAATGAGGCATGTTAACGAGGTGCCATGGATAATGTAATCCATATTGCCCAGCTCACAGCCACGAACCACTGAACCGGCTTGTACGGCTATCGAAGGCTTATGTCATAAATGTAGTGCGCATGATAGTAGTTCATCACAATCAAGAACGATGGTGAATATACCTTAATGTAGACATTGGGCTCTGTTTTATTTGCCTGAAGTCGGCTGCTAATAATTCGGCTCTCATTACAATCAATGCATTAAATTGTCACAAGCCTCATGTTACCTGACGATGAGGGACAGAATACAATGCAAACGAGTAGATAATAATGGTCGTCAGTTGAACCAGAGTAATTCTGGATTATTGACACACCGCTGTAAAGACATACCCTGGCACCTGGGTAGAGGATCGCCAGGGTGATTCACAAATTGTGGTGAAGGAGCCACTGAAAAGCTCAGACTCATGAGACTATTTACTACTATGCTGATTGGCAACCAGGTATACAATTCGGGGCCTGATGAATTTGACCTCTCGACTAATAGGCAGTCACTCAACTGAGAGATTGTTTGGGCCATTGCAAAGCGTCCGTAACCATCTACCAGTTCCTGAAGATGATGGCAAGTATGTTCATATCTTTCTGTAATGATTTTCTTGGCTATTGACCATTACATGATGGGTCTTGTGATGCTCGTGTATAGCCAGGGGAGTTGAGCATTTTCGGATGGGCACCGAAAGAAGCGCCGGGCTCAGTAGGATATCCAGTCGTTGGTGGATCATCTTTCACTCACGATGCCCACCAGGGCGGGCTCTCTACTATTATTCTCCACTAGTTTAGTATGCATAGACATAATATCAAATAAATTCCAATTTTCTCAACAGCAACCAATCAAGTGGTCAGCCGATCAACGGCGGGCATTACTGAGACACAACATCTCCCAAAAACGGTCGCTTTAGCTCACTTGGGAGAGCGCCAGACTGAAGCCCCAAACTTCAGGACCTTGATATCTGGAGGCACTGTGTTCGATCCACAGAAGCGACATTTCTCTTTTTGCATTTTTGCTGAATTGAGTCGTAGTCTTTTTGTTTACATTCAAATAAGAAGATGCACTTGCATCATGAATATGACTTTTTGTTTGCGTTTGTGCAAGCAAATAATCACTTTGGGGCCGGAAATCATGATCTTGATCGGCTGCTGATTTGAATGCCGATCCCGATTAAGCCAAACAACCTGGGCAGACTGCAGATACCAGAACATTCAATTATTTTTGCTTGATAGTCACCTAATAATTCTATTAAATAATAGAAAAAGGCCTTAATAAAACTCCTAATGCACAAGGGATTCCGATAAATATCTAGGGTTGGCTTTTGTGATAGTATCAGTACTTGCCGTTAGAATAAAGCAAGTTTCCCGGGGCACTATATACCCTCCAACGACACTATACCTGAGCGCTTGTTTATACTAAAACCGATACCAGCCGTGGTTTTTTTACACTTGATACGCGATAGCATCCGTTTGCCTTATACTGCGGCATTCGATCTCCGTCCATACCGCATTGTGCAGATCTGATCCACTTGATAAGTGCCATATCGAACCGCCATCAACTGAGTCAGTACCCCGTCCCTAAACATTGGAGTCTGGTTGTTTCATGAGAATCGTCCCGGCATGGATATGCAAGATAAGAACCCAACCGATGCATCGAACCATGCTGCATTATGCTCTATCCATATCGTACATATCTATTATACATCATATCAATATCAATTCGATTTATAAAACATGCAGTGCCCCAAGTAGTCTGACCATTGACATAGCCTCTCTGTATTATATCATTTGACGTGAGGTGTAGCTGAACCAGTCTGTCAAAACCGCCATCATGGACGCCGACGAGAAAAAGTCATTGCCAGATACGGCAGAAAAGAGGCCCGAAGTCGACATCGAGGCCGGCGCCACGGAGCTGCAAACATCCATGGGCGATTCTGCTGCTGCGGCTGCTACTCCTCCTCCAGACGCACTCATCCTCGACCGGCAGCTCGAGAAACAAGTAGTCCGCAAGCTCGACTGGCATCTGGCACCAATGTTTGCCGCCCTGTACTTTGTAGCCTACCTCGACCGGAGCAACATTGGCAACGCCTCCGTCGCCGGCCTCAACACGGACCTGGGCCTCTCGGACCCGCAGTACAGCACCGCCGTGAGCGTCTTCTTCGCCACCTACGTCGCCCTGGAGCTGCCCGTCGTCCTGCTCACGCAACGCGTCGGTCCGCACCGTGCCATTGCCGTCATGTGTCTGAGCTGGTCTGCCGTTACCATTGGCACCGGGTTTGTCAAGGGGTTTGGGGATCTTATCGCCACGCGCGTGCTCTTGGGCTTGTGTGAGGCTGGATTCTTTCCGTGCTTGGTCTTGTATATCTCCATGGTGTATAAGAAGGAGGAACAGGTGAGATTGTCTACATTGTGGTATCCGGCCATCTGTTTTCTAATACATGGCTTGTGCTTGCCAGGGTCTCCGTCAAGCCTATCTATTCTCTGCTGTAGCCTTAGCCGGCATGTTTGGCGGTCTTATTGCCACCGGTATAACATATATCGGTAGAGTACACGGATTGGAGTCATGGAGGTTGGTATCGAAACCCCACACTCAGTCCTGAATCTGAATGCTAATGAAGACATATAGCTGGCTCTACATCATAGAAGGATGCTTGTCCGTTCTGGCCGCCTTTTGGGTCTTCTTTGGCCTGCCCGCCCGGCCAGCCGAAGCCAAATTCCTGACAGCGGAGGACAAAAAGGTCATGGCCGTCCGAGAGGCCCAGCGCGCACAATACCTGGGCAATCTTCATTTCGAGTGGTCCGAGGTGGTAAAGGCAGTGGTTGATCCCAAAGTCTGGTTTACGTATGTGATGATGCAATCTCCCTTTTCTGGACCATGCCTCTGACCGTCATTGAACACAGTGCCTTTATTCAATTCTTCCAGGATATCATTTTATACGGATTTAGCACCTTTTTGCCTTCAATCTTGAAACTGGATCTTGGGTATACCTCGTTGCAGGCGCAGTACTTGAGTGTACCGGTTTACGCACTCGGGGGTATAAGCTTCTTGGTAAGAACACGCGAACTCCTTCATATTGAGAGCGTACTGATATTTGACGGTACAGACTGCCGCTTTCTTGAGCGACAAATGGAGGCGTCGTGGTACTGTAAGTAATGCCTTCTTGCGACACGATTTATGACAGCTTCCTAAGTTGGGATTATAGGTGCTTCTAACCCTCGATATCTTTGCCGTCATTGGCTATGCGATCCTGCTTGGAGTACCCAACCGCCCGAGCATTCGCTATTTTGCGTGCTACATGATCGCCATCCCAATCTACTGCGGTCCTGGCCTCAATCAAGCCTGTAAGTTGCTTTATCCACCATTATGATAAATTTCGTGCTGGTGACTTGGTTATATTGACGGATGTCCAGGGGTTGGTAACAACATGGCGCCTCATTACCGGCGTGCCACGGCAATCGGCATACAGCAAACGATTGGAAATCTTGCCGGAGTCGTCGCACCTCAGGTTTACCGAGCTGCCCCATATCGACTGGGCCACTGGTGCTCTCTTGCTTCTGCCTTGATCAGCATGGGTCTCATTGCTAGTCAGATTGGCTACTTGTATATGCTGAATCGAAAGAAATCGCAAATTTGTCGAGGCGACCGGGCAGACGATCGCACAGAAACTTCTGGCGAAGGAGACTTGGACTTCCGATACGTTTACTAGAATGAGATGTATTTGGCGCCTACACAGTCAGGAGATTTGCAACTATCAATTGAAAATAAAATAGATTACTACGCTTCGTTGCTATGCTTAGCATGTTCAAATATATCGTTTTGGTGTTGGCTCAAGTATTCGGGGTTGACCACGGACCTCATCTGGTCTTGGAATCTACTCTGGAGGTCCGGTGGATAGAATATCGAGCCCACTCTTAATTTGGCTCTTGGACGGCATTTTGTCTCTGCGCATCAACTCTGCGGCCTGGGCCATGACTGGATCTCGGCCCATACTGGCCAGTGCCACGACAGTCTCGCCCTTGGTGTAGTATGCGACAAAGTTGTTCTCCTCAGGCTTGCCCTCCAGAATAAGATCATCGTAACCGCCAGCCGTGTTACCGCAGTATCGAAGCTGAGCACCTAGAGCAGACCAAAAGATGGGCGTAAACTTCTCGGGTTTCAGCGTGGGGTTAGCGACGTGTCTAGCAACGACACGACCAGACTGTTGTGCGACATTCCAGTGCTCAATGCGGATGTATTTGCCATCTCCACCAGGTCCGTGGTAGGGGAAGGACGAAATGTCTCCAATAGCGTAGACGTCCTTGAGTCCAACAACCGACAGGTTTTCGTCGGTCTTGAGGGAGCCATCATCTTCCAGACGGACCACCTTATTGTCTCTCAAGTATTCTGTCGCTGGTGAAACTCCGATACCCAGAATGACAAGATCAGCCTCGAGTTTGGTTCCGTCCTTCAAAACAACTGATCCGACATTGGAAGGATCGGAGCCAGAAGGGTCTGCCTTGTCAACGGCGGCGTTCATGAAGAACTTGACCCCCTTGCCTTCAAAGGCCTTTTGCAACCCGACGCCGATTTCTTTACCGAGAATGCGCTCCAGAGGCGCACCCTCCATTCCAATGACTGTTACATCGTTGTCGCTCGCGGTTGCATTGGCGACTTCCATGCCGATAAAACTGCTGCCAATAATGACAATCTTCTTGCCCTTCTTCTCGCCGATGGCGGCTGTGATGGCCTTTGTATCCTTGACCGAGCGAAGCGGGAAGATGTTGCCCAGCACTTTGAAGCCTTGAAGTGGTAGATTACGAGGAGTACCACCTGTTGCCAAGACCAGCTTGCTGTAGGTGAATTTGCCAGCTCCCTTGGTGACGACAAACTTGTCAGAAAAGTCAACACCAGTCACCTCGTCCTGCACGACCTCAACTGAAGCACTCTTGTACCAGTCGGCGTTTCTCCACTCCAGCTTGGAAGCATCAGCAATCAGGGCCTTGGAGAGCTTGGTTCGGTCGAGCGGTAGATTGCCCTCGTTCGTAACCATGGTGACATGACCGCTGTAGCCATTTTCCCTGAGACCTTGGATCAAACCCATTGCACCAGCACCTCCGCCGACTACCACGATCCGGTCGCCTTCGACTTGACCGCTGGAGCTCTTGAGGTTGGGCTGTCGTCGGCCGGCTTTAATCGTGGCTTCATCGCCAGAAATGTACACGGCGCCGTCTTTCTCGGTTACTTTGAAAACTGGGAGGGCATCCAACGCTGGAGCATCCTCGACGTCGCCCGTCTTTGCACTGAAGCAAGCTATTCGGGTGATCCAGAAGTTAGAGCGATACAATAGAAAGTTGGGAGGAATAAGGAGCGTGGAGGCGTTGCCGTAGACTCACCTCCGTGCCAGGGACAAGTGATTCGACCAGATTTGGTCAGGACACCCTTTGCAAGGGGAGCACCGTAGTGAGTGCACTTTGGGCCAATTGCTTGAATCTTGCCGGCGGCGTTGACGAGTAGAACTTTGGCACCTTCAATGCCCTCGACGTCGACTTCCCGCTTCTCACCGGGTTGGAGCGTCAGAGCGGTGACGTCCTTGAGCTTGAACTCGGACATGTTGCGGTTGTGGGAAATGTATACAGGTTTGAAGTTGGAGAAGATGGTACGATTACTGAGTACTGATGGGATGCGAAATTGAGTAGGGCGCGGTAGGAAAGCTCTCACGGACTGCATTGAAGATGGGAAGAAGAGGAGGAGGCACGGGGGTCAATCTTTCACCACTGAAACACTACAGATATGATACAGAGATACGGCCTGTGGTCAGCGAATAGTACCTTGCTTGTTGAGGGGTAGGTAGGTAGGCAGGCGGCAGGGGGCTCCCCTCTTGAACGTAGGTAGCACGCAATAGGAAGAAGGAGGGATCGATTTGGGTGACTGCACGAAGGGCTGGGCTGCGTGATGGCTACATTGGATCCTATTCGTGAGTATTTGCTTTACCCGTATCTGTCTTACCTGCCTCGATTCTTGCCGCTACGTGCTGACCGACCCTGAGCAACAGAGCATCTATTACCACTACTACTGCTGCTTAGCCTGCGGGTTTCTCTCCAAATTCCACGATGAACCGATGTCCCCGGACAATGTAGTGGGGTATCGAGATGCCAGACGGAAAGTCAACAGCCCATTCACAGCACTCATGTCGTAATCCATGGCTGTTGCATGGTAATCCAGAGCTTTTGAGTGGTTGGCTTCGGGGAGCTCCCATGTCTGACATCATCGTTTGGTGGTCGATAAACCCCACCGACGTAGCGACAGGGGAGCTCTGACCACCTCTTAACTCCGACACGCATTCGAAAGAGAAGAGACCGTTCTGGAGGCAATGGGGAAAGGAAGCGGCGGACTTGCTCAGACAGACTTGGGTGCCTTTTCCAGTGAGGGAAAAAAAAAAAAAAAAAAAAAACTATAAGTCTTCAAACTCAATTGCGGATTGGTGTTTCGTGCCAAACGCTCATGGTTGTAAGACTGCACCTTGTTTTGGCATCGTGATTGGCAGAGCGAGCACCCTTTTTGTGCCTTTGGCCATTTCCGAGTCAAGATATTGCTGGTCTCGTTCAAAATCTGCTAGTCTTGCTTATTATGTGCCGTCAGTAAATGCCCGAAGGTCGCCCGGACTACCGGGCACGGCGGCTGTGCTCGAATCAGCCGTTTGAATGAAACAGAAACGGCGCAAATGTCTGGCTTTTGAGTCGTTGCAGATGGTGGAATGGTCTTGCAAGAACGATACTCCTGGCTAATGCATTGTGTCAGTACAGAGTAGTACTGGAAAGAGATATAATGCACCGTCAGGATTCATGCAGACTCAAGGCCGCTAAACCTGCATTGTTTCCAACAACAGAAGCACGCGTTGTGTCTTGAAGGACAACTCGACCTCAAAATATGCTGGGCTCGTATTCTGTTGAAATCTTCGGCTTGTTGAGTCGTCCGGCACCAACGATGTTGCAAGCTCGACAGAAACGAGCTGTAACATGGTGCTACTGTGTAATCGGGAATAAGACCCTTGATCTCCGGATACGGGAACTAGCCCTAGGACCTCAAGCAAGAATAGAAATACCTGAGGATACGCCGGTAAGCAAACCGAAAAGCAACGGGCTGTCGGGCAGACCCTGGTATGCCAAGAGTGACAAGATGATGATACATGGTCTTCCGAGATTGTTCATTGCGGTCGTCTGGCTGGCGAACCATCAAACTTCCGCACATGAGAGAAAACGAGGAAAAAGTGAACGTTTTGCGGCTCGGATCTCGAGCAATATCTACCTACCTTGATCCCCTGGGTTCTCCACGGTGCTCCATAATCACCTCAATCGTCATGTTGGATCGCTGCTTTCCCCAGGCACACAAGCAACACAGTACGTAAGTAGTGCTGAACGCGCTTGGCCGGATCCTTGAAAGGTATCACAGTCAAGTCGTCGACAAGATGGACCTTCCATCAACTGGCTGTGGCAGACAACCGATGCCATCTCGTGCAATACAAGGCGAACAGTGTAGACCCGACCTTCAGCCTCAATCACTAATTATACAGCTGGACGGACAAATGCTCCAGTTGGAAACTCATAACAGTGCTGTTTCTTACCCGAGTTGGAACCTGGCATGAATATGAAGAAGGACGGGCCCTGAGAACCGATCGCTATTTTACGCCTGAGGAACCCACAAAAACTTTTCTGGAAACCCGCGGCGTGCTCCTTATAGTGATTAGCATAAACCAACCGACCTCCACCACCCCTACCCCTGTTCAGCAATGGCTGTCTCGTGCTTTCAGTGGTCGCACTAGAAACACCTTCCGCAAGCGCTGAACCTCCTCGAGGGCATCTCCATAAAACATTGCACCACTTCGTTCATCTATCGGACCGTTGTCCACCGGCGATCAGTGTACATTCCCGTACATAATGTCTATAGACCCACAGGCCTATCCCGGGAGGTCTATCCAAAATCGGGGCTGCCCAGTCCTGATTGAGCAAGAGATCACCAGGCACGCCGTCCTTGGCGACCGCGTCGCTTTGAAACAAGCAACGACAAGCTTCCCGCAAGCCCCGGAATAAACAGTGGCCCTATGACGCTACATGACCGGCACAACCTGATGTATCTCTAACTCACACACCATCAATCACTTCCCTTCTCGACACGCCTAACGTCTGCGTCGACCCAGTCTTCGGTCCACAACCATGCGCCTGACGTCGCGGCTGTGCAGCAAATCCCAATGCTGCCAGAAGAAATCAGGGCTTCTGCGAAATGGATTTCGGGGGGTTGAATGAGGCTCCAGCCTCTTGGTAAATCTTCAAGACTGCTCGCTCATCTGGTGACGGCCAAGGCTTTTTCTTCCTCTTTGTCTTTTCTTGGTTTTATTCTTCATTGCCCACTCTCAGGATAATCCACTCGTTTGTATCGCTCATTTTTTCTTCCTTTTCAATACTATAGTGTAGTATTATGTATTGGCGCTACTTGAGTATATGCGTGGCTAGTGTGCTGCCTCTAGTCTCGGCTGTTGACATTGATTGGAACGACGATTGTGAGTTGTGTGTTCCAATTTGATGCCAGGAAGTTATAGTGCTCACGATCGCGAAAAATACAGCATCAATCAAGGACGGCGCAGCACAGATTGCGTATGGTTTATTACAATATTATACCGGCAACAACACGGGAGACGTTCCCGGTAACTTGCCCGATCCGTACTACTGTGAGTTGATCCCATGAAGCAAAACTCTCCAAAGATCCATACTGACTGACTTTGCTTGATAGGGTGGGAAGGTAAGAACGACAATGCTCCCGAGTCTGGTGCTCGGTGCCTGGGAATTCAATGACGAGCGAAGCTAATAATGCGGTCCAGCCGGCGCATATTTTGGAACTCTGGTTGACTATTGGGCCTTTACGGGAGATGAACAATATGTCGACTTGACCTTCCAAGCGTTACAACACCAAGTGGGCGACGATGGCGATTTCATGCCCGAAAACCAGACCCTGACCGAGGGTAACGATGACCAAGGCTTCTGGGCCTTGTCCGCCATGACAGCAGCAGAAATGGGTTTCCAGAACCCCGGTGCAGATGGGGTGCAATGGCTCGCAGCGGCGCAGGCCGTCTTCAACGAGTATGTATGGCGCTGGGACAACTCCACATGCGGCGGTGGCCTCAGATGGCAGATCTATACATTCAACAACGGTTACAACTACAAGAACAGTGTTTCGAACGGTTGTTTCTTCAACATTGCTGCGCGATTGGCCCGCTACACGGGTAACACGACGTACGCCGACTGGGCCGAGACAGTCTATGACTGGATGGAGACGGTCGGTTTCATCGACGACGAGTATAACATCTACGACGGTGCGTCCGACGATGAGGGCTGTGTTAGCATTGACCAGGCACAATGGACATACAATGCTGGCATTTTCATGGAGGGATCCGCTGCCATGTGGAATTATACAAACGGCACGTCGGACAAGTGGGAACAGCGCACGACGGGTATTGTCAACCGCACAGCAACATACTTCTTCAACGAAAGCGTCATGTACGAGCCGCCCTGCGAACCGCAAAGTAACTGCGCCACGGACAGTTTCTCCTTCAAGGCGTACTTGGTACGCTGGATGGCAAAGACCACCCAGCTCATGTCCTCAACCTACGACACCATCTACCCGCTGCTAGAGGCCTCGGCGCAGGGTGCTGCGAAACAATGCGACGGCACGGGGGAGGGCACAGCAGGCCGGACGCTCTCCGGATACGCATGTGGACAGCACTGGACATGGGGAGCCCAGAACGACGGAACGAGTGGTGTCGGACAGCAAATGTCGGCCCTGTCAGCCGTGTTCTACACCCTACTCGATGGTGCGCCGACACCGTACACATCCGTGACGGGTGGTACATCGACTGGCGACAGCAGTGGAGGAACCGCGAAATCGGAAAGTGACGTGAGAGGAACCAAGCCAATAACCACTGGTGACAAGGTCGGTGCCGGCATATTGACGGCGCTGGTCCTGGGCGGACTAGTTGGTGGTGTCTGTTTCTTGATATTGACGTAGACTTGATGGATTGTCTACTTTTGTCGTTCTTTTTTAAACCGGAGTTCAGAGGTACACAGGATCGGCCAGGATTCAAGGCATAGTCCCATGAGGATCCAAAAGGGTAAAGGCGTCTCTTTTATTCCAATTTCTTGTGCGATACCATAATGCATCTTACAGGAAGATCAATTCCATGTTCAAAACCATATGAGCTTTGGGTAACAAAATTGTGATGACTACGATGAGTTTCAACATACGTGATCTAGCTGAACCTGTGGACAAAGGTGGTTCGTGTTATATAAGTGTGGAAACAAATATAGTTTTGGATCCTTCTGTCTGATATTAAATTCAGTAGATTTTCGCCTTCCTGAACTCCTATTTTGTTCTTTCTCCCTCTCTTTCATCACTAGAGGCCTTTCCTTGATGGACTGCGGCCAAAGACGGCTTATTTTGTTTTCTGTTAAAATTAGCTTTCGAGGATTTCATCCAAACGTATTGTTCTTCACCCCGTCTCTTATACTCAGTGGATGAGATGTCAACCATTGACACGGGACTGTTTTTAATGCTTGGCCTGAGGAACAGGAAATGTTTCTAGCCTGAGACGCAGACGAGCTTTACTCGGGACACGCAAAGCAATGGTTGGTTCAGATGATGCCCCGCAAGGACAGGTATTCATAGGGATCAAGATGAATGGATAATATTGTCGATCAATTGTATTCTGCGTAACAAGAAAAGTCCCTACAGGCCAATTCCCGTAGGTACCTAAGTGATTTCCCTTCTATATAGTACAACGCATTCCACCATGGCAGAGGCCGTAGAGCGAGTAAATTAACCACTTCAAAAAAAAGAAGAAAATTGTTTTGTTTCTTGGTGATATATAAACGCCTTGAAAACCTGAGTTTCCTTACTGTTCCCTCTTGAGTTCGTACATGATATCTGTCCGCACAGTATACTTGATACCCGCCTTGACATCATCACCAGAGTGGTATAATCGCTTGTGCTGGAAAATGAGTACTCGGCCTGCTTTCGGGTCTACATCCAGCTTGCGCTTCTCATCCGACGACAAAAACGATGTTGCGCCTCCCTCCAGCTCGGCCTCGTCACCGACTTCAGCCTTGGAGTCGTTCAAGTACAAGTGTAGGGTAAAGTGCGTCTGCAAAATGGTCTTGTCGTCTTTTTGCTCCCCATACGGGCCGTCGCAGTGCGGTCGAAAGAACTGACCGGGGCCGTACTTGAGGAAGCGCATCCTCTTATTGAGCCGGTGAAATTCCCAGTCGAGATGCGGCTTCCAGCTCGGCTTGGTGTAACCCAGGAGCTGCGACTCGTTGAAGCGAGCCAGCCTCTCCTGGATCCCGGGCACCCGCTCCATGCGCGCCCACAGCCGGTCGACAATCTCCTGCTGGTCCCAAATGATCCTCTCGCTGTTGCGGTAGTCGGGGACGAGGACCTCGAAGCCGCCGCCGGCGTTGACCAGGGCCGGTCGCCAGGGGTCGCCGTCGGCGCCCTTGTCTTTTTCTAGCACGCTTTCTTCGGCCAACTGGATCAGTTTGGCGCATTCAGATGGGCTGAGGACATTGTCTAATACTACTGCGTATCCACCGTCGAATTCGGGCAATACGGTCTCCTTGAAATTGATGGCCTTGAGAGTAATAGGCTGTGCATCGTAGGGCTGTGATTTGAGATAGTCTGAGGGAATGTCCACGTCTTTTGACTCGTAGGATGTCTGGACGAGATCACCATGCCCGCGATTGCGGCCCCTTGACGAGGAGCCTACACGGGCTGCAGCTGCTGCACGAGCCGACATGGTGGCGGTAGTAGTGGAGAGTTGGCGGGCTAAGAAAAAGTTGAGATGTAAATGAGTTCTTGGATATTGGGACGTAGTGACTTTATGATGATTACGATTATATGATGGGGTGCGAACTGCGATATTCGAGTGGCAGGACTTATAAGTCTTTCCCCAAGTCAGCCGCCCGCCCGTCTTTCCAGTTCGGCTCTGTCGACGGGTGCCTAGAGGAAAGCCCAACAGGGGCTGAGCTTGGTAGCGTATTATAATAGGCCGCAGCATTTTTGACAGATTGGATTTTGCATTCTCAAGATCAAAGCAATGAAACTAGTATTATCATTGTACTATAGTAGCTCGAATTCTTTCAGCGGTATCCATGGATGCACCGTCGACTAGCGACGAAATTGTTGTTGTTATCGTGGCATCTGGATATGGTGGTCGAGTTTCCTGAGTCCTCGGACCAAATTCAGCTGTGGTGAGTCAGAACTGTCAGACTTGTCCTCTTGTTAGGCAGGGCGAAGCGGCCGCTGGTGGTAGATGTGTTGGCTTAGCACTCCACCCTGTGTAACGACGCCAGATTTCAGTCAGCCTGGTCATGGCATTCAATGACGGAAATCTGTCAAGAAATTGATACTTGGTCGAGGCAAGGTGAGGTCTTGAGGGAGACCGAATAAGTCTAGATGCTAGCCATCACGGCGCCCACCACCCCTACAGATAAGATTTGTAAAAATCGCCCATGAATGGTTTTCATGGCTGATAAGCCTTGCCTCGTGGAGGAGCAAATATTATACAAAAGTTCGCTTTCATGTTATGAAATGCTAATGATATGTCTTCAATGTCGTCCTGTCCCAAATGCATACGTGTTGACTGCGCCTTTGCCCGACGTCTATCTGCCTTCCTTGATAACGAACCCACTAAACAGACCTCGGTGTAATATAGGTAGCCACCACTGCTCCGACAGAATATGTGAGCAAATGTATTATAGAAATGCCTGTAACTTTCTAAGAAGATGGGGGTGACACCAGGCCAGGGGTATCTAGGTGCGATTGTATTCATAAATCCAATGAGAAGTATCGCGATTGAACGTTTAGGGCAATTTACCCCGCATCAACCTCCACTGGGTAGCACATGGTAAGGTATGGAGAGACCTGTAAGATGTATGATATGATTTGGTTATTTGGTTCAAAGACTTGTGATATACTGTTACAATGATTCGCATCCAAGAGATGCCCACGCAATCTGATATTGCAACCATGCAAAAAACAAAAAAGTCAAAGTTGTGAATACCCCGTACTTTGAGCATGTCCCTGTCTAGACCCTTGAGACCACATCGAATGTTTAAGCCCCACCCTCCGTCATCGGGGGCACGCTCAAAATTCTGATGAATCAGGCACAGTTTGGGACTAGAGTCACTAACACCCACCCTTGACTTTCACACAATTGGCAATTCAAGCAGAAGGATTGCGGCGGGAAAAGTGCCAATAGGAAATAAGGGAAAGAAGAAGAAAAGAAAGTCACGACTGTCTCTCTTACTGGCATGGAGTCCTTCACCATCAGAACGCCGTGCTCGTCGGCCAACATCGGCCCCGGATTCGATGTCATCGGCCTGGCCTTGTCCATCTACCTCGAGCTCAAGGTCACCATTGACCGCACCAAGACCTCTTCCCAGGAGCCTCTGAACTGCCGCATCACCTACGAGGGACAGGGCGAGGAGTCGGGCGAGGTGCCCCTGGACCCCTCGGCCAACCTCATCACCCGCGTCGCCCTCTATGTCCTGAGATGCCACGGCCAGCGGGCATTCCCGGTGGAGACGCACGTCCACATCAAGAACCCTATTCCCCTGGGACGAGGACTGGGCTCTTCGGGAGCTGCTGTCGTGGCTGGTGTCATGCTCGGCAAGGAGGTCGGTGGACTTGACCTGAGCCTGGACAGGCTGTTTGACTTCTGCCTAATGATCGGTAAGTCATCTTGGTTTCATGTCATGCCACTATGAACGAGAAAGAGAGCCAATCTCGTTGCCTGGCACCGTATAAGACGAAATGTCATTGACACAATGGACAGAGCGTCACCCGGACAATGTTGGAGCTGCTCTCTTTGGAGGCTTTGTTGGTACCTACCTGAAGCCCCTCACCCCCGAGGACGTGGCTCGGGTGGAAATCCCGTTGAGCGAAGTGCTTCCGGCCCCGGCTGGCGGTGTGGATACCGGCGAGAGTCCGCCAGAGCCGCCGTTCGGCATCGGCCACCACATCAAGTTCCCATGGGGCAAGGAGATCAAGGCCGTTGCCATTATCCCCGAGTTCCAGGTGCCCACAGCAAAGGCACGTGAGGTCCTGCCTACGCATTACTCGAGACAGGATGTGGTATGTTGCCCTCAACTAGAAAAGAACTTTTGAGATTATATCAACTCACCAACTCATAGACTTTCAATCTGCAACGTATTGCTCTTCTGCCCGTGGCTCTGGGCCAGTCGCCACCAGACCCGGAACTGATCTACCTGGCCATGCAGGATAAGCTGCACCAGCAATACCGCTCGACACTCATCCCCGGACTCCAGGATATTGTAGCATCAATGTCGCCCAAGACGCAGCCTGGTCTGCTGGGCGTCTGCCTCTCCGGCGCTGGCCCGACCATCCTCGCCCTGGCGACGAGCAACTTTGAGGAGATTGCCAACCGCATCATCGCCCGGTTCTCGCAGGAGAACATTGTGTGCCGATGGCTGCTGCTGGAGCCCGCCGAGGGCACCAAGACAATCAGGGATTAGAAAGAAAAAGAGAAAAAAATTCGATACCCAATAAGCGTCAATCTGATATGTACGTGCTGCTCGTCTGATCGTTGTAGAGACTGTTTGTTTGTGTACTTTCATGTCGTCGCTCGCCCAAAATGCTAGCTCAGTGGTACACATATCAAACTTATCTGTAATTGATATCTATCTGCCATATACCTACCATATATCTGCTATTTTCTTTTAACCATAATGTTTTATTACCTTTCCGAAACTTCACATCACATGTGTCTTCAAACTTGTACATACCGTATTCAAATCAGATGATTGTTTCATTATTTTTCTCTCCCCTCCTCTCTTGGGGAAATACTGCTTTATGGCGTTGCATCACAAAGTATTCATATTCGCACGTGTTGGATCCAATTGATATAGGGGGCGTACTAGTCCTCTCCAGCCAATGACCTATTACCAGGACTTGTCCCTCGGTATGTGTCATGCTTAGACGAGCCGAGATAGAGTCTCATACTAATTGCATGGTCAAAAGCACCTGTCAAAGATGGTCATGTTTTTCCGTGGCCAAGTCCGTTTCGGGTCACTCTTTTTCCGGGTGCCCGTACATCGTGCATTGGTGCAATGCTACCCTCAATGTGACAATCGTGATTCGTATTTATGATTAAAAAGAAAATGCAACAGATCTTTTTGTCAGCGGGGGTTTATTCAGGTCAAGCCGTTGCCAAGCCAAATAGAGGGCTGGCGGAGCAGCGGACGGGAAATTAGCATGTGACGCTGGATCTCACGATCCCTGTCCCACATCGTTAGCACAGGGCCGATCCCCATGTTGTTCCCAAGAATACCAACGCTCAAAGTGGATGGGAGTTCGCCTGTCAAGTCAAGACCGAAAATCGTCGCCCCTTTGGGATCTTGGAAGTTTTGCCGAGCCAGTGTTTTGACAAAAGCAGTCGTGTGAGCAGACTGAGCATTGTCTGGTAGGACAAATTTAGGCTTTCGAATGGGTACCGATGCGGGTTGTGCTTCGATGATCTGGATCTCGCCTACGTATTCGGATTCCTGACCGGCATGGCATACAGTCTCTTGGGTATTGATCCTGGCAATGGCCATGCGGCATGCCCAGCGAATGCTACTCTTCGGTATGGCGGAACGTGGGGTTGCGGATTGTGAAGAAGAATGGTGCCAGACACATGGAAAGGAGGTCTACCTACATATGAAGGGGATCATGTCGAGAATCCTGATGAGGAGATCTGGCTGCCTCTCTTGATTCCTCACGGACTTTAAGCCGGACCAACCAGCAGCACTCCTCCAGCTGTGGCGGCATAGTCGCTTCCCAGTCACTCATTATGGCTCCTTACCATGTAAAGACCATTGCTTTCTTGGCTTCCTTTATCGCTGCTACCGCCGCTTCCGAAACGTGCGACCAGGTCGCCAGCCTGTATCCGAATATCACCATTGACCAACCGCTATCCCTCGAGTATACGGAGGCGCAAACCGAATATTGGTCAACGGCTTGCGGAGACCTCAAGCCAGCCTGTATACTGACGCCCCAAACGACTGAAGAGGTTGCTCAGATCGTTCAGGTATTGCTCACCAACAACGAGACTTTTGCCATCAAGTCTGGTGGCCATAACCCGAACAACTACTTTGCTAGTGTCGATGGCGGCCCTCTGATCTCAACAAAGCTTCTCAATGAGGTTGTGCTGGACAATGCTACCGAGACTGTCAGAGTTGGCCCAGGAAACCGCTGGGATGATATCTCGGCCGCATTGGATGGCACCGGGTATACAGCTGTGGGAGGCCGCATAGGCAATGTAGGCGTTGGAGGCTATCTGCTTGGAGGTCAGTAATTATATTCATGGATGCTTGTCCGCTTGGAATAAAATCACTAACTGAAACTTGATAGCCGGCTTGAGCTTTATGAGCACTGAATACGGATGGGCAGCGAACAATATTGTCGAGTATACACTCGTCCTGGCCAATGCTACTGTTCTCACTGTTACAGAGGATACCTACCCGGACATCTTCTTGGCACTAAAGGGAAGCGGAAGTATTTATGGAATTGTGACCTCCTTTGTGCTCAAGGCACACCAGCAAGGCCAGGTATGGGGCGGCAATCTGTGGTTCGATGCAAACTCGGATACCACTCCCAAGCTTCTGGCTGCGCTTCGCGACTTCACCGAATACTACCCGGACGAGAAAGCCGGTATCATCCTCACCGCGGAGCGGACTCTGGGCACGATCCTCGACATTTGGATTTTGTTCCTGTACTACAACGGGCCAGAGCCTCCGGTTGGCGTGTTTGACAACTTTACTGCCATCGCCCACACTATTGACACGACAAAGACGCAGAGCATGAACGAGCTGGTGAGCGGCAACAACTGGGCCGTGGTTAAGGGCAGCGTCTACACCATCGGCACCGAGTCGACGCCGCTGCCTAGCGAGGCCAATGGGGCCGAGGTCCTGGGCGCCTACTATGACACCTGGGTCAACGTGAGCAACTCGGCCGCCTTGGTGCCCGGACTGATTGCCAGCATTGCATTCCAGCCACTGCCCAAGCGTATTGCTCAGATTGCACGAGCCAATGGTGGCGACATGCTGGACTTTGACGATGATGTTGACCGTATCATCATGGAGCTGGACTACAGTTTCCTGTTCAATGACCAGTATCCCACCATAGACCAGACCATGCAGGACACTTACAATGGTCTAAAGGCGGACGTGGAACAGTTCCAGGCGGCCGGGAAGCTAGAATCAGATGTCTACCTGCCTCTCTTCATGAACGATGGTTTCTATAGACAGGACTATTTCGGTCGTCTTAGAAGTGAGAAGCAGGATTTGGCCAAAAGCGTGCGGGCTCAGTTGGATCCCGAAGGGTTGTGGAGGGATAGGACGGGCGGCTTCAAGATTCTGGAATAGATTGCAACTGGCACTGGGAAGTGACTGAATTCTTCATGCCTGGATAAGTCTTGTGACTCACACTTGTGTATAGACGCAGGGAAGTGAATCTAGAGTGTTGTAGCAAAAAAAAGGAACTTAAAGAAAGGAGTACATCGACATAAGACATGTATGCACGTGAATAGTACATACATATGCGCCAATCGCTAATAAGTAGCCTCTAAACGAGATGAGCTTTGGCGCTTTTCTCCGCTCGGCTTAGTGAGGGGACCCCCTGTCGCCAACTCTAATCGCACTGAAAGTCAACGTCTTGGAGGGGTCAAGGGGGTTCAGGCTGTTCGAATTGACAACTGGCTATAACTCGAACATTTTGGGCACCTGACGACGAGGTTATTGCAGCATCACGCAGCCGCCATCCTACGAGGGAAACCTGCTGCTCTTTTACTCAGGGTTTCTGGCGATCTGCATATATCTTGAATTTTCCTCCAAAACAGACAACGGCCTATACTCGCGCGCCTGATGAATTTCCTCAAATCGGCAGTGGCGTCCGCCATTGCCCAGGGACCGCCGTTCCCTTACACCTTTGGCGATCGGGTTGACGCCGATGCCTCCATCTGGACGCTCTACAATGGCACGCGCCGTGAAGATGGCAGCAACTGCAGCATCTTTGCCTTTGAGATCAATCCCTCGACCAAATCCCGACTCCCGCTTGCCAAGAACGCGCTCAAGAAGCTGCGCACCATGCGCCACCCCGGCGTCATCAAGATCCTGGACACGGTCGAGACAGAGACATATATCTACATGGCGACGGAGCGCGTCGTCCCGCTACGGTGGCACGTCAAGAGAAAGAGTTTGAGCCAGGAGACCATCAAGTGGGGATTGTACAGCATCGCGCGTACTGTCAAGTTCATCAACGACGAGGGCGCCAGCATACACGGCAACCTCAAAGTCGCAAGCGTCTACACCTCCGAGAGCGGCGAGTGGAAGCTCGGCGGCTTCGATGTCCTCAGTAACGTCAAGGACGACGATGCCGTCATCTACACATTCGGCAGTCTGGTGCCTGACAATGGTCGGTATACGCCGCCCGAGCTGGCGCGCAACGGCTGGGATGCCATCAAGAGGAGCCCGCACTCGGCCGTCGATTCATACATGTTTGGCGCATTCATCTCCGAAACTTTCAATGGTGATTTTCTGGGATCGGACCAAGCAGGCCAGACAAAAGGCATCCCTCCTACCATGCACACGAGTTACAAGAGGCTAGTCAACGCAAACCCCAAGGCAAGGATAACAGTGGGCGCGTTCCTGGAGATGGGGAAACGCACAGGGGCATTCTTTGACTCACCGCTCATCAAGTTGACAGAGGGCGTGGATAACCTCGGGATGAAATCTGAGGAGGAGAGGGAACAATTCTTGGACGATCTCGACTCGCTGTCCGACGACTTTCCAGAAGACTTTTTCAAGATGAAGGTTTTGCCAGAGCTGCTCAAGTCTGTGGAATTCGGTGGAGGAGGACCGAAGGCTTTTGGGGTAGTCATGAAGATTGCCACAAAACTCTCCAGCGACGACTTTGAGGCCAAGGTGCAGCCTGTGGTCATCAGGCTCTTTGGAAACCCCGACAGAGCCATTCGAGTCTGCTTGTTGGACAATCTACCAGTCATGATTGATAGACTGCCCCAAAGAGTGGTCAATGACAAGATCTTCCCCAATATTGTAAGTTCATCGAGTTGTTGGTTTCTCTGAACATTGCTAATTGTGATTATAGGTAACTGGCTTTACAGATATGGCGCCAGTCGTCCGGGAACAGACCCTCAAGTCGGTATTGGTCATTATTGGCAAGCTTTCAGACAGAGTCATTAATGGCGAGCTGCTCAAGTACCTTGCCAAAACGGCAAATGACGAGCAACCTGGCATCAGAACCAACACTACCATTTGCCTTGGAAAGATTGCCAAGAACCTCGGAACTTCAACCAGGAGCAAAGTCCTCATTGCCGCATTTACGCGCTCACTACGCGATCCATTCGTACATGCCCGCAACGCTTCTCTCATGGCCTTGGCAGCCACTTCGGAGCACTTTACCGAAGAGGATTGCGCTTCAAAGGTCATGCCAGCCATTTGCCCTTCCCTGATCGACAAGGAGAAGATGATTCGGGACCAAGCGCTCAAGACACTTGATGTATACATGAACAAGATCAAGAAAGCCGCCGCAAGCATGCCCGACACGGTTTTGCCTCCGCAGCCTGCCAGCGAGGGTGCTGGTCCTCGCATGAGCACGCCTCAAGCGAGCGAGGCTTCTTCGTGGACTGGTTGGGCCATTTCGTCCTTTACTAACAAATTATCGACTGCCGCTGGAGAGATTGAGCCGTCGGCAAGTAACGGCACCAACACTCCCACCGCCAGAGTCACTTCCCCGACTCCTGGAGCAAACCGCCTCGTACCATCCACTTCCTCGGCATCCACCCTACATCGACAGGCAGTCTCGCCACGCCCCTCGACATCGCTATCTCGTACCTCCTCGACATCAAATGCGGAAGCCTACTTCAAGGATCCGGAGCCTGTTGACGAAGATACCGGGGACGCATGGGGTGATATGGGCGACATGGACGACGGTGATGCCTGGGGAGACGACACAGCGGATACAACACCTGCCTCGTTTACTGCGGCCGCATCAAAGCCTGTCAAGAAGGACGTGTCATCGCCTGCACCCTTTGATGATGGATCGGAGCCTGATTTCGCCGGATGGCTGGCTGCCCAGGCAAACAAGAAGACGGGCGCAAAGGCTTTGCCAAAGGGCTTGACCAAGGCAAACAGCACAGGCACGGTCAAGAAAGTTAGCAGCGTTGCAAGCAGCAAACCAAAGCCCGTCGTAGCCAAGAAGCTCGATATGAAGCCCAAGGAAACAGAGGACGATGACGGATGGGGCGACGGCTGGTAGAATGGCGCAGCAATCTTGGGAAGCAAATTTTTACTCTTCATCTGTCGATGAAGAGATTCTTGATCTATTCATACAGGTTACGGGCATGGCAAGGCGTTTGGAGTATTCTGCGGCAATACCATTCTTGGTATGTTACCAACATCGAATCGATACATATAATAGACATAATCAAACAAAAAATCTCAATTGTCAAGGAAGCTCTTTTGCGTCAAGAGATTAGCCATGTAGCAAGGATAGTCGTGCATGCTTAAGCTGAGTTACTTCTCGTAATCTCGTGGTGGCTTTTTGACGTCTTGTGAGCACCTACGGCATCATCAAGGATACATCAGCAACACTGCTACAGACCAGAATTGTGTTCACCCAGGAGGATAGGAGTCTATTTGACATGAAGTACGAAGCGAGGATACTAACGTCAGATGTCCTGCTCGGGTCATTCAGCGTTCGTATATCAAAACCATCCAACTCGGGAGAGTTTGACTAATCCAAGGTGGATTCCGCATGTTTTGAAACGATCGGCAATTGCTATCAGGAGCATATTTTTTTTCCCTTTGGTGCCTGATTGCAGAATTCGACGGGGAAGTGGAAAAGAAATAGTGTTCTTCTCTGAGGCTCCTCTGAAAAGTCATCTGCTGTTGACTGTCTAAAAGGCAAGGCTATTGCCTTCATAAATGTCCGTCCATTAGGCATATATTATAATCGCATATGCCGCTGCAGCAACTATACTCATCGTGGAGGCAGCTGTCTATTTTATGAACATTTTGAGAAGAGTGAAGTAGGACGGGGTGGGTTGTGGGGGGAACTTACAGCCTGATCTGATACAGCCTACCTTCCTGGTTGGTACCCCATCCAAGGGAAGTGTACTATTGGGTGGTGTCTTCTGGAAGATATCTGTACTGTTAAAGTGCAAGGGCTGACTTGCCACCGCCATGGCCATGGCAGCCAGAATGACGGCGAGGACGGCAAGGATGGCGCCAAAGAACTTCATGATGAAGTTGAAATCAAGTACGGCTTTTGTAAAAGTCCAGAGCGCTGAGTAATTGAAATGGAAGCAGTGTAATTCTTGTCTCCCAGGTCTAGAGTTGTATGAGCAGGGCTTTATATATTCTTTTCATATAAACTTCAGTGGCCGGCGCCATAATGCGCATTTTTGCAGTGGCAAACACCTTGTTGGTCAGGTGTGACGGGTGCCTGTGTTGGAAAACCTGATGATAGCTGTAGCTATCGACTTTACTGTCCCTGATGGCCATCTCCAGTGGGGAGATACATTGTATTCTTCTAGTGTCAGAAGGAGCCCATGAATTATATCAGAGAAGGTCGATAACCCCGCGGAATGGTGAATGGCGTCTCCCCTGGAAGCGCCTACTGATGTTGTATCAATATTCCGGTTCCACTACTTCATATCCAGGCAGGCGTAGTGAAGTTGTGAGAGGAAGCAAACAATGGCTACTGGCATTCTACTTTTGGGTCGTGCTTCACAGCTGGCAAGAACATTTTGTAATGTTGCACCAACTCAAGTGGCATGTGTGGGTTTCCACATAAATTCTTCACCTGTTCGTACATGCTTCCAGTATTTACGCAATTGACATACATATCTACTAGAAAATCAAAATCTCATCCTGACCCCCACTGGATTTGGTCCGTGATCAATAACCTTTCCATCCATCATGAAGTTCGTCACTGTTACACTCGTGATGTTCACGCACTTCGGGTTCTCGGCATCCATTCCGGCCATGAGGTCCGAAACCGAGATCCTTGGGCATAGCAAAGGAGAGAGCATTCTTGCAAGAGGGTTTCGCTGTGAAGCCAATCATCCCAAGATCTGCTGTGCAGTAAGTCTTATTACAAGGTCAACTCTTTACGCTCAAAGCGTCCACAAACTGATCGCGTTCGGTTAAAGTGCCATGGTGGAATCGGTATATGCTCGAGAGGCATCTGCGCCTGCGAAGGAGGAGACTGCTGAGCCGTAGCATCAAGCCACATCACTTGCCCTCGAATCAGTCGGGCCAACACGCAGAATGGACCTGACGATGAGGGAGGGGCAGCCACTTTTCGCGAGAGACACATCTGAGAGGAATAGTTACATGCCTTTCGACAACCTAACCCGGCAGCTGAACCTTTCGAAGGATCCCAAGGCAGCTTACAAAATAAATAAATTACAAACAAAATCATTCGGCCTCATGAGACGTTTCGTTGTGGATTGTGTGATAACTTTGTTGAATTGTAAGCATACCCAGTGATTTCGGATGCATTAATCGCTTGTAGCAGCAGGACGGTGCAATTTGCATCGTCTCGGGTATTGTTGTGCCTCTATAATGGCATCACTAAATAAACATGCAACCTATAAAAGCCCCCCCTTTGAACGCCAGGCAAAAATTCCAGAATAACATGCAATAACTGGCTCCAAGCCGGCAGAAACTACATCGTTGCCTATGAACCTGATCTGTTGCATGTCAGTCTCTCCCAATAATCACGCTTGGGTTTGGGAGATCGCACTATTCATCTTCTTCATCTGATGAAGATGCCACAGCTTGGCTGTCCAGACTTGCACTGGTAAAGCCAGGAATAGGAACATATGGAGTGTGGTCCGCAGCAAGATTGCTTCCAGAAACAACCACAAAAGATTGTCCCAGTCCAGAGATGCCCGAGTCTTGAACTGGCTGTGTAAGACCGGTGAAAGCTGGCACTGGTGTCCTGCCAGGCTGCACCGTAACGATTTGATTCGGCATTGCCGCACGAGACCGTTCTTTGTCGCTGTCCTAACGCGCCTCAGAGTAGTCGTTGAGTGCAACGCATACTGCACCACGATGGTGACCGTTGTACTGTCGGATGACCTGTTGGCTATGAAGCTCCCAGAGACGAGCGTAATGATCGCTGCAAGCAGTAACTAAGTACGCCGAGTCCGCTGAGAAGGCGCAGTCCCAGACCCAGCGTTGGTGCCCCTGGAGGGTAGCCTCCAGAGGGTAAGGTTTCGGCTTGCGCTGGTTCGATGGGTTGTTGGGGTCCTGTTCGTCGTCGGGTGTGAGGGGTGACGGGGCCGGGAAGGCAGCGCCATTCAAGACGCTGTGCATGCCATTGGTCGAGGTTCCATTGCTGATGGGCAGCGGCACTTGCTGAGTAGGGTCAACATCAATGACCTCCCAAATCTTGGCAGTATGATCGGCCGAGCAGGTGGCCAGCTTCTTGACATCAGGAGAGAGGAGAATCCGGGTGATGTATTCCTTGTGTGCTGAAAAGTGTGTCACGGGAAGCAATGAAGTGTGCTCATAATTCTGAATCAATGCCCAGACAAAAACGTTGCCCTGGGGAACTCTGTTAGCACGACTCCCAAGACGTCGTTCTGGAGAGATGGCACTTACAGCATTATTGGCAGCGCAAAGTAGGCTACCGTCGCTGGCAACAGTAACACTGCTCACACTCACATCCTCCTCGGGGATCAGCTGGTGACTGCAGTTGTTCTCAGCCAGATCCCAAATTCTGACGCTGCCACTGCGATCGCAACTTATGATCTCGCCTTGGTTGGGGTGGATCACGACATCGTTGACCGGACTGCCATGGTTATAGCTCCGCTGAATGGTACCAGATCGAGTTTCCCAGATCTTGACGGTGCCATCCTCGGATGATGTCACCATCCACTTTCCCTCGCAATGAAATGCAACCCCGGTAATATTACCAGTGTGGCCCTCGAAAGTCAGCAGCGGGTTGGGATTGGTCGACTTGATATCGTAGAGCTTGACGGTATGGTGTCCGGCGGCAGCGAGAAAGCGCTTGTCGGGAGAGATGCAGAGACGGTTCACTTGCGAGTCGGGGTGTTGGATCGTACGCGAGCAGATTCCGGAGAGAGCCTCCCAGAACCTAAAGAGTTACCAGTCATTCAATTAGCTTTGGACTCCAAGCACAAGACCCCGGAGAGGGAGGGAGGCCCTCGCGCAACCTGTCGGCGCATACCTGATCGTGTGATCATAACCGGCTGCGATGCGAATTAGCAATGCCCAGGCAGGGGGGGAAAAGGATTCGGCTCACCTGTACAGAGAATCACAGACATGGTGGATTACTCAAACGGCCATATCAAATTCAATTCTGTTTCGGGATACCGCAATACGCGTCTTTGGCGCCTGAGGTGGAAAGGATGTCCGAATTGTCTTGGATCGATGGCGGGGCGGTGGTGGTTTTGTTCCAGGTGCTCCAGTCTCTCTGATTAGGTCGGTACATCAAGGTAGTAGTAGCAGTAGCTACATTAGCTGGAGGTGCTCAAGTGATGAGGTCGCAGCTAATCTACCTTAGCTCGTACCCTGGAAGCTCTGCCGTCCAGGTACTGTTATCGCTATCGCCGATAACTCTTGCAGGTAAACAGGGGCGGCAGCTCAGCTGCGAACGACTGTATGCTTTTATACAGAAGGAGCCCTCGCTATAGCAATGGCAACTCCATCCGTGGCATAGCACTCACCTACTTCGTACTGCAGGTACCAACCAAGGGTACCTAAATAGTTTTTCATGGTCACGAGCTTACCATTTCTTCCCCCCATTCACAAAAGTTCCCCTTTCATTTGCATATCAAACTCCCCTGCGCAGAATCAGGCTCGAATATCCTCAGCAGAGCCCAGTCAATGAGGGAAAGGCACAAGCCACGTAACGCTACACTCATGAGTTTCCAGGCGCCAGACCCGGCCGAGTCCATCCTATGTAACGTCTAGTCAGATGTAACCAGATTGAGGGTTTGCTGGGCACGCATCTGAGCACTCGAGGATGAATCACTGGTATTTTGACAGTAACTAGAAGGGATCTTCCCGGGCCACGTCATTGCCGCAGCTGATTCAACGGAAAACTTTCCGACCCGCATCGGTTGCTTGCAGAGAGCCAAGATGCTTCTACTGGCTGGGCTGCTTACTCTGAACTCAGTTCAACAGCAGAATCTGGCATAAGATTACAGTAGAAATCACCGAGATCGACAAAGCCTGGCCCATAGTTCAGCAGCACCTGCGACGAATATCGTTTGAAGGCTCTGAACAGCAATGCATGTGCTCCCGAGAAGAAATAATGGGTATATCTATTTCATAATCAACTGCATGGTTGTCATTTGATTTCAAAGGACGATGGAATACATGGTATTTCTCTTCCAGGACGAGGATTTGAATTATCTCCAGGTAGGAAACCCATGTCCAACAATATCGAACCAAATGCAAGCAACATGACGCTGCATCTTTCGCGCCCGAGTACAACATCATCTGGATCCCTCATAGCACGAGAAACTACACTCAGCTCATACACGGACCCAGATCAAGATCGTCCATTGCGTCGAGAACGGTGGCCTGGTTTACTATCTTTGGATTCAGAGTGTCTGCTCTTGTTGCCAGTCCTGGGCGTCGAGGGAGGAAGCGGTGTTCGACGACACCCGCACCGAGACTCGCGAAACACGAATTTGGCACCTCCGCATTGGCTGCATGGCGGCCTACGAAATGTTAGTCGAAAGCTGGCACTCTTCCTTAAAGATGACTTAGGTGTACCCGTTTCGCATCTCGCTGCCCCGGCAAGCACATTCTGTAGGCTCCCAACCCCCAAAGCATGTACAAGACGAGCTGTAGTCGTACGTCGAAGTCATTTGGGCGGGAAAAATGATGACAAGTCTAAAAAGATCTGCTGCGGGTTTTCTTTGATCTCGTTTTTGTCCTTTTTTTCGAGTTTCCCTGCCTCACTTTGCCATGATGGCAATTCACCACCTGAGGATGTTTATATACTTCTCTCAAATGACATCAATCGTCACTGGTGCGAGTATCAAAGGGCCGGCCGACTCAATAATTGACGATGTTACAGGCTGGAGACACAAGAGCAGCCGCTTCCAAGACTATACCATCTGCTGCCATTTCCTACCGAGACTTTGGTACCGATGATGACAATGCCACGACACGATTTTGATGGCGGCAGGTTGGGCATACGAAACCATGAGCGGCTGTCACTTCCGGGGGCTCCTGGCCAATGATTGACGGGCTCCCACTCGCACACCCAGCTGAGCCGTCTGCAGATAATGTTCGGTGAGATCCTGTCCATCGTTTCTGGAAGGTGTTCGTGCCGCGGTTACACAGCAGACTGGTTAAACGCTCACGCGGTTTCCTTGCCTCCTGTATTCCCTGTCTGAAAAACAAGCAAATCGGCCAACTTACGCCCCTGGTATGCTTCCAAGATGGCGAGTTACCACATTGTAGATTCTGTAGGCCTCCGTTTCGTGGCTCCTTAGCCAGACCGCCTTTCTCGAGGTTTGTAGCGGTTTCTGCTCTTCTCATACACCAGCTGTGATATTCTCTCACAACTTTTGTGACCAGTTACACACGCTCTATTGGAAATTGGTTATTGTAATCGAGGCAGTACTGCTGAAACTGGACCACGCGTCCTGCGGGAGTGCGTCTTCAGCTGTCGCCTGTATGACACCAGTCCATGGGTAGAATGTGCCACTTCATTGCCTTTCAAGAAATCAGAATGATTGCTACCTCGGTAGCAATGCCCATTTGGCGGAGATACTAGACACCATAGCCTCATATTCACCAGAGTATTCCTTATAGAATGAGATGTCATGAGAACCATTCCATTATGTTAGATCGATGACGATGCTAAAGCAATTGTTGCGTCCCACAACACATCCCGAGACTTACCAATATAACACTCGTTTTAGAACACAGGAGAGTGTCATGGTATTTTTGGACAATGAAATGTTACTAATGTACGAGCCTCGTCTTATAAAGTATACAGCGTTATCCAATGCCCTTAGACTTCATACACCGCCTCTCGCCAGTACTTTGAGTAGACTGCTAAAAGAAAAAGACAAAAGAAAAAACCAGGCAAAAAGTATAAGACTGATAATGAACAATGATATCTCCATCTTCTCGAATACAATGACAATTATTTAAATAATTCATTAATATAGTTGTTCCGGCATTTCAATGAACATGATCTCAACTCCTGGAGCGGGTTGACTTGGAGGCAGATCCACCACTTTTCCGGTCCTTATGTTTCGAAGAGGCGCTTCTTCCAGATGTTCTCGGAGGAGGTATGTGACTTGTATGAGTAGGCATGGACGTCCACTCAACTCCTGTTCCGCCGCATGACGTGCAGAATGGTACACTGAATTTTAGATTAGTTGGTTATGATTGAGGGAAGAGAATGACAGCGTACAGTCGAGCGGCACCCTTGCAATTTTGGCAAACGCCTGGAAACAAGTTGTCGGAGCCAACACCAATGTCTAACTCTGGAGCAAAAACTTCATTCGATCTGTACGACATTTTGATACAGTGATAATCAGTAAACAATATAGCTGCAGTATTCTTGTAAGGATCTATGAAACAGGGAAATTAAGCGATATACACCCAGATTAAATACTTAGGCTCCGACAGCAACCTGTGTAAAGAGCCAAGCTGGTCTCCCATCGATTAGTGTGGCATCTGCTCACTATACACTCGCAATATTGTGACCGACTCCGCGTGGTCAATCACGATTGGTCCTTTCAAGAGCCACACAATGAAGTATCGGGCAAGCATCGATCGCCGAATGGAGCATGTTGTCGTTTAAGCGGCACGTGCATCTTGATACATCGAGTCAGGCAATCAGGGGCTCGGTTTCTATGGTCAGTAATAGTGTGCGACGTTGTGCCCCGTCATAGCTGAACATCTAGCAAATGCAGGTACGGTAAGAGCATTGCGAATATTTGGAAGAATGTACAAGGTACGGAACATTCTTCTTTTCCACCCTTTTTATCAGTCAGTCTTACCAATGAAGCTAAAGCCAAGCCCACTCGCATTAATTTTCCGTTGCCTGATTGAAGTCCTCTTGAATATCGAAGTTGTGCTGACCCGAATCATCCTCGCCGATGCATCTACCCGTCGCCATTACGCGGTTCGATATGCCGTTGGCCGAACCCACCATCTTGCGCCGAAAGTTCCCCCCTTTCCCCCCTCTTCGGTGCGCAGCTTGCGGGTCTGCTCCCGATAAGACAGACATACTATCGTGTCGTTCCTCCCCAGCTTCAAAAAGAGCCCAGTATAGGCGTGAGTCAGACTTGCCGGCTGCAACGTCGGATTCTGACCAACTGTGCTGTACTAATTGCGTGGTTACCGGTCCACGCTTCACGTGCCGGTATGACACTACCTCCTTCCAGCGTATCACGATCGTCATGAATGGAGACGGATTGCCTCGGCGGCAATGGAATGTCGACCGATGTGGCTTTATACTGGGCTTGAGATAAGAGGATATCTCATGATAATGGCCAGATGAAAGCAATGCAGTCTCAACGGCACCAGATTACAATGGTTTTCTTCACCAGACGTACTGTTTGTTGATTTGTACGCTGCTCAAGATGATCCCCTTGGCCGGTAATGATGACGTGCCTCTTGAATGTGCATTTACTCACGATTGGCTGCGGTTTTGTATCGCCCGACGGCCACTTCTCACTCAAACGTCAAGCAATAATCTTCCCACCGGTGCCTCGATGTCTTATGTCCCATGTAACTCTTTAGATCATGCCTGTTACCAAGATTCTCAATGTTTGAGTCTGCACGAAGTCAACACACGGCCAAGAAGCTTAATTTCGTCTCCAATTGACGATGCTCATCGTCGTGGGGGTCGCTCACTACATTGGCTGCGGACTGCGATGTGTTTAGGCTTGTGTGTACTGCGATAGCAATTCGCTCACCGGTCAGTGATCAGCTGGAATTAGATCGGTTAAGATATACATAAGTACCACTGCCAGTCCATAGTAGGGATGCTCCGATCATCATCAAAGACCTCAACGACATGCCGAGAAAAAGCACCTTGGGCTATTATGCGTTGGCATATGGGCAGGTGATCTGAGCTTGACGAATAATGCATCCATCATAGTATACACAAGGCAGAGATGAAGCTATCGTGAGTTTTGGGTGCACAAATGTTTCCTGTCAACGAGTTACAGGACACCTGTTGCGTGTGGTCTCACAACATGCTTCTCGGGCAGTCCGATAGGACAGACCATCCATGCACCTCTTTTGCATACGTGGACGCGAACCACAGGCTGTAAAGGCAGGCTTTCAACCTGATCATCGGTTACTGTAACGCCTACCCGACGTTAGCAGCCACCTTGGTCTCAATCTCATCTGATATGATGATGGTTCTTCATCTTAAAAAAAGAGGAAAAGAAAAGCTTGGTGCCACCATCAGCCTACAAGAAGTACCGCTCGGACGGTGTGACCACGATCACATATGATCGTGAAATGACTCGAATCATGCTACATGCCTGCCTGAACACTAATGAAGATCCATCACATGGGGTGATCATGATGACCAAGTGGCCTTAGATTGCGATTTCGCTTCAGTTTCAATTCCATCTCACACCGGTCTATCTAACACTCATTTGCACAAAGGTTTTCAACCAGTACCATATCATGCGTTACTCACGAGCCTTAATTCGGGCATAAACAAATCCAGATAATGTTCGCCCCCTTCCTACACCTCCATCCTCTATTCTTGTACAACATCACTGGAACGTAGTAGTCTAGGAGGACCAAAGCATTGACGCAATCATGAGGGGACTGTGGGGGAGATTCATAAGATCTTTTCGGGACGAGAATTTCTTCGGCCTCGTCATGAAGATCAAAGCAACGAGAGATGACGTGGACGTTCAACGACCACAAATATTCATATCCTTGGGGGATGATCATCGCGACCAAGATCTCAGCAAGTACGGACCTCTCCCATCTGCTAGGTGGTTTCACCGGTTAATGATACCCCCAGCAGGTGGAAGACGCAGATCTTGTTTTGAGTTCCTGCTGCTGTCATCGAGTTGCCTTGGGGCTGCTGGGCGGACTAGGTCGCCTCGCAAGCTGACCATCACGTGCCCAGCTATTCATTTGCAGAACAGCACCTTGCTTCTGTCTTTGCGACTACGGGATTGGATTATATACCAAATTATAGGAGTGTGAGACTAATGAGAAATATTACATTGGTTTGTTTCCCACTTTTGCGCACTGGTCAAGTTGCCCATTCACCAATGAAAGTACTGCAGGAGTGACCCAACCAGTCTGAATAATATCTAGCCACGGAGTTTATGCTCTCTAAAATAGGTCTCTCTAAAAATAAGTGTACTATCGATTGAATACCCAGCGCTGTATTTCAAGGGCTGGTAAATGCAGACTATATCAGCAGTGGTTTTTGCTTCATTCCTGGAGATCCAGAAACAATTTGCCTTCCTTTGGGGGTCAGTCTACCCGAAGCACCTGAAGGTTTCGTACATTGGGGCCAGACTTGGAAGCTCATGACTATGATGACTGGGACTTACCTTTATTGTTAATGAAGCGACGCTGGAACTGCACTTTTACCTTTGTTGCAAGCCGGCAAAAGCCAGCGCATTCTAATTCTTTTTGTGTCTAATCGGTCAAGTTTCCACCATTTCAACTGTGGTCTGTATTGTGTTATGAATGGGAGAAACCCTAATACCTGTTGCATATCAGACACCCATCGGTGTGTGACGATTATTTGGATAGCCTGTCATTTGCTTTGTAATTCATGCATGGATGCCGCAAATATGGTCAATTGAGAAATGTGCTCAATCGGGCGCTTCTGAACTTTGATGAGAGATGAACAGAAACCACAATTCTGTTTTCTGCTCATTGAGACTCGAGGTCCATAAAAACAATAAAAGTTCGCATCAAACTACCCAAAATACCCGGGAAATACCCAAAAACGATGTCATCATAACCCTTGCTGCTCATGCTCGTTTCATGCCTAATGGGGCAGGTGCCGGCTAGGATCTGCAATACGAACGAAACAGGGTAGATCAAATCAGATCATCACCGGGGTGTTTTTTGCCATGACCCTTAAAATAAGGCGCCAAGGCCTGCAACTTTTGGTTCCTGGATCTCTTCGAGAGCTTTTCCAAGCTCTTGGCGTCAGTATAACATTTCGCGCGCTCCTTGGCTCATGATGAAGTTGCTATCGACTTTACAATTTGCAGTTTTCTGCCTCAATGCTCTGGCTACGGCATCTCCTTTTGGTGGGTCCGGGGCGGATCAATACTGAAATGAACGATAACAAGCTAACCAGACTTGTTAACCAGGGGACCATGCCGTCCACGAGGAGAGACGAGGAATAAGTGAGAAAGATAGGCAGAGCTCTTTGATGCTGGAGTTGAATTAACACCGGGTAGGCTCACGATGGGTGAAGCGAAACCGAGTGCCAGCTTCCAAGCGTTTACCGGTGCGCATTGGATTGACCCAGTCCAACCTCGATCGTGCAGAAGAGTATCTCTTGGACATTTCTCACCCAAAGTCGCCTAATTATGGCAAAACGTGGACATCTGATGAAGTCGTTGCGGCTTTTCAACCCAGTGAAACGGCTGTGCAGGCTGTGCGCGAGTGGTTAGCCAGCCATGGTATTGTCGAAGTGACACATTCTGACAACAAGGGCTGGTTGGCCTTTGATGCGCCAGCAGCCAAGGTGGAAGAACTATTTCAAACTGAATATTACGAGCACGAAGACCGGAACACTGGTGGTCTCGTTCCATCTTGCGATAAGTACCACGTGCCTCAGAAAATCCAAGAACACATCGACTACATTACGCCAGGCACGAAGCTCATGGCTCCCGAGGGTATTGTAAGCGACTTGAAAGTCAAGAGAGACGCGCAAAGGACCCGCCGTGGAAATCGGCTCAAGCTTCCAGCCAAGCAAAAGCTGTCAGAGAACCTCCACAGCCTACTGTCAAGCAATGCGAGCGATCTGAGTACTTGCGATGTGGCAATCACGCCAGCCTGTGTCGCCGCTCTGTACAATATCCCTCCTGGCAACTCGTCGGTGGCAAACAATTCTCTGGGCATTTTTGAAGCCGAGCTTCAATATTGGGACCAAGAGGACCTTGACTTGTTCTTTGCCAATTTTAGCAGCTGGATTCCTCAGGGCACTCATCCTTTTGACGAGGAGATTGATGGCGGAGTGGCCCAGACTGATAATATCTCTCTCGCTGGCGGCGAATCCATGCTGGACTTGCTTCTTGCGTATCCCATCGTGTACCCCCAGACAATCACAGTCCTCAATGTGGATGACATCCACTACCAAACATGGGAGAACGATACTTATACCGTAAGCCAAATTTGTAGACGATATTCGGGATCAATTTGCTGACGCACCCTGAACAGTGGGGATTCAACACGCTTCTAGATGCCATTGACGGTTCTTACTGTACATATAGCGCCTTCAACGAGACTGGTGACTTGCCCAACTGGGACCCGACATATCCGGATCCGGGTCCAGACGGATACAATGGAACTCTACAGTGTGGCGTATTCGAGCCGCCCAATGTCCTGTCACTGTCATACGGAGGCCAAGAAGCCGACGTGCCCATTTCCTACCAGAAGCGCCAGTGCAACGAGTACCTCAAACTCGGTCTGCAGGGCGTGACCTTTGTCTTTGCGTCGGGCGACTCGGGCGTCAGCAACTACCCCGAGCCCTACGGAGACGACGGACCGACGGGCTGCCTGGGACCCGACTTGAACATTTTCAACCCGACGTGGCCAAACAACTGCCCCTGGCTGACCAACGTCGGTGCCACAAAGGTGTATCCGGGATACACTGTATTTGATCCCGAGAGCGCCGTATTTGATCCCGGCCGGGTCAACTACTCGTCCGGCGGCGGCTTCAGCAACGTGTTTCCCGTGCCCGACTACCAAAAGGCGGCTGTGAATGTCTTTTTTGAAGACCACGAGCCGAGCTATCCCTACTACGAGGGTCTTGTGGAGAATGCCAGCAACTACACGCTGCCAAACATTACTGCGCTGGCAGGAAACACCGGAGGCGTGTATAACCGCATTGGAAGAGGAATTCCCGACGTTGCGGCGAATGGTGACAACATTGCCGTCTTTGTCGGCGGAGAGTTCGGCCTCAGTGGTGGCACGAGTGCAAGCACGCCAATTTTTGCCTCCATCGTGAGTCCGTCCTATTCCCTTTGCGCAATATGCTTGATGCTAAGGACTACCAGATCAACCGAATCAATGACGAACGTATCGCCATTGGCAAGAGCCCAGTCGGCTTCATCAACCCTGTACTTTACGAGCACCCGGAAGTACTCAATGACAGTAAGTGGCAACCCTATATGAACTCAAGCAGTTTTATTCGTGTTATCTGACATTTCATCAATAGTCACAAACGGAACCAACCCTGGCTGTGGTACCGACGGTTTCAGTGCCGTAGCTGGATGGGACCCAGTCACCGGCCTCGGTACGCCTAATTACCCGAAGATGTTGGAGTTGTTCTTGTCTCTTCCCTAAAAGCTGTGAGTGATGGGATTTGATGACAGACGATTCATCAAGCAGTAGCACCATGGTCTAGCCAATCCTGATGTCTAAAAAAATTATTGATTTGGCCTATGTATATATGTCTATTGGATAAATGATATGTCTGACATGTGATACCTCACCTTTGCTTAAATGAGTACCAGTCCAATTAATTCCATATGCTTTTTATGCTCTTGAAAATCTTACAATCAGACTTGTGACCCAGCTCAGTCCAGCCTTCCACTTGGCATTCCTGCGTTGAGAGGTTAGTCGGTTGAGTACAAGGACAATGACATGAGCTAATAGTAATCTCAGACTCACCTTGCCACAATATGCTACACTTTCGCACCCGGTACACTTCAACAGCCCATCCTCAACCTTTTCACACGTCTCGCACTTTCCAGCAGCACTAGAATCGTCCAGCCTGGACGCCAATGCAATAGTTCTTTCCAAACCACCCGGAATAGCCTGTAAACATGCTTGAGCACTCGGGAAAAGGGCAACGACAATGTCCATGATTTCCAACATGGGGGGATGTGACTCACCTTGACCGCTTCGCAGTCTTGCTTTTCCACCACGAGCACATCCTTTCGACCGGGGCCCTTTTCGAGTCGGCGTGCCCGGGGTATCACCATGACGTTGCCCTTTTTCAGACCCCGAGCCTTCAAGTCCCAGCCGCGGTCCTCCTCGAATGTGACGGCAAAGTCCATGCCGCTCCGGTCCGTCACAATGAGCGTGGGCTTGGTAATGGTCATGTTGTTCTTGACCTGCGCCACCATGTACCAATCATGGCCGTCGTCGTCGTCATTGGGCCGTTGTTCATCTTGCTGCTGCTCGACTTGGTCTGTCGTTGTGGGCAGGGTGTAGAATGTGGGAAAGATCTTGTCGTTGGTCAAGTCTGGCATGGTGGCGGCGCACTTGAGGATATTCTCCAGGGCCACTCCTTAGTGTAGACGATGTATTTCCCGGTACTTTGTTTCGACAAGTTTTCTTTACTTGACTCGTTCACAGATGATGCTTATGAGGTGATTAAAAGCCGATCATATAATGCTTTGAGATTTTGGTGATAATCTGATGAGTTCTCGCCGTGACCGCGTCTCCGTCAGCTGTTCTGATCCTTCAGTGGAGGTTGCTGAAACACCAGGGGCTGTTCGTTGGTGGGGTTCAACCCGAGCGGTAAACTGGTGACATGACGCTGAGCTTGGCAGAGAATTCACGAGAAAGAGATTGAGAAGGTGTCGAGAGAGAATCAGACAATATTTATCCTGAATCATTTCCGTCAAGAAATGCTAGTTTTGTAGGGCCATCTTATACTGCTATCGTGAGGATGTTCGTGTCTCGTATACCCACAGTAGCAATATCTCATCAGAACTGTATCGCACACTGTCCGGCGTTATCTGGGCTGCGTTCCGCGGCTAATCAGATGCCCACACTCGTTTTATCCCATGAACATTACGCCAATAGGATATAGTTGGACTTGAATCAATACTGAGAGAGCCACATGTCATGATATAACCGATTTATACATAATCAGCATGTCCGACCCGCAGGCGCCTACCCGGCGACCCAAGCATCAAGCCGCACCCGCGGAGACAGATCCGCTCCTCCCCGGGGGAGGCGCCGAACCTACGCGGACGACGACAACGACGACTAGCGATAGGCCAGCTTCGGCATCCAGTCTGGTTGGTAGCAGAGGTCATCCTGGTGGGCATGTCGAAGGCCGTCATGACTTGGTGTTGCGGATCGCGGCAGCCATGTTTGCCTTCATGGTGATGGGCACCATTCAATCAGTCCCTGGCGTAAGTTGACGGTTATGAATTCCTCCACGTACTTCATCAGCTGACTTTGCCAGGTATTGATACCACATGTAAGCATACTTTTGCTTTAGATCAAACCCGTATGTCTAAACTAACGGTTGATGATAGCTGGAGAGTTACTATGGTCTCAGTGACACCTATGTGTCTATAATATTCCTCATCTCACCCGTGGGATATTTCTTGGCGGCTTACATGAGCAGCTTCATCCATCTGCGGTTTGGTCAGCTAGGCATTGCGATCATTGGCCCTGCCTGCCAACTGATCTATGCAGTCGGCTTGTGTGCCCACCCGCCATACTCAATGGTGCTGTTCCTCAGCCTCATTGAAGCCGTCGGAACTGGCCTTCTGGACGGGTCTTGGTGCGCATGGGCTGGTGCCATGGCGAATGGCAACACAGTACAGGTGAGCCACAACGACCACTGAACCATGAGCCTCCTCCTTCTTCCGTATTACTCATTCCGCGTCTACATTCGCGTCCGCGGAGATATGTGTCTAATACTGGTTCTTGCACGTTTGTCTAGGGGTTTCTTCACGGCTCTTACTCGATAGGTGCCAGCTTGGGGCCGCTTATTGCTGGGACAATGATCTCTGTCGGAAAGACACCTTGGTGGTCTTGGTTTTATGTATTGGTAAGGAATTCATATCAGCCAACCGAGAAAGATCCATGATACTGACCAAACGTCAACTCAGTCGGCCTTCTGTGTCGTCATGCTGGTATCATCAGCGTATGCCTTCCGTGCACAGGACGGGAAGAGGTATCGTGCTGAAAAGCATGATCGCAACGATTCGGCCATACCTCATGACAAACAAGACAGGTTCGCAATCTTCAGGTATAGCGCAACTTGGATATGTGCTGCTTATTTTCTCGCCTATGTCGGCATTGAGAGTCAGTCGCCCCTCATCTAGTCTTACTGGCAGTCTTCCGAGGTCTGGTTCCTTTCTAACATTGTGGTAATAGGCTCGATTACCGGATGGATAGTGGTATACATGCTCCGGGCGCGCCATGCTTCCGGATACTTGGCCAGCATGTGTTCCGCGCTCTTCAATATTGGCATGGCAGTGGGAAGGCTGGCTCTTGGCGTCGTTACAGATAAGCTGGGTGTCAGACTCGCCGTGGTCATCTACTTGTCGACGACGATCATCTTGCAGGCTCTGTTTGCCATGGTTGAGTTGCCTGCCATATCGGCGGTGCTTGTCACGCTGATCGGCTTCTTCTTGGGCCCCATGTTCCCTTCAGGCGTGGTCTTGATTACTCGTCTGCTCCCGCCGCATTTACACGTTGGAACGGTGTCATTTGTGGCGTCTACGGGCCAGATTGGTGGTGCACTTCTCCCATTTGCCCTTGGTGCTATTGCGGACCATGTTGGCATCGGCGCATTTCAGTACATAATCCTGGCTCAGCTGGTCGCGACGCTTTTCATCTGGCTGTGCTTTCCAAGATTGGCAGTAGGCGTTGTTGGTGTTTCACGTTCAGATGAAGAAGACGTCATGGACAGAAGTCACGAGTAAGCTTGATGGAATCATTCCAAGCGGCACACACAGATAATGTGTAGTCCCTGGTAGTGATGCCTTTATGCTATTGAGATTTGGACTTATGCCAGGGTTCGTCGTAGTTGAGTTTAGTGATGCATAGGCGTCCGGATGCGCTAAAAGCTGGAACCTCAAAAGCAGGCGATTCTCATGCGTATCAAATGGACGACCTCACCATGTTCTTGACTCTGCTTGGACTGAGTGAGAAAGTGAGGCAATGTTGTAGCTTTGACCAGTATTTCGTTCATTCGATGTGCTAAGATGGAAGATCGTCCAGGGGAAGGGGTTGGTCATTCAATAGGTCTTACTCGGACATGCAGAGGAGAGTGGGATGGTCCGACAAGTCGGGTATGTGCACTTTGTCAGTCGGTTTTCTCTTCCTCAGGGCTGTCACCTGTCAATACTTTTGACGACAGGCGACGACAGCCAAACTTAGCGACCGGGTAAACTGGCCTCACTTTTTTTTTTTGTCCTTCGTATTGAGTGACCACATGCATAAGTAGGTAGATTTCAGGGTCTCCTCGGTCGCTTGTTCCGTAGGTAGGTAGGTACGGAATGAGCGGCAGTCACACCTACTAATGAAAAGAGCAAGACCAAATGCTGTTTGGCTGTTTGCAAAACGAATTTGACGGGTGCTCAGGTGCGTTTGGGCCGACTAAGAAGTGCACCGCCTCCACCGAACAAAAGTCTAAATGAGATGAAGCTTAACAGCGCACCTAGTTTGTGTCTAGTTGACTCTTTTAAGCATGTTTGAGTGGACCGACCAGTATTCTTAGCGAGGTCCCATCCCTGGCCAATGATCCCTGCGCAACGACTGGCCTGGAACTCGAAGGCCCTGTGATCTGGCGTCTAATCAGTAAGTAACCGCCCCCAGAGTCCACTGTTTTCTGCTGTTTTTCTTGCAACTTCACCCCCGGACCCTCTGAGCTTGGGGAAAAATTGGGAACATGCTTGACAACAGCCGCCTTGGCAATCTCCCCATCTCCACGACCGCCCAGCCGGGCACCAGACGTCTTGGCGTGATTCCACCCCCAGAGGATTTAACACGCAAGCAATGGCGGGAGGAAGCTTGGCTCTGTACCTTATTCTGTAGTGAGGGGAATAATGATGTGATGGGCCTCTTGTTTGTTTGGTGATCCAAGATCTGAATCTTGGGAACATTTCTTGGCAAGTGCTATATGCGATATACCAATTCAGAGGAATTCCTAATAACCATCAATACTGGACCCCGTGATGCTGCTGCTGCTGATGCTCCCATGTACCCCAGAGACCCAAACACAAGCAAAATAAATGTAATGCAACGTGATGCGTCTGTCGTCATTTCTGGTGTAGACAGGGGGGGGTCCGGTGGTCCATCACCTGAATCAGGGAAACGCAAATGCCCTCTCCAAGTTTGCGGCCGCCACTGTCCAATCCCGGGCCAGCCAAAGCCGATGGTTGGGCGCCAAAAAGTCAGTGATCGAATAATGAACATGGAGGGAATATTGAATGTACCTACACAGCCATCTCATGTGGCTAGCCATCCATTCACACACACACATCTGTTATGTACATACGGCATCGCCTGCCGCACCCTTCTGTTAGTTACCCAGTTAGGCCCATCGTTCCGTCAACAGGTACAACAATCAAATCCATCTTGCAGGAAAACCCAATCCAGAGCCCCCCCTTGGCGTCTTGCTCTTCCCATCTTCCACTTCAACCTACCCTAGACTTTCTTTCATCGTCACTATCCACACCTCAAAAACAAACAGATCCTGCCAGATTGTCATTTGGTACGCCGTCGCTGGCTCGTACTGATAGCGTTGGGTTTTTGTTTCGGCGCGGAAACGAAATCACCCCAACTGCGACACTCGTTGAGACATCATCAACTGTCCATGGTCGGCGGTTACTGAGCATTCCTCCTCTCGTCCCCACGACTTTTGTTTTCCCTTTTTGCTGTACTTGCCAACGTCAGTCATTTTTCCACATTGCCAACAACCGACCAAAATAATGGCGTCCTTCGTTTCGCGCGCTGCTTCAGCGCTGTTACTCAGTGTACCTCTGGTCTCTGCAGCCTATTCTATTGCTTCTGATGGTATGTACTCGATTCTCGGGTCGCTTGCGTAATTGCCAAGCGATGATTTCCCAAACAGATTCCTTGTCGTTGTACAATACGGCTTGGCTGGCCCACTAACACAATCGTCTTTCGACCCACAGATGATATCAAGGCAACAACAAGGACACTAGCAGCCGATCTCATGACATACTACAAGGGCAATCAGTCTGGCCAAACGCCTGGTATCTTACCTGGACCTCCGCCAGCAGGCGATTATTACTGGTGGGAAGGTGGTGCATTATGGGGCACCATGATCGATTATTGGCATCTCACTGGCGATAGCACCTACAACGATGTCGTTACGCAAGCGCTTCTGTGGCAGGTTGGCCCGAATCAGGACTACATGCCTCCCAATGTCACCGCATCCCTCGGAAATGACGATCAAGGCTTCTGGGGAATGACGGCCATGCTTGCTGCCGAAGAGAACTTTCCAGACCCTCCAAAGGATCAACCTCAATGGCTGGCCTTGGCGCAGGCTGTCTTCAACACCCAGGCCGACCCGGGACGGCACGACGATACTTGCGGTGGAGGATTGCGGTGGCAGATTCCCTTTTCGAATAACGGATACAACTACAAGAACAGTATCGCCAACGGCTGTTTCTTCAATCTGGGGGCTCGCCTCGCTCGTTATACCAACAACGAAACCTACGCCAATTGGGCCGAGACAACTTGGAACTGGGTGCGCAGTGTCGGATTCATGGATGACGAGTACAACATTTACGATGGTGCTCACATTGAAACAAACTGCACCGACATCAACAAGGCGCAATTCTCATACAACAACGGTGTTTACCTCCTAGGCGCCGCATACATGTACAACTACGTGAGTCATATTCCTTTGATTATGGCATTACCATGGGCGGAAATACTTACACTTGTGTGTTAGACCAATGGAAACGAGACATGGAAGGAAAGACTCGACGGCCTCATTGATGGAACGTTCCGCGTCTTTTTCCCGAATGACATTGCCTTTGAAGTTGCATGCGAAGAGCACATGACTTGCACAACCGATATGCTGAGTTTCAAGGGTTACGTCCACCGATGGATGTCAACAATTACGCAGATCGCGCCGTACACTGCCGACAAGATCTTACCAGTCCTCAAGACATCAGCAACCGCAGGCATTCAGCAGTGCACTGGTGGTGATAATGGAAGGACCTGCGGCTTTGGATGGGCCAGCGGCACCTTTGATGGAAGCGTTGGCGCCGGCCAGACCATGAACGTCCTGGGCGCAATCTCTTCACTCCTCATCGGCGAATCAAAGGTACCAGTTACCAACACAACCGGAGGAACCAGTGGAGGTAACTACAATGCTGGACAGGACAGCGATTCCTTCACCAATAGCCTCACGCCAATTACTCAAGGAGACCGCGCTGGCGCCGGTATCTTGACGGTACTTATTCTAGCATCAGCTGCTGGCACGTTTGGCTGGATGAGTCTGGGCATGTAAAAGCTTTGTACTCAAGGGTAGAAAACCCCGACTTTTTCGCGACTGCTTTCACATGTCTGAGACAGAATATTTCCCTGTTCAGTCAAAGCGACTACTAGGGATTGGGTATAACGGCGTCCAGGAGTAATGACGAGGCATTGGTTTCTGTGTTTTCTTCAGGCGGCTGATATGAGAAGGAGAGTCACTCGGCTGACACTTCGTACGAAAGTCCTTACTACCTAGGAAGGCATTTATTGTTAATGTGAATATGACTGGATAGAACGTTCAAGTTCCGCAAACATTTGTTTTCTTTTTTACAGACAATTATGGTTGTTTCTCCGACGATTTGACCAATCATAAATTGAGCAATGAGCATTCCAAACCTGATCGACAATCTGTACCCGGCCCGGGGGCTCGGTTAACCTCACACCAACCTCATGTGTGTCAATGCGCTGATCAGAGTCATGATTGAATGGGTGAGTGGGCTACTACCAACTTCATACAATGAGTAAGCATCATGAATTACTCCGAGGTTCCCATGCCGGGTTCAGGAAAGACTCATCTATCTTGACTCGCCCGGAAAAGGAGTGTCAAAATCAGGTCCTTGCTTGTTTACCCGAGTGTTGTATCACAGAAATTGGCAAACGCAAAATGTTTCATATCACAAACAGTAAAAATAGAGAATTGGTAATTATTGATACCATATTTTGTTAGCTATACTGCAACTCTTTATAGTTGGAAACTGATTTCGCGAAAAATATTCTCATTGCAAAACTCTCTTACGAGATACCCGCAAAGGTAAGACCCAATCGCGTTCATGTTCACGAGTAACTTCCGGACTGTCCACCCATGTATCAGGTGCAATACCATCGCTTCAGGAATCGAAAACCCCCGTATAACACTTGCTCGATGGCCCTCTACCTCTCCGAAATCAATTCCACCGCTCAGAAACAAATATAATGTCGTCGTCATCATCATGGCCAATATTCGAGTCACTGTCAATAGTGATGACTTCGAACGAATCATCATCTTCAATCTTGATGATTTCACGTTGATTGGCCGCCTGGACACTGAAACTGGACGGTCTCGGTGCTTCTCTCGCGCTCTCGACCGTGAGGTCGATTGTAAAATCGATTGTCAGGTCAATTGGAGAGGAAAGAGTACCAGGACTTGTAACGTAGGGGCTAAGACGAGTCCCCATGCCTTGTTGAGTGTAGTTGAGCGTGGCAGAGTCCCTTTTCGGTACTGACCCAGTATCGGGCTCCGTTTTGACTTCTGTCTTGATCGCAATGTCCGGTTCTTGCTTGATCAATGCTTTTCCATCATCTTCATGCTTAGGCTCCTGCGGAAAGTTTGCGCTGCCATGATAGTTGCCAAGCGACTCGGCCGAACAGTCCTCTTTCTTTACCAAGACGTCTTCTTTCAGTGACACACCGTCCTTCAGCTCATCATTCATGGTTTCGTCTTTTTGAATCTTCGCCAAAGTCGGTGACTGCTCGTCCTTAAAGCTGATGGTAGTCTCTTGGAGTAGCTTTTTATCCTCCTCGAAGTCTTTGACTTTATCGGAGTCTTCTTCTTTTTCTTCTGCATCATCAGAGTCTTCTTTACATTCTTCTTCCGAGTCGTCGTCGTCTTCGTCTTCTTCTTCGTCTGCTGAGTCATCTTCTCCGGAGTCTTTGGAGTCTTCGGAGGAGTGCACTTCTCCGTTCATGATACTGACAAGGTTGGATTTTCCCTCCTTTATTGCAGCAATCACCTTCATGACTCGGACGAGAACCTCATCAGGGACTCGGGAGAAATCTATCTGGGGGAATGGGACCAGCTCGACATGGCTGGAACCTGAAATGACCCGAAGAACAATCTCTAATGCTCGCTCGAGAATAGCAGGTTCTTCGAGATCTGCTATCGTCCAAGTCGATGGCGCTAGTCCGCCATATCCGGCCTTACGAAAGCGAAGAAGCCGCTGGTTCAAGTGACCCTTATGGTTGAAAAACTCCCTCGACGGTGCTGGAAACTTTTTGAATTCGTAATAGTACGTAGAACGAGTCCTCGGAGAAGTTGAGTCTTGCGCGTGGCTGGATGTGGCCGTCTGCATCCAGTCCAAGTCCTGAAATTCGCGTGTTGTTCTGTTCCAGCTCGATGCCCGCGCTAAGTGTCCAGCTGAAGCCAAGCCCTGACCGTCATTGGAGGATACACTGTCACCATCAGAATCATCCTCATGGTCATCGGACTGGTGAGTTCCTCTAAACATGGACTTTGACTGGTGAAAGCCGAGTTTTCTCTTCTTCGTGGGCCTTTTTCCGAAGGCTGACTGATCAGTCTCTGCCTTGGCTAGGATCTTTTGGCCCTCTTCGATATTCCAAAGCTCATCAATTTCGTACTGGAAGTTATTCAGAAGCTGAACTAAGATGTGGCTCATCGTGCCCTGTGCGCGGACACTGAGCTCTGGCAGAATCTTTGCAACCTGCTGACCTGTACTGATGTTTAGCGTATGAATGTCCCCATGATGTTCACAACAAGGCAAATAGACTCACTCTCACGGAAAGCATAATAGGAATTGAGGACTTTTACTCGGACGACATCGACCACTTGGGTCTGGCCTACGCGGATTACGCGGTGGGCAGCTTGCCACTGGACAGCGAGACTCTGTGCCTGGGCGGCAACAATGACTCGGGAACAGTTCTTTTGCAGATTTGTCCCGGCAAATCCAACCTTGTACATCTGAATCAGTACTTGTACCGAGTCCATCGCACCGTTGTTAAAGTCAGCAATCAGTTCTTTCCTTTGGCTGGGGCTGAGTTCCGAGTGCAGAACGCGGCAGTTGATGCCGATGAGCTGCAAGACCAGTTCATAGTAGTATGCCAGCATGGGAACATCCTCAGTAATGAGAACCTTTTTAATCTTTTTCCCAATGCGTTTGCTCAAGACATGTTCCTTGAGATCGTATAGAATGTAGCGCAGTGTCGGCGATCCCCGGATTGCCAGCTTCAAGTAATCCAGGGCTGTCTTGGGGGCGGGTTCATCAGCATCGAGTAAGAAGTCGGCGAGCTTAATGAATGTAACACCCGCATTCCTCATGAGTAATACGGGTTTGGTCCTCGGGCCATATCCGTTGGCATCAAACAGGGTCTCAAGTTTGAAGACGTCCATGGATGAGCAAGCGATTTGCCATTTGCGGTGTACCTGGCCAGTACGAGGACAGTCTTCAGAGTCCTCACTTGGCTTGTCTATGTCGTCTTCTGCTTCCGAAGACCAGTAATTGAGGCTGTGCAGACACCAGATAAGCAGCTCAAGATGCTTGGATTCGTATGCAGTTGCTGTGCTTGGGTCAAACTCGATATTGACGGTTCTGCTCTTCACCCCAGGGTACAACCCCTCCAGCGGGATTCGCCTCGTCTGCTCGAAATCCTCGAAAAGGAAGGAACCGGGTCCTCTCTTTAGCATTGCCAAAGATTCAAAGAACCTCAGAAAAGTCCTTGTGGAAACAATATCTGGGTCCAGTCCGCTGGCATATGGTCGCAACAAAGGCGATAATAAGTCAGGGCAGCCTGCAAGAAGTTGCATGTCGTCGTACAGTGGACGACCCTGGATAGCCTCCTTCAATTGAGGAAGCGTTTCGATGTCTTGATGGGCCTCCCTCGTCACATCGCTTTTGTTCACCTGCTTCAATGCAGAGCTCCAGAGCAGCTCTACCAAGCCTCGCAAATCGCCCAGGGAATTGGTGCATGGGGTGGCAGTAATCAGCAGCGTGAACTGTCGCTCAAGAAGAGAGACGCTCTTGTGCACATTCGTGGACGTACTCTTGACTTTGTGAGCTTCGTCTACACAGACCATGGAGAACCCGCGGCCTTCTGCTGTTAAGATGGAATGCCATGACTTCTTGGGCTTGTCCTTCTTGCTGCCTTTATCGCCTTCTTTATCACAGTCTTCGCCGTCTTCTCGGCTGCTCTCCTCCTTGGTATAAAGTGTCCTCTTTGCCCATGTATCTATTGGGCTAATGATGATGGTTCTGGCTGCCGTTGGGCTGTCCGTATCCCAGACATCCTTGTACCTGTGCGGCCAAACCTTGAAGGAGTCAATGGGTAAGTGGGAAACACGGGGATCCTGACTGAATAGACACGCATCTCCCCCAGCGACAAGAATTCTTTGAATTGACTTGGACGAAGTGTTGAGCAAGATTTCTTCTGTCCATTGGCCAGCAACAGCCAGGTTGGGCACAAGAATCAAAATAGGCCTGTACACACGCATTCCCGTCTTCTCATCATGGTCCACATTGAGGCTGTGGCTTGCCATGAGCTCGATAGTGGCGATAGCCGTCAAGGTCTTGCCGAGTCCCATGGAGTCAGCGAGTATTGCGCCACCGTACTTGGGACCTCTCAATTTCCTCCGGATTTCTCTTTCGCGGGCATTCTCGAGCCTTTTGAGCTGAGGCAGCTCACCCAGAAGCCTGGAGAGGATCCAGACAATACCCGTGACTTGGCTATCTAGAAAGCCCTTGGTCTGCTTTGGGCGTCTCAGCTCAGCCTGAGGAGTTCCGACAGCAAACAACTCTGCCCATCTATCGGATGCCGGACCTGAAGTTGCCATTCCCTTGAATCGATTGGCACTTGCATCGTTTTCGTACTTGACCTCAGGAAATAACGGAGAGTTGTATAGACTTAGACTGCTTTGACCTAGCTCAAGGTTAGTCTTGACTTTCGCGACGACTGAGATAAGAAAAATGTAATTTTGTTTGCGTACCGTGCGTGCCGACTTTCTCCATCTGCAGATACGTAGCAGCAGGTCCAACTGGGGGGCCTAAACAGTTAGGGGACGCATAATGTAGTGCTTGGGCCGCGCCGTATAGACTCTGTAGCGGCTCAGTGTCACCACGCTCTTTCGTTGTCGAGTTGGAGTTCTGTTCCATTACTTTGTGTGAGCTCCCATGAGGGATACTTCCAGAAGGGGTGACAACAGACTGACCTTGTATTCAAATCCCCCTTGACCATTCGTGCAATTAGTATTTTCATACCATTCAGATGCTGGTCGGTTACCCTTGTCACCATGATGGCTGACAAATTTGCCTTGGAAGATATCTCCGGCAGGGTCCACGATTCCTGAAGGGTACTCTTTCAAGGCTTCATCGATCGCCCACAAGGCAAATTTCTCCCGATAGAGCAACTTGTCTTTACCAAATGGCATGTCATGTCCGTTGAAGAAACGACGGAGTTGTTCATGCGAGATGGAGCTGGACATTGACCTGGGCTCCCAATAATTCTCTTGTACAACCGACCCTGGCTGCGACTTGAAAAACTCGTCAAGAGCAACTCGCCACTCGGGGCCGAAACCATGTTGTTTGCGATATGTTGGAGCTGTATTGACTTGGCCTGCATTTGATGTCATCGCGGCGTTTTCGTCTCGAGGGTTGTAACCATGTATCCCAGGAGTCGCCATAATGAGCAACAACTACGAGGCCATGAACACTCGGAGAGACCAAGAGTCTGTCTATCTTGAGAAGTGGTAGTATAAGAGTTGTGCTGAGAGTGTGAGGAGTCGAGGTGAGGGTCGATACTTGGAAGAAGTCAGGCTTTGGCAATGGACAGAGTTGAATGGGGCAAGGAATGTGAGGATTGAAAGGGAAAAGGTGAGGTCGCGTAAAATATGTCAGGTTTTTGAAGGTTGCAAATGCAAGAGCGGGAATGGACGAGTATCTGATCCTTGGACCAGATAGATGTCAACTCCAGGGGCAAGAACCGTTGGCAGTTATGTTAGACTGCGAGGGGATCCAAGAATATTTGTTAATGACAAAGAATGATTACTGTTTCGCTGGTCTGAAGAAAGGTCGGATAAGTAGGAACACGAGGCATTCAAGCTAAAAACTTGAAGGCTGTGAAGGATGTTTGAGGTTGTTGCTTTTGGGAAGTGGGAAGGTAGTGAGTTTGCAGAAATCGAGAGTGACATTCCAGTCTAGTAGAGACAAATGGCAAAAACGAAAGTACAAGTTTCGATTGGGGAAGTTGCGGAAGTCCCGAGATTGAATCTCCAAGCCGAAGCTTCTTTGCAGTGCAAGAATTGAAAAGTCCAATGAAGGGGAAGAATGATCAACCTGTAATTATCAGGGAGAATTCTTTAAACGATTACTGCTGATCAAGAGCAATCAATGGTTCGCTGATATTGAAGAGGAATGTTGTGATGAATGCGGGAGCAAGGCATCCATCCATTCTAGATCAGAGAGATTGAAGAAATGATTAAAGATGTTGCTCCAGAGTCCAGAGTATGTAAGAATGGGCTTGGAGAGGGTAAAGAATACCAGTCCGGTCAACTGCTAAGAAGGAAAGAACGGGGTGGAACTGATGAAGATGCACAATCCTTAGATGTAAGGCCCAAGAACCGCAGCTTCTAGTCATGAGAGTTTTCAAGGGTCGGTATCGAGGAGTGAATAATCCTTGACGAGTGATGATCAGGTTCCTGCCGGGGTTGCGAAGTCCACTCCCGTCAATAGGAGGTCGTCAGTCATTGGGGGAACAATCTGACACAAGTGAAGAGTTGAGATCTTGCCGAGTCGTAAAAGGTGTGAAGTAGAGAATTTTGGACGAGAACTCTACAGCTCAGAAAGAACAAGAACAATCATGTCCATCAGTTGCAGGTATTTGAAGGATGGAGTGTGAGGGTTGTGTTGTGTCTTGCGGGAACAATCCAATGGGCACTTATAATTACGAGTTACAAGTAATGATATGGAATTTACGCAGAGTCTGGAAGGAACGTAGCTCCTTCCTCAACACTGAGACATGAATTATTCCGAATTTTCAGGATTCCAATATTTTCGGGAAAATCTGGCAAGTATTACAGCTTTATGATTACTTATACTGGCGTGCAAAATTAAGAGGCGACACAGAGCAACAGCAGCTTAATTCCAGTCTGAATCTATCATGAAGCGAATCCACAACTGTTGTAGAGCTAGTGGCCCGCGGAAATTTATAATATTGTAATTACCTTATACTTGACTAGCAGCAGTATCAACCTGTCATACGAATAATATTTTTGACATTATGGCGCCAAAGCCGGCAAAGCTATTGCGCCAATCATCTCTCACGGGCAAGGGACCCATTTTTAGTCGTTTAAAAATAGTTTAAATGCTTCGGATTCGGAAGTAAACTCTCTCTTCTTTTCTTTTTTGTCTTATCATAATTGTGAGTCCTTGTGGCAGTGACTAAGCATTTGTACCCATTAGTGGCCCAGGACTTTCGAATACCACACAATGGCTCCAGCCGCAGACATTGATCTCGACGCTCCTTTCAAGGAGGATATTATCCTTGAAGTTCGGAGTGGTAGAATGAAGACCATGCCTGGCTTGACCATTCAATCCGGAATCGACAAGACGAAATGTGAGGGCGTGGTGACAGTAAATCATCTTGGCATTGACGGCGACGAGCACGATCCTACGTTTCATGGGGGAAGAGATAAAGCCGTTCATGGCTGTGAGTGATGGGCTCATCTTTTTTTCTTCACCAGTTTCTTGCGACCAATCTCCTGACTGAAGAGAGGGGGGGCCAGATTGCTCGTCGCATTACCCCCAATGGCAGACTGAATATCCAGAGGCTTCTTCGCGGTTTGTTCCCGGAGGTTTTGGTGAGAATCTAGTAACGGCGCACATGAATGAGCGCAATGTGTGCATTGGCGATGTGGTGAGTCACAGAGCCCAAGGGGTGTATCTAGGCGCTGTTCCTACTTACAGCCATGAGGAAAAATACGAGAATCGAACCTCCTCATGATTCCGGATTTCGTATCGCAACTCTCTAATCGCTCAAAGATCTCCGTAGGCGACCCAGAGACTGGGCTCCTCTTGCAGGTCTCGCTGCCGCGACAACCCTGCTTCAAGTTGAACCACCGATTCCGCCTCAAGAACTTTGCGCCACAGACCTACACGCTCTCTCGTACCGGCTGGTATTACCGCGTGCTCCGCCCCGGGCCACTCGAGGCCGGCATGCCTATTGCGCTCCACGAGCGCAGACACCCCAAGTGGACGATTGAGCGACTGCAGGAGTACCTCCACCGGAATCAAGACGACGCCGAGATGAATGAAGAACTCAGTCGCATAGAGGAGATGGGCGATGAGGCACGAGGCGCTTTTGGTGAGTGGTGCTTTCATGAGAATAATCTCCACTCGACCTGTTGACGGGTCAAAAATCTGCAGTGAAAAGAGTAGCCAAGGCCAAGGCCGCAGCAACTCGCAAGGAGCGAGCCGCCACCGAAGCAGCAGAAGAGTGGAAGAACTACAAGATCATCGAAAAGAAGCGACAGACGGACCGAATCGCCAGCTTCATCCTCGAGGCAGAGAAGCCCGATCCCGACGCCACGAGCACCCTGCTAGGCGCCCACGCCCGCCTCAAGCTGCCGAGCGGACTGGTGCGTAGCTACTCGGTGGTCTCGGGCACCGCGAACCGTTTCGAGCTGGGCATTGCCTTGGAGGAACCCAGCCGTGGGGGATCGGCATATATGCATCAGGTTGCGGCCGAGGGCACCATACTGCCCATCTCGTCGCAACTGACCAGCGGCGTCCCGATTTCATCTGCATCCTCTACACACACTTTCATCGCGGGTGGCATCGGTATCACTGCCTTCTTGTCCATGGTCTCCATGTTCAAAAAAGTACACCTGAACACGACGCTCCACTACGCGGTCCGCTCCGACTCCGACATACCGTTTCGTGACACGCTCGATTCGCTCAGCCAGCCGGCGCCCAATAAGGATGGTAAGATCGAGGACAGCTCCGTCCGGGTGGTGCTGTACCACAAAGATCGTGGCGAGCGGATGGACCTCGACAAGATATTCGGCGAGCTCGGCTGGAATGGACATGCCTACGTATGCGGGCCGAGTAGACTCATGGACGCTGCCCTGGTCGCGTCCAAGAAAGCTGGCCTTACTGAGGACGATGTGCACTTTGAGGCGTTTGGCGCTGACACGACCGGCGACCCGTTCGAGGTTGAGGTCTTGAATCGGGACAGTAAGATGCTCAAGGTTGACGCAGAAGAAACGCTCTTGGAGGTGCTCCGACGAGAATTCGGTACCGCACAAGTGGCGAGTAGCTGTGAAGTAGGAAATTGTGGCACGTGCAAGGTCGCTTTGAAGAAAGGGAGAGTAGAACACAGGGGTTCAGCGCTGCCAGAGGGAGAGAAGGATGACGCTCTGCTCAGTTGTGTTAGTCGAGGTCTCGGGAAGATTAGTATACACATATAAGAATTTTGCGTGACATTGATGCCCATGGACTCGAAAGGCATTGAAACAAGTCATATTTCTATTGACAAGCAGATTGAAACTCCGAATCCGAACGCCAAAACTTGTAGCCTCACGATGCAAACGCATCAAGTGAGTTCCGCCCTTTGATCTCCGGCTGCGGAATGAAACACGTAAAACACAAAACTTCCATGAGCCTGCGTAACTTATTGAAGTAACCCTGCAGGATCCAAGAAATGCTAAGAAAAAGGAACACATATGAAGGTACTCATACAATCGTCTCGGTGTCACCAAAACGACGCGAGGCTACGCTCTCTCTTCTGATCTGAGCACATCTAGTGGCGTGTGATGTTCTTGCTCTCCGTCAGTCAGACTGCCTCCAAAGACGGACAAGCTGACCAGACTTGGATGGGATATGCTTCCAACCAGACTGGCGGCACCGTTCATCCGGCTGTCTTGGAGGCTGTTGGTGTCTAGATTCGGATTGGAAGCTGCATTACCGCGCGACTGCCGTTCGATGGAGTAGCTTGTTCCATGAGATCGCGGGTGCTGACGAATGAGAGAACGTGTCTCGTCCCGAGATGGTGGTGCAGCTCTAACGTTCTAAGCTAGATCGCGACCTGTGGACATACCCACAGAGGGACCACTCGAGCCAGGTTTGGCATTGTTCGAGACCTTGTTCCATGAGAGATACGTATGATCACCAAGTTTTCTAGAGTTGAAATTGTTAGCTTTCTTTGGAAAACGGTAATCTGGGAAATTGCATACCTTGGGCGAATCAAGTGGGTCACGGTAAAGATGGCACCAAGCACGATGCAGATACCGCCAACCACGACATATGCAATGCCCAAGAAGGGATTCTTGCCACCGATGACACTCTTGGTGGTGAATACAATCGACTTGGTACCTTGGTATTCGGTCACTGGGAACTCTGCGTGGAACTATTAGTGGTTTGGTCTCTTTCGAGTTCAAAATGTACGTACCGGATAGAATCTCAATTTGATAAGTTCCGCTCTTCATCGTGGCAGTGTCATTACGCGCGTACAGCTTGCTGAAAGTAGGCAGACCTGCAGTCCTCATCCAAACCTGGAAGGCTTGGTTGTCCTTCAGGTTCGGGGGCGGCGCACTCTCAGTGTAGCTATTGTTCGGATACTGTTTCTGCCAGTTCGGCGGCGGCAAGATCTTGCTGAGATCTTGGGTGTCCGGTAGGTTGCCATACAATTCGTTATCCGATGACCAGGCAATGTTGCTGGAGTTCTGCAACACATATGGCGTGTTGTTATCGGTCGTGTAAACAGGGCTGAAGAAGGTATCGTTGAACATGGAGTTGGCAATCAGACCGCAAGGATAATAGGGAAGATTTCCCCTGTCACTGTCGACGGTCAAGGGCGTGCAGCTGGAATCGCTGACAGAGGACTCTGTGTTCACATCGTCTCCAAGGAGTTGCTTGTCGTAGTAGGAGGAAACGTAGCGACGGTGGTTTTGGTAGAAGTTGGTGAGACGATAGTAGAACAAGACAGGCGCCTCCATGTCATCTGGGAGAATGAAACTGATGACACACTTGGAGACGTTCTGAACCACATAATCACCATGGTAGGTGTGGTTGACGAGCTCGTGGCGCCACTGTGCGTTGACCTTGGTGTCGCTCTTGAATGCTGAAGTGATCAGACTGTCGGCCATGTTGAAGTCCGTGGTGTCGCCAAAGGCGGTAGCATTCGGGGCGTCGGTGTTGCATGTTGAATAGTCGATCTGAAGCTCTTGAACCTAGCGCCTTCTTGTGAGCAACTGGTCCCATCACGACAATCAAGTCAAAAGGGGCCTGTCTTACTGTTGAGCTTGCCCATATTAACAAACCACCAATAGGCGCGAATATGATACCAATGGCGAAAAAGAGCGGCAGAACCGTCTTTGGTGTAAGAATCGGTCTGCGCAGTAAAATGATCAGCCTCATGTCGTTCTGGAGTCCAACTGCATTGTGTCTCGTCACTCACTGCCAAGCCTTCAATCGTTGTTGTCTGAATGCCGTGTCTGTCGGGTTCCCGAATCGTCAGCACATGTCCGGAACGACAGGAATCCCCTCTCTTGGAGCCTTTTCATCACAGATTGGTATTTTTACGTAGAACTCGGCTCGTCGGAATTGGTCGCATCGGGAATCACTCACTCGCGGGTCTTCTGCTCTTCTTCTTCTTTCCATCGGCCAGCTTGTCCGGATCGTCGTGCGAGTTCATCGAGTCGGTATGCCCGACGCCGGGCGCAGGCTCTGCCATTTCTGCTGCAGTCTCTCAGGTCGTGTCAAGTTGCGATGCTCTCGAGTCAAAAAATGTGCAAGCGTTGAACAAAGTGGATGGTTGTTGTCGCGATCGTTTGTCGCCGGCGCTCAGAAAGTTCCCGCTGCTTGGTTGTTGCATTAGCGACGGGGTCCCTTGGTAGCCCGTGGCCCGTCAGCAGGGGCCTACTTGAGTGCTACAAATTGGCGACACAGCCACAATTAGTACGTATTACTCAGTGCATACCAACGCATTGGGCCACCCAAAACTTCTGGCAATCGCGGCTATTTATGGAAGCAAATTGGGAGGAACAAGACAGATGGACTCCTTCGCACACTGACAGCTGGGAGCAGCGGACATGCAATCCTTTCAATTGTAAAGGAAGAATCAAGTGACGACACAGCACCAAGTTCACTGTAGAAGATCATTGCTTGATGCATTCTGATGATTTAAGCTTTTCTTATTGCTCCATAGACACTGCCTATCGCTGCTTGCCCTTTATTTGGTGCGAAATGGAGCAGTACTCTGCTCTAATGCTACTCAAATTTACCCAACGACGGACGCCCATACGCCTGCGTCTCGGCAGGCTCGACTAATTTACATTTTCCAGACCTCAAACTCCCATTGTCGTGAAGGGAAAAAGCCAAGATGGCCAGCTCTTCTGCATATATTGCAGGCCCAAATGCACTAAACCAATGCGTACATATCGAGGGTAGACATGGCGCAAAGACAAATGAACAAGTCCACATGATGCTGGCAAAAATTGTCAATAACGTAACTCTTTGCTCAGCATCACGATAGGTCATCGAGAAGTGACAGGTCGTGCAACTCCACGGTCGAAGTATCACGACTCGGCGGCGGGTGCGGCTTCTTCGATCTTGGCTTTCTTGGATTCCTCGGTCTCGTCAGCAGCATCCTCGGCTTTGCGCTTGCCATTGGTCTCAGGCGATGGCTCAGCTGGCTCAGTCTTCTTCTTCTCCTTCTTGCGCACAAGACTGGAAAGGTCCTTTGCTCCCTTCTTAGCCTCTTCGATACGAGCCTGTGCTTCAGCTGGGGATTCTCCCAAAGCTGCGCCAAGAATGCCCGTCATGGGGTTCTCTGCGCCTAGCACGCCCTCAACATCTACGGGGCCCTTCTTCAAATCCACAAGCTGCAATCAGTCATGTTAGCATCAAAAGGCATGGACAACGAAGCCACGGGGGAGAAGTGGAGAACTGCTCACCCGCTGCTCCATATCCGCAATAATGTCCCGCACTTCGGCGATCTTCTTGCGCGATTCCTCATTCTCCTCGGGGGCGTGGAGAGTAGCGAGGTTGACCTCCTCGTTCTGGAGCTTAAGCTGTGTGCTGGCAATTGCCTTCTCGAGCTCGGCAGCTGCCTCGTCGCGCAGTCCCTGATCGACCGTCTTGGGAGCATCGTCCTTGTCTTCAGCATCGCTCGTGACAGAGGCGAACTCGAGAGCTAGTGAAAGCTTGAAATGTGCTTCGGCTCGAATTTCTGATTCCTCGGGATAGAGCTCGACCTTGTACTTGAGAGCTGCACGTGCATCATTGATTGCTTCAGAGTACCTGGACAGAGTCAGCGGGCAGAATTCTCAGCGGGTAAGATTGTTGATTGGAGCCTCACTTTTCATTCTCGAGTGAAATCTCAGCCAGAAGGTCGTGGGTATCAGCAAGACGCTCCTTGATGTGTTTAATGGCAGGCGTGTCTTCCTGTGCAGCCTCCTTGCCTTTACCTTCTGACTCATTGAGTTGCTCCAAGGTCTTTTCGAAAAGAACACGAGAAAGATCCAGGACTTCGAAAGCAGCGGCAAGATCATCATCCTCCTCTTCCTCCTCCTCGCCTTCACCTTCACCCTCGCCCTCAGCCTCTTCATCCGAATCCTCAAAGTTCTCGTCGCCGGTGAACTGGAAAAGCGGTTTCTTAGCATCCGACAACTTGTCACCATCTTCTAATCCGCTGCCAGTGACATTCTTTGCAACGTATGCCACCTTCTCCTCTGCAATCTGGTCAGCCTCGGATGTGGCGTTGTCTCCAGAAACGCGCGCTGTGCTCGACTCGGCAGAGTCCTTCTGGGCCTTTGCAGCTGCCTTGGCCGTCTTCTTTTCTCCGCCAGGTGCAGCACCAAGAACATCGCTTTTGCCTTGGCCAACCTTGAACAGGCTGCGACCGTAGAGGAAGAGGATGTCGGCGTTTTCGGGGGACATTTCTCCATTGAACTCGGCCTGCATCTCGGCAGCGCGCGCGTATACCTCTGAGGCCTCTTCATACTTCTTCTGTGCGTAGAATGCTGTAGCCTTGGCTGTCAGATCAGCCAGCGAGACCTTGATAGACTTCTCGCGCTCCTCCTCTTCCATGGGCGGCAGCGACTGGGGTGTGCCGACAGCAGACGCCGTAGCTGATGCGACAGTCGATGGGATCGCCGAAAGGACTGGAATCTCGGTCGGAGTAGGGTCTGCCATGATGAAGATGGGATTCGTGAGGTGTCGTAACGATGTGGGTAGGTAATTGGCAGAGCCTTGACGAAAGACGACCTGGTGGGCTCTTACTGCTTTCTCTCCGCTACAGAATTGAGAAACGAAACAGGCGCGGTTCTCTGGATTGAATGTGCTCAAGTTTCTTAGTTGCGCCTAATAGAGCTTGATGGAGCTGATCTGATTGAGGTTTGTTGGATGATGTGGAAAGATGAGTGGTTGCGTCTGCGAATTGAGTGACGCGATTTGGTGCTTAAAGGTGGGTCGATAGCACGCGATGATGCTGTTTTTCGCGTCGAAGCTCTAGAGTGGGAAACCTGGGGTACTGAATTGAAGGAGCTTGGGCCCTTTTGGGGACTAACTTGACATTTACAATGCTGCACCTCGAATCTGTCTGCTTATCTACTATAACCTATCACATGGCGCGCGATAACAAGTATCTTCATTTCTTTTCGCAAGATAATACACATGTACACTAGTATCTATAACCTCTTGATCCAAACCATCCTTGTAATTCTTCCATTGATGATTATGATGATTCGGAAGAGCTGCATATTGCTCTCGCGGAAGCTCCCAAGGCTCGATCAGAAGTTGGACTAGAACCCAGAGTTAGGATTATAGAAGCCAGCAGTTCGGCAGCATCGTGCCTATAAGTGGTTTGACCTGCCTTGAGTATTCCTAGAAACCAGCACGACGACTCGTGCCTTTCTTCAAGTGATGAATTTTGATCTCAACAACCTTTCCTAGATTACAGGGAGCTCGCCTGGCTGCTGCGATCTTTCACAATGGTATAAATTCTACTGCTACCACGTTTCTGGGCGTCTGGCGTTGGGACAATTCAAACCCCACGGAGCTATTGCTTAAGCCTGGAATTGTAACTCCAAGGACCCTCTTCGAATTTGTGGACAGGCATGAGCTCAGAGTCAAAGCCGGGCATGCGCGCAAAATGGGAGGACTGGGAAGCAGCTGCCCCAGACGGTCGGGACGCATGTCCCAAGCTATATATACCGCCACCAAATGAGATGACCCCTCAATACCATACCTAGGTATTGCGAATCGACTCGGTCTCGATCTGGTAAAGGCTTTTAACCAAGATCCAGACGTCTGGATTAACTTGGAGATTGGTTATGGCTAACAACAGACTGCTTGCTCACTTGAACGTCTTGTCAGGCATTTAAAGAGCAGATGGCAGAGAGACAGGTGGAAGCCTCCAGAGCAAAATGATACTCGGCGAGATGCGTGAAGAGGGAATGCGAGACGGCGGCGCGAGCGGACGCTACTGATCTGTCGGACTCCAGTCCAGGCTGGCCTGATGCATCGTGGCGGTCAATGGTTCTGCTCAATCGGCTGTTCCCAGGTAGCCACAAATGTCTGTAGCCCTATTAGACGATGCAAGTCTACCTTAGTATCTGCTCAATTGGTACAAAACGGTATAAAGCGGTCGTCCGTTCTCCCAAAACATTTACTACTATTCAATCTAGAGTATTGATCTTGTTAATAAGCTTAGTTTAAAGACAAGGTGTTCCGCTCCTCATCCACTCGGCACCGCAAAGAGATTCCAATGTTAAAAAATACTGAGCTACCATAGAAGTCCAAGTGCATACACTACTTTAGTTGAGCTGAAAGATAGGTAGACTTGCGCAGGGTCGGATGCTTTGGGTGGGCTTTTGTTAAAGTATCCTTCATTGTACATACCTACACTAGAGAACGACCCTTATTTCTTTGCTGTCACTTAGATCGATGGATGGTAAGATAGCTATTTCAGATGCGTGCATCTTCCAGAGTTCCTTGATCAAGTCAGTCTGGTAGTATCATTTCCGATGATTGGTAAACCTATATACATCAGCTCAGTCACGCGATCGGGGAAGCAAGTCTCGGACCCGACAGCAAACTCACTCTAGCGAGCTCAAAGTTGATACTATCTGTTCGCAAGCTGAGTTCCCACTGGGCAATTTGCCATCAGTCACGTCAAGAGCGTTCACGATGCTATTTATTGCCTGGGCTTTTGGAGGTCGCAGCGTAAACCTTCCCTTTGGCCGTCGGGAAATAAGGCGTTGCTGGCGACTAGGGAAATAAGGTATTGTTTTCCCACAGCAGCCTCGAGTCTGGTAAGCCTCAATATAAATAACAAGTCAGCTCGATGCTGACGTCGTGCACTTTGCAATGCAAGCAGTATGTAGTGTGCCACGTGCCGTAGTACAATCTTCTTTCGAAGCGAATTTCTCTCCTTTTGCAGATCATGTCGTGGAAACGGATGCTCAGATATGGCTCCGGCAATGTAGCCAATCTCGCATTCGAATTTACCTATTCAACCATGGCGCCGCTGGATCTTCAGCAGCGCCTCAATTGTGGTGGGGGTCACTCTAACCTATACCATATCCATATTCGCCAAATCCAGTAGTGTCCTTCACAAAAAAAAAGAGACCCTGGCTTGCACGGGCGCAGGGGTCCTTGGTCGTCCTCTTTTTTCTCGATACGACTTTCTTTCGTGATGGACGTCGGGTAGCTCATAATCAGCGCAAGCCGATCCTTTCCCCTATGTGGTGTGGTCCTCGATGATCGGCTCGGTCCACGATGGAGATGCAAGGCGTAGCAGATCTGCAATGCTATCAAAAGCTAGTGTACATGTTTCATGTTGCAATCATTCATCAATGAATCAATCTGCGTGCGTGAGCTGTACGACTCGTTTGTGCCGATGAGAGATCTCCTGGCAGGTCGAGGGAGGCTATCGGAGAGTAGACTGAGCGCCAACGACTCGGGATTGGTTGGGTGCCAACCCACTGCCATCTCCACTAAAGAACAGTGGTAGAAAGCTTGGCGCTGCAGCGTAACGGTAGCGTTTACATACTCTCGGATAAGAGCCCTTGCCCGAGACAGTCAAGACAGTGAAGGAGTATTTCATGGCTGGAGACGGATAGACACATGCCCGCAATTAGGACAGTTGAAAGAAGCAAATGTTGGTAATACACAAGTAATGGCGGAGAAAGATTCCAGGTGCCAGTTTTCCTCCTAGAATGCAGTACAGCGTGTCACACAACTATGGACTGTCCAACCACAACCGGTCCGAGATGCTCCCTCGAGTTCCCCCTACTACTACTCATGTCCGCTTCAGTGTGTCTCTCACCAGCGATTGATCATCGTCAGCCCAACCCATACCTCTTCGTACGCTACAAATTACCACCAAAAGTCTACGGTCTTACTCCGTCTTCCGTGTCCGCCGAGTTAGTATGAGCTGGGATCCATCATGCTCCAACTGGGACCCATTTTTGAAATGTACCGGCTCGAAGAAATCCCTGCCAATTACATCAATGTTGGATCCAGTCTCCAGCTCTGCACAAGTCGCAACCGCCAAAAAATTATTAGTGCAGAATAGAGGCAGGTACGGCTGCCCGCTGAAGGGAGGTCGCCTCGCTCCTAATCCTAGTTCCAGATCCCGCTCTCGCCAGTGTAGTGCTACTATTCCCCTCTTGCCTCCAGTCTCTCTCACACAAATTGATAATCATAAACGTAGGCACCATGTTTACAATTATTCGCTGTAGCAATCCGTAGCCAGCCCCTCTGCTCGCACGTGAATTTGTGTCTGTTTGAGACGTTTTCCCCATCGGACACTCTGGAAGCATTGATTCTTGCCTTTCCTAGTTCCATCTGCCCAAAATCGCAGCTTCGGCGTGTTGGATCTCGCTGACGCTCCTTTTCACAAACTCGGAATTCCATATTATTCACTCTTTCTCTCGCTTTACCTTTTGTCTAATTTCTCACTCCTTGTTGACCTTCCCTTCGTCCTCTGGCGTTCGCGAGATCCGGACATAAAAACAAATTACGTCCTCCTCTAGGTACATAATCGCCGTACCTGTATCTCACCCACCCGCTCCTTGCCTCCATACATTATCTATCCTTTGGGCAAGTCCTACGGTTCATACTTGCCCTTTCTTTTCCTCCGTCTCCTCCTACGCATTGGGATCTGCCATGCTTGTCTTTGGTCTATGCTCGTCTTGAAGCCTTTCTTGCTTAGAACAAACTGCACGACCAACAAGAGACCCCCCAAAGACTTGATTTTAAAAACCCGATCAAACAGCCCACTTATACACGGTGGTCTGACCACAATGATTGTGACGCCATATTCTCGCCGCGTACGGCTTTTCAGCGTCATTACTGCATTGTCTATTCTCGCCATATATATCCATATCCGGCCGACATGGAGAGAAAGGACATATGGCTATGCCCGTGACATTGGGCAAACAGTATCGAGCTACTTGGCCTCTAATGATGTGTATAACAACACGCTATACCAGGAGGGAAACGAGGCGACGGTGACCCAGTATCACAACTTCAGCGACCCGTGCGCCAACTTCCCGAATACCGAAGGCGTTCAACTTGTCATGAAGACGGGCGCAACCGAAGCCTTTGACAAAATTCCAACACACCTTCTCACCACTCTGCAATGTCTTCCCGACTTTCTAATCTTTTCCGACATGGTAAGAGGCTAAGAGGGAATATGTGCTGTTCCGCTTCCCTTGTGGCTAATCAGAATTGCAGGAGCAACAAATTGGGAAACACCACATTTACGATGTGCTATCGGAAGTGGACGAGTCTGTCAAGGCTCACAACGACGACTTTGATCTCTATCGTTACCAAAAGGAATGTCCCGTCTCCCAGAAGTCCTGCGTCGATGCGCGAGAAGAGGGTTCCAGAGCTTGGAATTTGGACAAGTATAAATTCTTGCCCATGATGGAGCAGACATGGCGACTGAGACCAGACCGGGATTGGTACATCTTTGCCGAAGCCGATACTTACGTGTTCTGGTCGAACCTCATCGAATGGCTCCGCACCGAAAGCGGGCTCAATCCGAAGGAGAGAATCTATCTGGGCAGCCGCAGCTTTATTGGCGGAACCCCTTTCGGCCACGGCGGATCAGGTTACGTCCTGAGCGGCACGCTGCTACGACATCTCATCGAGCATCATCCTGGTGTTGTGAAGCAGTACAATGTCAAGGGCTCGGGAGAGTGCTGCGGCGACTTGTTGTTGGCTCTAGCTCTGGACCAGTATGAGAATGTCAAAATTCGCCAGGCATGGCCAATGTTCAATGGAGAAAAACCCAGCACTCTACCTTTTGGTCCTGGCCAATGGTGCGAGCCAATATTGACAATGCATCACATGAATGCCGAAGAGATCAGCAGTGTGTGGCAGTTCGAGCAAACTAGAAAGACAAATGTAAGCTGAAGGTTTTTGGAGAGAAGGGTACTTACTATACACTTGATTACAGTTTGGGCTAACATGTCTCATAGCGAACTCTACTTATCAAAGATCTGTACCACGGTCTTATAGCGCCCAAGATGCAAGTCCAACGTCAAGATTGGGACAATTTATCAGACGACGTCTGCTACATTAATCCTGATCAATCTGCGCAAGCAAAAGCCGGCAATCTTGAAAAGGGCCGCCAAAAAAACAAGAACGACATGACCAAGATTGAGAAGGAGGCATGGAAGTCTCCAGATCACTGCGCCCGTGTTTGCGAGGAAGAAGACGTCCCCGACGACGATGAGTGGGAACTCGGGCAAAAAGTCCTGCCCCGTGATCCGGCGGACGGAGAAAATGCTGCCGAAGCCATTGATACAGAGAAGGCAGAGGACAGTGGTCCAAGTGACGAGGCAATGCGCGAACAGTGGAAGACTACCATGCGCGAGCGCAAGAAGAGCCGGACATGCTTCCAATATCGCTGGCATGACGAAGTTTGCTGCACAGCCAAGAGTTTCAAGCTTGGAGCACCAAAGAAGAAGCCGGACCAAGACAAGCCAAAGCAGAAATGGGTGAGTGGGTGGGATCTGAAGGGAATCAACGACTGGATCAATGCGGTTGGGGAATGCGAGATTGCGTGGAAGACGCCCGAGGCTTCTTGATTCTCCCGACGATTTCGATCAAGCAAACAGCACAAGCTCATAGTGCTGCCTACCTTTATGGGACGACGAGCTATTCGGGCATCGCAACGTCGCAAAAGCCCACTAGGAGCGTTGAAACTTTGTGGAGGACTCATTACGAATATTGCATTTTATAGTCCCTGTCATGGCGTTCTGGGAGTTGGGGAATACAAGACTATACACTACATAGAATGGGGATTGGCCCACGTCGGGATTGAGGCGTTATGCATGGGAGTATGAGCATGGGAGCAAGACACTATGAGGGTGTCGCGTCGGTCCTAGTGTTTGATATTACATCATCAAGCCTCTTGTTAGCCGCCAGGTCTGGATTCATCCGCAAGAAGATGAGAGTTCAGGGTCTCTTTGCCTAAACAGGAGAATTCTTCAAACTTATTTCTATTTCTTCATCAACAGTACTTCAGTCGCCGAAACAGGCAAGCGGGCCTGGCAATGATTATATGCCCAACTGACCAAACTCCAGGAAAGGGGTTGATACCGTTTGGACATTCGAAGCACGAGCAGTAGAGGTGTAAAAAAAAAAAAAAAAAAAAAAAAATTAACAAATGGCAACTCAAAATTGCCAACTTGATGACCCCAAAATTCAAGTCATTCGTCTTATAGATTTTTCCTGGGCCATGGCCATTGCAGTCCATGCTTCTGACCAAAACGCTTCCGTCTCAGTAGACAATCAATGCGAGTGAATGACATATCAATCTTTGTGGGGATATGAAACAAGTCAACCGGCACAAACGAATCACTTGATTACGTTGACTGCACTCCACTCATGGTTTGTCATCCCTGTACTCTGTAGGTCGCAGTCTGAATGAACAAGCGAACGTCTTTTTACCCGGAAGCACACCCCCCGGACAGAATCTGGACAGTATGAATCTTGACCCCACTGTCTGGTCTTTGGAGAAACCCTTGAAGATGTGTCCTAACATGACCGATTTGTTCTCCCGTCTTGTCAAATACTCGTCGATTGTATATCATCTCAATCTAATTTTGGACCGCAGACACTTGAGATGATCCTCTTAAAATGGGCGGTGCCATGCTCAACCCGAGGCAGTCGTTGCGCCTTCGACAGATCGTGATCATATGCGTCGGCCTATTGGCCTTGTACCTATTTCTGCCCAAGCCGGAAGCAAGCTTGGATTCTTCGCGGACATTGCTCGGCGAGTTGCCAGAGAATTGGAAGAGCGCGTCCTCGTCGTCCAGCAAGGCAACGACGAGACTTTCGGAAGAGTTGCTCAATAATCGATTTCTGACGGCCCAACAGTGCGCCAGCGCATTTCCGGGGCTGACGCGAGAGATTGATGATGCCGTGGCCAAGGGGCCGTTTGTACTCGAGAAGAGCGGACCGCTGGGACCATTGATTGCCCAGGTTAAGAATGGAAAGGTAAGTGTTTATAAGTTGCTGAATGACGAGGTATTATATAGCTTAAACCCATCTTGACCATACAAGCGAGTGACGCAATGGGATTGGCATGGAAGAATGAAAATGAACAACCTGGCACAATCTTCATAGGAGCCATCGTCTGACCATGATGAATAGCTCTTCATCCTCCACGCCGCCTCCACGAGAGACCTCTCTCGGGACATGATCTTACACCGGACGGCGACCTTACACCAGATTCACAGAGCACTCCTGACTGCGCCCTCTCCTCTCGAGATCCCAGACACCATCTTTGCCTTTAACCATCACGACAACCCAACTGCCAGGACCTTTTCATACTCCCGCCCGGCGGACCCGGCCCGCAACGGACCTTCGGCCCCGTACTTTCCCATTCCGCACTTTGGGTTCTGGTCCTGGCCACTGCCCTTTATCAAATCCCTCCCGGACGCGGCATCAGCCATCGCGGCGCTCGAGTCGGGCCTCTCCTGGTCCGGCAAGGACCCGCGGGCCGTGTGGCGGGGGACACCACACTTCAACTCGCCCTCGACGGCGTCGGCACACACGCGGCAAGATCTCGTCCTGACGGCCGGGCACCGGCCCTGGTCCGACGTGGAGGCGCTCGAGTGGACGGGCCCCAACGGCCGCAACGCCAGCAACGCCCTGCCCATTGCCGACTTCTGCGGTTACCGCTACATTGTGCACACGGAGGGGGTGACGTACTCGGGCCGCATGCCCTTTCACCAGCTCTGCGCCAGCGTCGTCTTGACGCCCCCGCTGGGCTGGATGCAGCACACGAGCCGCCTGATCCGGCCCGTCTTTTCGTATAATCTGCCCGGGGATGGTGTGCAGCGCACGCTGCGGCCCGGCCGCGATCTCGGTGGCGGCGTCGTGGAAAAGGTTTCGCTGGCCCCGTACCCTTCCGCCTGGGTCGCGGCGGCCTGGGGGGGAGGGTACACGGTGGACGAGGCCAACATGGTCTTTGTGGCGCCCGACTGGAGCGATCTCGAGGCCGTCGTCGGCTGGCTGGAGAGGCACCCCGATGTCGCCGAGGGTATTGCCCGGCGTCAGCGCGAGACGTACCACGGGGCCGGATTTTTGAGCCCGGCTGCCGAGACGTGCTACTGGCGCGCTGCAATCCGGGGCTGGAGCTCCGTGGTGGACTATCGTGATTTGGAGGTTGAGAATATGGAGGCTGTGCCTTATGAGGAATTTGTGATTACACAAAATACGAAATGAGTTATTTTAGATGGTCGCAACGGGTATGCTAGATGGCAAGTCTTTCTTACACGTGCTTATCTGAACACTTGGAATTTCATTTGAAATCTGCATTTATATATATATTCCATTATCTGGACGACTCATTTCCGCTTCCACTTTGAGACATGTCTTTGTAGCAAAGGAAAATTGCTGAGAAACAGCTGGTATAAACCGTGTAGACCAAAACGCCAAACATTTCAAATTTTATCCTTCGTAAATGCCGAATATTGAACGCCGTTTCCTTTTTGTCAGATTTGGTGGTAGTGTACAGATGACAGTGATGCAAGTAGATGTGTATGGCCAATGGAAAGGAAAGATTGAGTATGTGTACTTGGGCTTGACGATTAAAACTCTAGTAGAGCGGGCTTGTAGATTGAAAAACGAGATAGAAATAGGTGGAAACCAGAATAGGTTCTAATCTCTCACTGAACATTCAGGAAGAGATCGTCACCCCTTCGTGTAGGGGTCAGTTTCGGTTGCCAAGTAGGTGTAGCCGGAAGTCCGCCGCTTCCGAGGCCACGAGCACCCGGCGACATCATTGCTGCCATGTCTGGGCTCAAGAGTCCACCGGGACCGTGACGCTTCCATGCGGCAGTGGGTTTCTTTTGGTTATTTTCGAGCGACAGGGCGGCGGCCTTTTCATTGCCGACCCGTTTTGCAAGCAAGGAACTGGCCACCGAAGATGTCGTCACAGCACTGGTGGGTGACACAAAGGACGAGGCCCGCGTCTGTGGCGGTGGTGGGAGGTTGTAGGTATCCAGGCGTGGGGGAAATTGTCGCGATAGACGCATTTCAGATCGAAGAGGCACATTTGGGGGTGTTGCGGGGGGTTGACGTATCGACGGCTGTTCCGGAGAGAATCCTGAGCCTGTCGACTGATGGGATGGCCGCAAGTTTGGCGCATTAATGATTCCTGTCTGATCTCCTCGTCTTGGATTTAGCGGCCGCGGATAAGCAGACGGAGATCCCTTTATTGGAACGACTGCTCCGAGAGTCGGGCTCGGCTGTCCCGGAGGCGAAGATGTAAAGCTCGGTCGCTTGGGTGGAGGAACCATACGGATCGTTGCCAAGTCGAGCCGTCCAGGTATTTTTGGGTACGTGACTGGCGAGCGGCCTGTGGGCGTACGGGGCGACTCAATGACTGGCGAAAGTGTAGACAGACGGCTGGGTTCGGCCTCTTCAACGGGAGGGCTGTCGTCAAACGGACCACCGGCAGAGGAACTTGATTGAATGGTTGTCGCCGAATCCATGGAAGCCTTGGAGTCTGATCGGCTAGTCCTCCTCTGACCCGAACTGCTCATCCTCCTAATTGTGGGCATCGGCGGCCGATCAGAGTTGCGAAAGGCGCTGTTTTGGGAGTATACGCTGGAAGCTTGAGACATGTATGCATCTCGCCCATCTGGCTTTAGTAGAACCTGTGGTGGCATTGGGAGCTCAGGGGCAGAGGCTGCAGAGATCGCCGTGGCCAATGCCGTCGCCGCCTGCTCTTCCTGCTTTTCAATGGGCGACTTCGTCAAAGGCGTATAAGTGTCCAACTCGGCTGCCTCTGCAACACCAGCGAGTTGCGACTGTCTGTTGGTATTATTGAGAACCCAGTTGCCCCATTTATCAGCAACGTAGTATGTTGTCGCTGATTGAGGATCCGAAGGTGGTGGGCGCCATATTTGGCCGCCTTCGGGTGCTTCCGTGTCCAAATCAGCAAAAGCCGTCATGTTCGTCATGGTGCTTGTTCTATCCGTCTGAGGTTGTGACGAATGAGTACGAAGTGCAGGATGGACGGCAGTTGGGATGTTCAGCGTCAGATTCGGCTTGGACGGCCGCAGCGGCTTTGGCGGTAACAGCTTTGACATTCGTCGCTCCCGTACTGGACTTTGTGGTTTGGGGACAACCTCACTCCGTGGCCGTGAGATAGCAAGTCCTATTGTATTTCGGTCAACGTTTGGGTACTCGCTTCCTGACGGCGGCGTTTCTGGTGTGAATGGCCGTTGATTCCTCAGTATAGGTGGCGAAATGTGAAATATTTTGGTGAGCCTGGCAGCCGCACTCCGGCCCCCAGAACTACTCTTCTCTTCCATAGGCATGAAACCCTCTTCATCGAGGCCGGGATATCTTCGTTTCCTCGCACGACGCGCCATAAATATGGAGACGAGTGCCAGGATGATAGCTCCAGCAACGCCCACCGTAATGCCTGCGATTTGGCCCTTGTTCAAGGATGTTGAGGTCGCGGTCGGTGTCTCACTTGTCTGAGCGCTGGCGGTCTCTGTTGGCCGTGTTGTTGTCGATGTGGGCGATGGCACCAACGATGTGCTTGATGCAGTCGTGGCAGATGACACAGAAGTCGTGAGCATTGTCGAAGTAGTGCCATGACTTGTGGAGATTGGTGCGGTAGTGTAGGTCGATGTGGTACTTGTCGACGTTGATATGACCACGCTTCCACCACCCAGCACAAAGGCGGCCGACAGAGGAGTTGGCTGCGTATTTGGAAGGGCGCTTATCTGGCCCGAACACATCTGGTATGCCACTCCTGCTTCTGTGATAGTTGTCAATAACTTGTCTCCATAGATCAGATCCGTTACTTCTGAAGGCACTCACGCTTGCCATCGTCTGCTGTACATATGCCAAAGAAGAAGGATCCACCAATACATTCTGCAGCAGCCTCTCCGACAGTAAGGTTGGCAGCCGACTCATGAGAACAAAGACATTGTAGCGATGCAGAAGTGCCACACGATGAAGATGCATAGTTCTCTTGGACGAACGCCTTGAAGCATCCTTGGGCACAAGAAGGGATGAAAGCGCTGACTTCACTGGATAGTTCCGCATCATAGGCGCCAGCAATCGATACTGAGGTCCCTATCAACAGCAGTCCAAGCAGCGGCTTCAGTGCCATGCTAGAAAACATCTATAACTTCATGTCAGTGACCTTTTACCACGAATGGTCACTGTATAATGGGGATGTGATATGATGTCTATAGCTGGCGCATCATAATGTAATGGACCCCGGAGAAGGGAAGAGGCAACCGTCATATGGGGGATGAGATGTGTAAAGCATAGCCTCGGAGGCCGAGAAGCGATGAGGCCGCCTGGCTGATGTTGGGAGGTCTCGCATATGGGACTCACATACCTAAGAAATAGAGATCAGGTCTGTAAAAGACGGCCAGCAAACCATCGTGGTCGTCTATAGACTCAGCACTGCCAACAAATGAGATGCTAGGATTGCTGATTCGCACCAGTCGAGGACAGGCAAGCAGAAAAAGAGGAAATGCCACAAGAACACAAGAGAGAAAAAAATAGATGCTAAGCAATAGGTAGATTACAATAGTAGGAAATTCGAAGCAAGGAAAAAACAAAAGACACAATCGTAGCAAATCTTGTTACAGATTCCAATACCAGGACCGACGAGAAACAAAAAGGGGCCAAGTATATGGCGGCTACCATGCCTCTAATATGAGGTCGCGCTTTGAGGTCAAACATCCTTGGAGGACTAATCAGGCGTGCAGATGACAAGGCGACTCGAGGCTGGCACTGACTGGGCAGCAGCAGTAGCAGCCGCAACAAGAAGAACCGTCATTCGAGGGACCAGGCAGGCCGTGCCGCCAGCGAACGGCGCATCGCATATTGCTACCCGGCCCGTAGCGAGCCACTGTTGCGTCATGGCGAAGCAAGCCTGCCTGCAGATGGTATTCACAGATCTGGACATCTACTATGTAAAGGTCAATTCTGGGTGTAGATCTCGCCGAGCTCATCGAGGGGAGCGGTAGGCAAGAATGTCGGGCCAGGCTGCTGATTGGTCAGAGAAGCATCATCGTGCCTGTGAATGGCCAGGTTACCCCCAATATCCATTCGGAAGCACTCACCAGAAGGGCCATACCCTTTTTGTCTGCAAGAATAGAAGCGAGTGGTACGCCAAGCTGAGCTGCGCCTTGGTTGGACGATTTGGTGTGGCCACCAATTTGCGCGCGCCTAAATAAGACGATTGGGTTTGGGGGTGGTTCTTTCGATGCTGGCTGCAGCGCTGGGCGCTTAAAAAAAGGTACGCGCATCTGCACAAACATCAATTCCGACCAATTGAGGCAGTGTCTGCTGCAGTCGGCATGTCGACTGCGACGAAAGAGGCCGCTATTGTGCATCACCTCTTGTTTCGTTTTTCTTTCGGGGCGCAGATGACTGGATGCGACTATTCCTGCATCAATATTTCCTTCCTCGCCACGATTAGATTCTGCAGTGTCATATACCTACATACCTTTGAAGATACACCCGTACTCGATGGATCAAGCTTAATCTATACTTGGCTCATGATATAGGCAAACTGTCATGTCAGCTCCTCACAGATGATGCACATGCATGTGTCTGTTCTATTGTACAGTCAATTTCTTCATGTCAATACTTGTTATAACACAAAAGTGACCAAGCCACCAAGATTATCTTGCAATCTTGTCGTAGGATTCCGGAATCTTCGGCGATTTCAAAATAGCTTTTGTTCTTTTTCTCGTTCGTGGTATCATGCATCTCGTCTGTCTATCTGCTTTGAATTTTTCTTTTTTTTCTCCGTGTCAAAACATGACTTCGCTCTCGTGGCATTAGCTACAATCAGATTAAGTCAGGTAATTCTGACAGGCTTTCTCAATATTCCTACGTCTGAAACAACATGTTGTTGCCGTCAAGCCAGCGTAGAGTCCAATGGACCAAGTTACTAAGTCCTGCCGTCTCGTGTGCCTTCGTCTTCCGGTGGGGATTACATTGCCGGATATCCTACGCTTAGTCCTACTGAGCCGAAGGATTGAATCCAGCCTGTGCCCGACTCGATTTGATTACACGCTGCACCTCGGCCTCTGTCGTGTCCCAGTCATCCGGAACAAGTCGGATCAGATCAATCTCATATCTCTCGGTAATGTTTTGCAATGCTTCGAAACTCTTCTTGTCGAAGATGAAGGTGATACTGACACCTACACGGCCGAAACGGCCCGTTCGGCCAATTCGGTGCAGGTAGGTCTCAGCATCCGGCTCTCGGTCACCGGGGCCCTTCATCGGGACATCGTAGTTGATGACCATGTTGACACTCGAAACATCAATACCTCGAGCGAGAACATTGGTGGTGATGAGAACCTTGGTGCGGCCGCTTCTAAACTCATCAATGAGAGCGTCTCGGGCAGCACCCTCAAATGCACCATGAAGAGCCGTCACCTTGTGTCCATCCTCAGTCATGCGCTTTTGAATTTCGTTGGCGCTCTCACGAGTCTATTTTCGATCAGTCATCTGTCCTCATACTGAAGTAAGGCCGCTCTATTTACCTTCACAAAAATAATGGACGAGCCAATGGTCAGGAGACCGTATAGTTGACACAAGATGCCATACTTGTCTGCTTCCGATGGGCAGTCCATGAACATCTGCGAGATGCCGCGGACCGTAAGCTCTTGTACCTTGAGCTTGATCTGGTTGGCATTGGGTGCAAACTTGGTGGCGTATTTGTGTACAACATCGGGGAAGGTAGCGGAAAAGAGGAGGATCTGAACGGTCTTGGGGATCATGCTAAGCAACATATGATTAGCCTACGCGACGAGAATGTGTGGGCACGGTGCTTACTTCTTAACACGAGCACACTGGTCACCGAGACCCTGCTGATCCAGCATGTTGTCGGCCTCGTCAATAACGAGAACCTTGAACTGCGAAGCATCGATCTGTCTTCTTCTGATGAGATCCATGACGGTTCCAGGTGTGGCGCAGATGACATTGGCTTCAACCTTCTGGTCCCTGGCAATGTTACCAGGAACAGCAGCCTCGACAACCAGACCCTCGCAGAACTGGCCAATGTGCTGAACAACACCCTGGATCTGGCGGGCCAGCTCACGGGTGGGCGCCAAGATCAGAGCTTGTGGTTGGGTTGGATTGCTCATGTCCACGCGAGAAAGAACTGTTGTGACGAAGGCAGCCGTCTTTCCAGTACCAGACTGCGACTGAGCAATCATGTTTTGGGGCGGGTCCGCTAACATGAGAGGGAGGGCCTTCTCTTGCACCTTCGAGGGCTTGTGGAACTGAAGAGCGAGGAGACCTTTGAGGACAGCGTCGGGCCTGTAGAGGTTGAAGTGTTAGTAGATAGTGGCAGGAACCGATCATTTCGAAGTCGCCTTTGACTTACAGTCCGAGCTCCTCGAAAGACTTGGCAGAGCCCAGAGGGTGATCCTGATCTTGCTGCAGCTGGTTGAGTGAAACCTCGACATCGTAATCCACCTGCTGCAAGTTGGAGGTGCCAGCGACATCGCCAGCGCCGTCGGCGCCTTCAGGGACTGCGGCAACATCGCCCTCGGGCTTTGTGATGCGACTTGCAAGATCAGACATCTTCAGAACGCTAGTCGCGAATGATGTAGTTGAATGTCGCGATTGTCAAGGGTTCGATAGACCGGGTTGAAGTGGAAACTGGCAATACCAAGTTTGTGGTAGACCAGGCGCAAGTTCGCGACTTCAGTGAAGAAAGAGTAGGTGTGGAATCCTGCCTGGGATCGAAGGGGAATTAGACACTCAAAGCACCAGACGGGAATTTAGGAGTGCGGGTCCGTCCCAACGTGGCTCACTCACGTTATTTTCGGATCCTCCAAAACCTCGATCAAGGTGGTCGTTGGTATTGATACTCGAAGAGGAGGGACCAGCGTGATCGTGAACGAAAGAAGTCAGAGATTCAGGTCAGGCTGTACCTTAGCTTGACGAGCCGAGACTCAAACCACAGGGAGTGATGAAATTCTGGTGGGGTTGTCAAAGGTCGGTTGATGGCGGGGTGAAGCTCAAGCTCCAGGGCGGGTTGGCGGCGGGCGGGCACTTCCCCTTCATCAGAGGCTCAAAAAAAGCAAAAAAGCAGGGGTCCGAATCATCCAGCCCAACCCAATTCATGGAAAGTATGGAGGGGTGACAGGTCGGGTATGTACGAAGTACGTATTGCTCCATACCTACAGGCAACTGCCCGTCATCTTGGGCAGCTGCTGGATCCATTGTTGATGTCAAATTGGTTGCACGCGGTACACTGTCCATTTTTTTCGTCTGCGCAATCTAATGAATCGCTTGGTACTTGAGGAATTTCTGTTCATATTTACAAGAAACGTGAAGGATCTCAGAGCCAGAAATGCCCATGTAGCTCGGCGGTATAAAGTCATCAGTGTAAAAGGTAAATACTTGAACTCCGGCGGTCAAATGCGTGCCGAACTCTTGGATCCCCGCTGTCATTAGCGAGCGCCAGCCAGCGATTTACATTACAGTAGGTACCCAGCGACTGCGACCTTGTCTAGGTGGGCTGCGCCTCGTGGTTTCTCGACCTAATTCGCTAGAAAACAAGGACCTGAACCTTGGGATCCCCTCTACCTGGAGAGTACCAAGGCCGCATCATGACATTGGCCATGTCGCACGGAGCATATCGTACCAACTTGTCCTGATTTCTCTACCTATTTTGCAGTTCCCGTTGAATGAATATACCTGCCACTGCCACTCCTCTCTGTCGATGTCGCATGTCTGCAATACTGTTGCCCCGTCTTTCACACACTCCTCTTAATACCCTCAAGCAGCCATGGCCGAGGTCGATGTCCCGCCGACGTTCGGCGCCGAACTAAAGGTATGCCAGAGCCCAGCAAACGTCCACCCCCTTTCACACTCGGACGGAAAGTCAACATATGTGCGCATGGGATCGAAGCGACGGGGAGCTCTTCAAGTCTTTATGCTCACTTGTCGGTTAAATAGGATGGTTTCCGACCGGCCAGCGCCTGGGTTGCCAACGGCATCGCCTGGCTGGACGATATACAGCAGTATTACCGTGAACGAAGCGCAATCGAGAAGGAATATAGCGCAAGGCTCAATGCCCTGGCAAAGAAATATTTTGAAAAGAAGAACAAAAAGTCCTCCAGTCTGAGTGTGGGCGATACGCCGACCATGACCCCCGGCTCTCTCGAGAGTGCCTCGCTCACGACTTGGACAACGCAGCTGACGACGCTGGAATCGAGAGCTGACGAGCATGAAAAATACGCCAATGAGCTGATCACCAAGGTCGCTGACCCCCTAAAATTCTTCGGCTCCAAGTTTGAGGAGCTGCGCAAGCGACATGTCGAGTACGCCGATAACCTCGAGGTCGAACGAGACTCCTCGTATGCTACTTTGAAGAAAACCAAGGGAAAGTATGATCAGGCTTGCCAGGAACTCGAAAGCAAGCGGAAGAAGACTGAGTCGTCGTTCGATAAGGCAAAGGCGCAGAGCAATTACCAGCAACAGTTGCAGGAAGCCAACAATGCCAAGAACACATACCTTATTGCAATTAATGTTACCAACAAGCAAAAGGAAAAGTATTACCATGAATATGTCCCGGAACTCTTGGATAGTTTGCAGGACCTCTCCGAATTCAAGACGCTCAAATTAAATGGTTTATGGACCATGGCCGCTTCCCTCGAAACTGGGATGTTGCAGCAGAGCAATTCGCTTGTCGAGAACCTTTCGCAGGAGGTTCAACGCAACCTGCCACACCTCGATTCCATGATGTATATACGCCATAACCTTGGATCTTGGCAGGAGCCTGGCGATAAGGGATTTGAGCCGAGTCCTGTCTGGCACGATGATGATACCATGATTGTTGACGAAGCGGCCAAGATCTTCCTGCGCAACGTTCTGAACAAGTCCAAGAGTCAACTGGGAGACTTGCGGCGAGAAGTGGACAAGAAACGGAGAGAGGTCGAAGGGGTAAAGCGGACGAAACAGCGGGTGCGGGATGGGTCTGAAGCCAAGGATGAAGTCCTAATCGTGACACAGTTGTTCGCACTGCAAGAGGAGCTCCATCAGGTTGATCGGAAACGCGTCACAGCCGAGGTTGAAACCTCAACAATCACATCGACAATAGGGGATGTTACCTTGGGCGCCAAGAACCATAATTTCAAATCGCAGACATTCAAAATCCCCACCAATTGCGATCTTTGCGGTGAGAGGATATGGGGCTTGTCGGCAAAGGGCTTCGACTGTCGTGACTGTGGTTATACGTGCCACAGCAAATGCGAGATGAAGGTTCCTGCCGAGTGTCCTGGTGAACTGTCCAAAGAGGAGCGCAAGAAATACAAGTCAGAGCGACAAACAGCAGCGACCACTTTGCTCAAACCTTCTGGTACACCAGACCATGTCTCCGAGCTGCCCGACCTTAGTCGATCCAACACAATGAATTCGCTGAGCTCAGGCTACGCTGCTAGCGCCCATCGATCGGTGACGGGCTCAGTATCGACAGCAAAGGAGCCTGGCGAGGATGCACCACCTGAGCCTGGTCCAAGGCCGTCCATTCCGTCGGCTTCTACCTCTACCAGAAAGCCACGTCTCATGGCCCCTCCGCCGAGTGCATATATCAGTGAGTTGCCCGGTAGTTCGGTCAATGGCTCGGGGGCAAGCAAACCAGAGCAGAAGGGCAAAATACTGTATACGTTCGAGGCCAACGGTGAGGGTGAATTGTCGGTTCACGAAGGCCGTGAAGTCACAGTTTTGGAGCCAGATGGTATGTTTTGACACACTGACCCCTTTTCATTAGATGTCCTGCATGTTGTGAAGATACTAATGAGGCCGTAGATGGATCTGGATGGGTCAAGGTGCGCGCAGGCTATAAGGAAGGCATCGTGCCCGCAACCTATTTAGAAACATATCCAGCAGCTCCGGCACCCATTGTACCGCAAGACACTGGCAGCACTGCTAATCGTCCTGGGTCAACCTACTCCAATTCTGGTTCGTCGATTGGCGGCGCTCCGACAGGCAAGAAGAAGGGACCTGCGGTAGCACCAAGACGAGGCGCAAAGAAACTCAAGTATGTTGTAGCCTTGTATGACTACACTGCACAAAGCGATGCAGAGCATAGCATGGCAGAAGGAGATCGGTTCGTGCTGGTCAAGGAAGACCCTGGCGATGGATGGGCAGAGGTTGAAAAGGGTGGCATTACGAAGAGTGTCCCTGCAAGCTATGTCTCAGCAGACTCATCATAGGCTGTGAAGTCAAAGACGAGAAACATACTGCATGGCCTCCAAACAAACACCAGGGGAATAAATCTAGCTTTTGTCGCCTGAGTCTCTCATGTTGTACCTCCTTCCACTTTATAGCGGAAGACAGTCCAACCACAGGTGTAGTAAAACAGAGTTCTCCGTCATGGAAAACATGACAAAAAATCGAATTATTGTAAAGACCTTGGTTTTCCAGAAAATGATTATGTGTTCGACACCATTTCATTTGTGGTAGGAGGAAAAGTAACATAGTCAAAACCGAACATCCAAAAGAGTATAAGGACTATAAAGCCCAGCGCGGAACCGAATCCGTACCTGGTGGGGCAAATTTTCCCATGCCTGCAACGACCCAGCTGCGACCAGAAAATATTTACTACCTACCTACTTTTGCACCTGAACCTCTAATTTACCGCCCAAGTCCATGTTTGGCGCCCTCGAATTAATACATCAATAAAATCCCACACGTAGCCGAGTCTTATATCGGTCGGCATTTCAATTCTCTGAAGGTCTACTTCCTTCTGATCAGCGACCGTGAGACGTTGCGACCGCTGATTCCTCCTCGGCTTTTGGGTTGGACTACACCATCTCGCATTTCTGTCTCTTCCCACGACGCTCCCAAAGAAGCCTTTTATTCCACCGATAGGATAAACGGCAGGAACGAGAAGGCCTATTTCGAAAAGACAAATTGCGCGAGAAAGCGCAAAGAATAAGAAGAAGAAGAAGAAGAAAACATGGCCCAGGGCACAGTAAAACCAAAGGCTTTTGCCTCCAAGCCCGTCAAGCCCAACCCGGCCAAGACCAAGAAGGGCGCGCGCGTCGCAAAGCCCAAAAAGGCGACGAGCGCGGCCAAGATCCAGAAAAAGTACAGCGCCGGCCTCGTGCACAAGACGGAGAAGCTGCTGGGCGAGCGCGCTGGACACCTCGAGATGATTGGCAAGGGCCGAGACCGGTCGGGGGCCAAGAAGGAGACTGAGCAAAAGGGCGGTAGCAAGAAGTTTGGTTGAAGAGACATGCAGGGGGGAGAGAGAGAGAGAGAGAGAGAGAGAGATTTGGACTGGGAAACCCATCTCCCATCGACTGGGCATGTTTGCGAAGCGGGAAAAGAATCCATCATGACAAAGGACTGGGAGAGGAGTGGGTGGAAAAGGATGAGAGACCGCGTATGATACCAAGGGAAAAGTAAAGGCATGGCAGGACAGGGCAGGACAGGGAAATGGAGAAGCGGAAGTCCTCGAGAGGGAGAGAGAATAAGAGAGAAAGATGTGCTTTCTGAACTGATGCGTGTGACCTGGGTAACCATGGGGGCTTGCCTAGAAACAAGGAGCCCTGAAAGTTACCCCATCGCACGAGGCGCAAAGATCATCTCACAGGCGAGGTCTTGTTGACGAACATATCCCTTGGCTACAACTCGGATTCTCGATGACAAACTGTGCAATCATATATGCCAGCGGCCAACAGCCAACAGCCAACAGCATGTATTCGTTTCGAGTAAATGGCTACCTCTTTAGAACATTCATCTCAGTCGATAATGAACAATACGGATCTGTAGCTGTTTGATTTGATGGGAAGTTGCGGGACTGCTACATACGTCCTAGCAAGATGACTCTGGACAAAATTAATTCTATATTAAATGCGATTGGTTTTTGAATCTATGGTGTACGTTGGAATTCAGAAAGTAATTCTACGCTTTGGCAAAACTCTTGTGCCCAGCCAGTCTACGTGCTTTTATGTTCGTCGGCCAAACGAGCCAGGAAACCCTTGATCGCTTCCAGGTCCTCGTCGACACGAACCCGCCAGCTCGAGACGGCCACTCGCACAGCCGTCGCGCCCTTCCATTTGGTGCCGCTGACGTACCATTCACCTCTCTTGTGGATAGAGCCGACAAGCTTCTCATTGAGCGCCTCGTCCTTGGCCCGGAAGAGGACGACAATGTGCGTGTCCTCGATGGCGCAGTTGCCGTGCGGCAACAAGACATAATCAGAGCTGGCATTGATAGCCTCGGCCACGCCACGAGCCAGCCGTACCATGCGCGCCAGGATCGCCGCCAACCCTTCGCGGCCCTCGCTGAGCAAAACGGCGTAGACGGGCAGAGCACGGAACCGGCGCGAGTTTTGCAGGTCGACGTTGAGGGGGCTCTCGATGGTGGCGCCAGGGGCCGAAGACAGGTAGGCGGCGTTTGGGTTTTTGCAGACGCTGGTCAAGACGGACGCCTTGCGGGTAAGGAACATGCCGCAGTCGTACGGCACGTTGAGCAGTTTGTGTCCGTCGACAGTGATGCTATCGGCAAGCTCAATCCCGGCAGCATAGGCACGCAGCCGGGCAAACTCGGGCGTCGCGGGCAGGCACCGCGCAAAGATGCCAAAGGCTCCGTCGACGTGAATCCAGGAGCCGTGGCGATCCGCCAGTTCGCGGAGCCGGCGCATGTCCTCGAGGCCCGTGGTGGCGAAGCGGCCCGTGTTGACCTCGCCGGCGCTCAGGGCAATGATGCTCGCAATGCCTTCGCGCCGCAGCTCGCGCTCGACAGCATGGAGGTCGAGCCGCCAGGGCTCATCCTCACTGTGCGGCAGCTCCTTTACTGAGAACCTGCCCAGCCCGACAATGGATGCCGCCTTGTAGAGCGAGCTATGGCCCATGCTCGTCAAGACCTGCACATGCCTGATCCCCGCCTGGGCACAAGCGGCAAGCAAGCCGAGCTCTCCCACGCCATCGACAGTACCCTGTGGTCTCAGCTTTGCCTGGACCACAGCTTCCCTGCCACAGCCAAGACCTAGAGTGTTGCTGGCCGTGGCGCCAGTAGTCAGAGTCCGGCCTTCCCAGTCCGCAGCGTCTCCTAGGTCGAGGAGAGCAACCAGCATCCTCAGCGCCGCGTCCTCGACCTCGGTTGCAATGGTCTGGGTCGGCAAATGGACTTGAACATTCTGGTCATAGGCCGTCACAATGTTGTCGGCGACCTCGGCGATTGGAAGCGTCGAACCCGTCACGAAGCCATAGTACCTACCTGAGAGATTTTGGCCGTTTAGCGCAGGGACTATGTCGTTGAGCAGGTGATCCAAGGTGGCCTCGTCGCCCCGTCCAGAGAGATAGCGCACATCGTCTGGCTGAGGTAAGGAGGCCCGGCCTGCCTCGAGCCGTTCGGGTTTGGGCAAGACGGCAGGTTCAGCGGCATCTGTAGTTGAAGCTGTCACCGAAGACCTGATGCGGGTATAAGCCCGCTGCAGGAAGTCGTCGGCGGCGGATTCTCCATTGAAAGCAGCCATGTTATCAAGGTAACAGTATACTACCAACCAGCAAGGTTGGTACGAATGTACACTGACTTGCCCTGAATTGGACCGGACCCAGCAGTCTGGCACAGCACAAGCACCAAGGCAACCTATTGCAACCCGCACCTCCTCCTCGAGAAACCGCTAAGCCAGTCACGGAAGTTTGCCGGCTTGGGAGGGATGATGGACACACGTCTATCCTCCCGTCGGTGCCGTGTAACAAGGCCAATTGATGGGATTGATTGACCCTGCGGGCGGGCGGCGGCGGCACTGATGGGTAGTGAATCCAGCAGCGTGGTTCTGGCTTGGGACGTTCCGCTTAGGCGTCGGAGAATTCCTCGGTTTGGGGTTGGTGTCCACCGTGCAGGGACTCTCGGTGGTCAGCTTACTAGACTATTATGTACTTGGTTACCTTCGGAACCTAGGCAACTCTGATGACTGGGGAACTAATCAAATTGACAAGCAGCTTATACGCTGTGGAGAGATGTGGGCAAATGGCGGGAGGATTTGACTGTACCTGTATATCCTATACCAGTATAGACGCGAGAGCGGAACGGTACTTTTGATCAGCTAGAAGAGCATTTGTCCATTAGCTTGGTGGAAAAATCACCTGATTTTAATATATCGATGTGAGTATTGATGGGAAGGGCTGGGGATTGCACAAATTTTTTCTTTCTTTCAATGTCGATGCAATGGGTTTTTCGGCTCACATAATGATACAGTAGCCGAGCTGCAAGACACGTTGTCCAAGTCTTGAAAGTGTCTGCTGGGAAGGTACGGATAGAGAGGCTGTGGAATATGCAGGTAGTCGGTACCTAGGTAATGCAGGTGTGGTCGTTACCAGCAGGCGGGGATTAAAAAAAATTGGGTGACAGCTTCTTGGTTGATACTCTGCCCTTTTTGTTTTTTCTATGTTACCAGGAGGATTGGCAATACATTGTTTGCAACAGCAGCTATTTGTATTCAGATCCTTTGAGGTTATCGTGAACTCAACTGATCGCATACTGTTTCCTTTCAACTGATCCTTCGACCATGGTTTTCGAACCAAGTGGGTTCAAGTGGACTCGTCGAGGCTTGACTCGGTGCTGTTGCCATGGGCTCCCCTCCTCAATAATAGCGTCAAGGTCCCTGGTTAAAGATTGAAGCTTGCCCGTTTGGAATTGGGAAGTAGTACGTAGTGGGCGGCTTTCTTCCCATGGCTCTAACAGTCAATTGCGTCAAGCCGGAAGCAAGGCAGAATTGTAGATTTGGACAATGGCGACATGATGCTGCTGCTGCCAGGCTCATTGCAGTGCAGCACGACGACGCACAGGAGAAGGACAAGACCAGAGAGGTGGAGGAGGACTTTGTATGGGAAAAGGCGGTTGAGTTTTGGAATTTCCTTTTCAGTCATTTTCCCACTCCACTTCTCCCCTCTCCCGTGCGTGAACCCCTGTTGAAAAGAACCCAGCAGTCTGGTTACCTTTCACCGGAAAACAGTGGCCGGGAACAGGCATTGAAAGCCGGGCCGCGCCAATTGGGTGGTCGTTGCAACAGCGGAGAGAGAGCACAGGCCCAACACCATACCCGTGGACATCACTATGTACATGTTTGGGAGGGGCGCGGCCACCTATTGTTGTACGTAGTATTTTGTCGCGGTACGCACATTGATAGGACACCCGATCCCTAGTTCTATGGCTCAACTGGAAGGTGGGTTACGATGGATGAATGATGATGATGAATGCCGCTGGAGGCGTTGGAATAAAATGCCCCGATGCATTTTTATGAGTTCAGGCGTAATAATCACATCAACATGGAACGCTGCGCACTTGCGAGGCACGTAGGCTGGTTTTGCCAGATGTTGATTTGACACACCATGGCCCTGGTCCCGCGGCGGCGGCGGCGGCGGCGGCGGCGGCAGAAGTGAGGAGGAACAACTCACGATGCATGAAAGCGAGTCCGGTGTACGTGTTTGTTTGCTCCTTTGGGTGCATCTTGGACTACCCGAATGCAACAATGGCAGGGCCGGCGTATCAAGCTAATTAAAAGTAGCAGACTTCAAAAGTTGACTTGTGTGAGCAACAAGTGTGTATGTAAATTCCTGTCGGTCCTCGGGCGTCCTCGTGGTCTGTGATGTAGACGTTGATCTCTGTCTGTATTAAAAAAGCTCCACGTATGGGGATGAGTCTGGTGGACCGGCTCCTTTTTCCCCGAAGAGTCCAGGACGGAGTGGCCGGTTCCTTTCTGCCAATTTTGTTTTCAGCTACACATCGCCCGGCGCCGCGAGAAGAAGAAGCATTGACGATGAATGAGCTGCTTGATCATCTGATTTGCGTGTGCGGGCGTAGAAATAGGGGCATTCAATTCTTCGTGTTGAAGCCATCCTATTAGTGACAAAAGTACAAGGAAAAGGGGAGGGAAAAGGATGAACGAGTAAAGAGAGGATGCATTGCTCTATAGCATGGATGCCAAGCGGCGGCTCGCACACATGTGGTGATACAACCGACCTTGCCGCAGTCTGTTGTAATCACCTGCAAGTAGGGACAACCTGCGGGTAGGTTGGGTGGTGGTATTAATTACTAGCTTGGAGCACGTCGTTGTTGTCGTGTAGGTAATGTAGTTTCGAAAGGGATTCATGTGCCTGACTTGCCTGGTCGAGCGTCTCCAGTGCTATTGAAAAAGCCATATAATAGAGTTTCTGCAAGACATGGAGTGACCTCGGACCCCTTCTGGAGCCGCTAAGTGAAGACGGATACGCCGTCAAGCCTTTGAACCCGAGGGAGTGGTACTATAGAATCGCTGCTGTCTGGGTTGTGCGGTACCTGTACGGCGCAGGCAAGCGTTTATGAATTGATGGCGGTTGGCCCTGAGCGATGCCGTTCACAATGCCAAAGATCATGGCTTCGGAGTAAGTAGGAGATACGCAGGTACGGCCCGTTCTCCGAGCTTCTGTACGTTTCGTGCTGCACTGTCCTTTTTCACGGATATCGTCTCGAGGTTCTGCTTGGCAATTGGTTTTCGTGCAAAAAAATCAGGCCGGTCGTCCGTTCATCCGTCCGTCCGTCAGTGCTTTCGACCTGCATGCATTATCATCAGTCCACAAAAACCGCCTTCTGTAATCCCAAAAAATTAGTCATACATATTGAAAGGCCGTTGTGATAAGTGGTTCAAGAAGAATTCTGGAGCAGTAAACAAGCAATATAACGGTCATCGCATCGTACAGGGATAAAAAAAAAGTCTGCGCGTATGTGGGAGTTTGTCGGTAGGTGGTTCCAACGGTCAACGCCCGCCCCCCTCCTCGGTGAGGCGCAAGCAGATACAGTACAACCGAACATGTGCGGGACAGACAGGCGGGCAGCATGTCACATATAATGTTAGGTTGATCGATTGAAGACGCGAGAAGCACATGGCAAGACATGACCTACCGCGGTAGCCGAAGAGAGTCTGAGAAGAAGGGTTTCAAGCATCGAGAACGGAGAAGAGATAAATAAGTGTGTGCTACTTTGGTCTTGGGAGCTTCATATATCTTTCCTTCCATGCAGCTTGATTGTATTCGATCCCGTTGCAGCAGCACGCGGAGAGTAGCGCGGTGAAGTAAGTGCAGCAAGAGATACATTAATGATGAAAAACAATTTAATGCAACACCGATGCATGTTCTGTTTAATGCAGTAGCATGTTGGTCAGCATTGATGTGTATACTCGGGCAGCAGGTACAAACATCGATTGCACCCATGATAGACTTTACTGTGCGTACCTAGGTACTTGTCATCCCCTGTGTGTGCACACATATACAGAGAGTAATGGTTGACTGGCGCGTGCCGGGGCGGCACATCAGAGCATTAGACCCATGGCCGGAGGACCCAGAAATAGCGGGCTCGGGTGGAGAACTCCATGCTTTGGCCCTGTTCCGCAGCGCTGGATTGGACTTGATTGATTGGGAAGTGAGTCGTCTGGTATGTAACCAGAAGAGACCGATGATGGTGAATGACAATGAGATGAAGAAGCCGGTACAACCCTTTCTTCCCTCTTCTGCTACCTATCAACCTACCAACCTGCCTAACAACCTACCCACCTAGTTGTTAGCATCAAATCTCACAGATGGGTTTGGTTACATCGGATCCCATTGGAACTCGCCCCGAGCTTGCGAGCTCCCACGAAAGCAGATCAAAATCCGGCTGCTTGCTTTACTGATAGCCGCTGCAGCACTTGGCTAAGACATTTCCAGTAGCGAACAGCACGCCCAGGCAAGGTTTTGATTTAATTTCCCGGCTCCATTCATATACTTCAGCCCGTCCTCATGCACAAACACGTACGTACCACTTGTATGTACGTATATCGGTACGTGGGTTTGTATGCAGTACCTGCCATATGTAGGTACTATACCTCCCATAGTTACCTACGTACCTAACCTAGGTATGTAACATGCCTTACAAACATCTGCCTAAGGGCAATTGAAGGCAAATACGAGGGGCACCTTGAGAGGGGGCGATTGGAGGGGTTCAAGTTCGCCGCTGTAGGAAGGAAAATAGAAGGGGAAGGGAGGGGGGAAAGATGAGAGATGAGTGACAACACAGACTACTGCCGACACTTATTATTAACTCGCATGCATACTATTAACCTACAGTACTACAATTGTCCTCCAAGAAATCAAATCAAAATCAGAAGAGAGAGAAAATCCCACTCGGGACTTCTTCCCACCCCTCCTTTCCTTTTAGTTGGTATCTGCAAGCCACAAAAAAAAAAAAAAAAAAAAAAAAAAAAAGAAGTACACACCCCCCCTCCACAGAAAAAGACTCCTACTGCCCATCCAAGCTTTGGCTTCTACCTAAGGGACAGCGATCCCAGGAAGACGGTTTCGCCGCCAGGACTCTATTTGCTTCTAACACAACTACCTGCTCCCCAATCAGCTTCTGCCGCGACATCGATCTCTGGGGCTGCCCGGGGTGGGCTTTCTACTCTTAAAAAAAAAAGAGACCAAATTAGGGGCGACCGAAGAGACGGGGGGGCGTTCTCGCATATCTGCAGTACACCCAAACCAGTCTCCTGGGTCCGACCAAAATTCCAGCCATCCGGATCACTTCACTGGTTCTCGCTCGAACCTCATAGAGTCAGAGACAAGGAGAGCCCTGCCCTAGGAGGAAGACTTGACGGGGACTGACTGGACCCTCTATGCCCTGGCCACATATACGCTTCTCGGCTTCCATTCATGGTAATCAGTTTGTCAATTACAGAGGGAGAGAGAGAGAGAGAAAGAAAAAACAAGAGAGAGAAAGAGAGAGAGAGAGAGAGAAGAAGAAGACATCAGATCACTCTTGCATATGATTATATTTTTGTGCGCCGCATTTTCTGTTCATTTCTTTACTCTTTCTTTTTTGAGAAGTCTATCAGGTTTACCTGATCCCGATTGATTACCCCCAATCCTGCACACCCCCCCCGACACGATCGAATCTGGTATATCGCACGACTATCCTCCAAGACGCCTTTCTTTTTTTTTTTTAACCATTCAAATCCGAGCCAAGAAAGAACAGATCTAGTGCTTCCCAAGCTTGGTGGTCAGCTATCGACTCCTTGTTGTGACGAGGCATCCATAATGTCTTCCCAACGGCCAGAAAACAGTAGCCGAGCCAACGAGACGAGTCACTATAACGCCGCCAACCAGACTGGAGAGCAAGTCCCAACCCCGATGGATGGTATCAGTCTGATGAACTATCCCTTTACATTTGAGCAAAATGTCGATGATGCCGTTACCGCCTCACTTCGCATAGAAGCCGATGTATGACCACCGTGTCAACGAAACTAGAGTACGAACAAACTTGACTGACCATGCAAACAGCCTCATCCCTCGCAATCTAATAGTCCGTAAGTGATGCTTAAATTTGTGAATGCTTTCACACACATCCATCCACTCACACTGCAATAACAGGGATACACACTCAATAACAAGCAGCATATCAAGATATCGGGTAGAAAATGGAAGGACTTTTCACGCCTACAAGGACGGATGTATGTTTTATTCAACAATGCCACTATTATAACTGCCGTTGCACCATTCTTCGATCGCGGCTGTCTGCTCGAATGCTTACACTAAGAATGAACAGCATATGTTTTTCCCAACGACCAAGAGGAGCTTGATCGTCAAGAGTTCCAATACGTTGTCATCAAACACCTTATGAACGGAAAACTGTTTTTTGCGCCTTGGACAGACGAAAACCCTCCTCGAAATGTCTTGGATATTGCCACTGGTGCCGGACATTGGGCAATTGAGATGGGAGACAAGTTTCCATCAGCCAAAATCACAGGAACGGACCTGTCGCCGGTTCAGCCGCGAGACGTTCCAGCGAATGTACGATTTTTTGTAGAAGATAGGTACGTGAAATCGGCCGCTATTCTTTTACAGCTGTTCTTCCTTTCCTTTTTCCCTACTCCCTCCATCGCTGGCGGCGGCCATGGCTTTGGATTTTGATTTTCGACGTTTTCTCCATCCATCAATGTTCTTGATATAAACAACCCCCCTTTCCACACCTGTTGACTTCCATGTAGCCGGGACCCGTGGAACTGGTACGGCGAAAATGATCAACTCGATTACATCCACACCCGTTTTACGCTGGGCTGTTGGGAGAACCTCAAGGACGACATCCTCCAAAAGTCATTCGATCAGCTCGCGCCCGGCGGATACTTCGAAGCGCAAGAACTTCTCAGCAGTATACTCTGTGATGACGGCACCATGCAACCAGATTACGAGTTAAAAGTGCACATTGACGATCTCGAGGACGCCACAGCTACTATAGGCCGGCCGCTTCGTACAGCCAACCAATGGAAACAGGCCATGAGAGACGTGGGTTTCGTTGATGTGCAAGAGGTCGCATACAAGATGCCCATCAACGGCTGGGCCAAGAACCTCAAATATAAGCAGCTGGGAAAGATGTGGGAGCATAACTGGCTGGACTGTATACATGCTCTTTCCGTCGGACCGTTGCACCGAGTCAGAGGCTTGAACGACAAACAGATTCAGGTATGTTACGAGACCTTTCATCCACGTATCTTGCCATTAACCAGAGCACAGATGATGCTTGTGCCTGTAAGGCAGGCCATTTCCGACCACACCGTCCATGCATATAACAAGTTTTTCGTCGTCTGGGGCAGGAAACCGTTTCCGAATGAGCAAGTCCAGCCTCCCAACTCAGAGACTTCAGCCTCTGCGGGCTCGGGCGACACGGAAATGGGTGGTCTTGCATAGAAGCGAATCGATTCTCGACTTGGCCACTTGGGCTGACGTCCACATACCGATATAAGAGCACGACATGCACTGCTAGCTTTTGCGTCAGTGACATTACCTCGGGCGCGAGTTGGAAGTCAAGAGACGCATGAAAACTCCGATCTGCCATTTCCAGAGTATCTCCTGACACCCCTGTCAGACAGAATCAAACTCTCATGTACAAATTATCAGGCGTCTACGGATTTCTTCCTCTTCACCCAAGCGGTGACTTGGCCAAGACGATCACAGCGGAGGAGGATATTGTAATTGGTGTAACCATCCAGGGCGTTATATTTCATGACGATTGCACGACAAATACCCATAACAGAATCATGACAATTAGACAGACTTTGCTGTTGGGCGTCCGTTCTCTGAGCAAATTTCGCTCGTTCAGAAACAAGAGGGCCGATTGCCTTTCTAGGTTCATTGTTGTAATCAGCGAGAGAGGAAAGGAATAGTTGAGTCGAGTATAGTAACAAGATAGCAAACGCAAAAGGAAGAAAAACCAATAATGAATAAAGGATGAACCGTCCGTCCTACAAAAATTCAAGTGCGTATTTGAAGATTCACTCAAGAATCTTCAGTTGTTGTCACTGATCTCGCCCGTCCCAGTATCTCCCTTGCCGCATGTGCTGTGAGCTGTACGCGATCGCGAAACTCCGGATCCTGCTCGCCATCCGTGGCGGTATTCTCGGTGCGGATGATATCCAACGTTGCCTGTAGCTCCTCGAACTGATCTGTAAGCAGGACCCGAACATCCGCCTCACATTTCTGTACCAATTCCCTAAAGCAGTCCTTGGCTCGTCTGAGTATACCCTCGAAGATCATGTTTCGCGATATGTGGTTCCTCATGATGCCTTTACGCCGTCGATCGCTACCCGGACCTAGAACAAGATTTGTGAGCAAACTGCCAGCCGAATCGGGAGGGAAGCATTGGTGATTACCGTATTCACTGATACAACCTCGGTAAGCTGGCTCCATGGTCTGGCCCAGGAATGAAGTGCGGATACCAGAAAAAACGTCGGTCCTCAAAATTCTGCACATGGTGGTCAGAATGACAAACGTTTTTTTTTTTTTCAGCCTTTCCAATTGGCCAACTTACGTCAATTCTGAGCTCAATACATCTGCAATTGAGCGCAGCCCGTCATTGATTACATTATGACGAGAAACGAAGGCATCAGTCAAGACATCAGCCACATCCTGGGACCCTTGAATTGCCGAATCTAGCGTATACTTCAGCCTCGTTGTATCTCCAATGCCGATAAGCATGTTTTACTCACCTATATCTTCAGTTACTCTGTCTGTCATTTGACTGACCCGATTTGTCATGTTTTTCTGTTTGCCCTTGATATTGTTCACTAGCCTTGACCATGGCTGGCCCAAATCGCTCACCATGGCCTCTGATAGCTCCTCGTTCCAATTCCGGGCTCCGACCGCTGGTGTACAATGGGCACCGTGGTTTCTGCAAAAGGCAGCGTAGCTTGCTGTTTCACACGTGTCAGACTGGTTCCATGTCAAGGGCTCGTGATCCCACATACAGTGATGCCACTAATTCAAATCAGCATGCTGTTTGGAGCGACGGGATGTATTCTCGAGAAGTTGACTTACTCCTGCCCAATCTTCAGAAGCGTTGAGCGCGGCTCGATTCCACTCATCAAAGGGTGCTGTAAGATTAGAAGGGAGGCGGAAATAGACATGGATTTAAACGTACAATCGTCTCCAAACACAAGTTCTTCAAAGGTTGACATGAAAATCCTGGAAAAGTTCCTCAATGGAGATGACCGGCCTACAAGTTCCTGTTTAGAATTAGTCCTCCACAATTTGCTATCGTTTTGCGAAAGAGAAAAAAACTAACAGTTTTGATTCGTCTCTCGATTGCGTCCACGGTGTCGCGAATCTCTTTCTTCTTCTCTGCATCCAGACTCGGAGCACCCAGCTGTATCCAGAGCTCAACGTCGGCCAAAAGTGCGGCAACATCATGCTGCATAAACCTGACGGCGCTCTGGTACTGACCCTCGGAGACAATGGAGACGCAGTGCCGGCGCAGCGTAATGATGCCGCTGAGGCCCAGGAGCGGCAGGGCCTCATCGCGGGGCAGGTCATGTTTCGACCAGTAGTCGTCTTTGCTCGTGCAAAATACCTTGAGCTCGGTGTCGCCAGATAGCTCATTCTGGTAGCGGTCGACAAGGCTCTTTGTTACTTTTTCGTTTCGACTCGTCACCAAGTAGTGTTTCAGACTAGATCATTTGGTAAGTATCTCGAATTGGTACGGGTGTTTGTCTCGCTTGGGCATACTTGAATTGCTGCGCCTCTAGCTCTTTACTGTGATACAAATACGTTAGTACTTGTTTGATAGTGATACCCGTCAAGCTCTCCAGCAGGGTTTGTTCCACTCACGAGAGCTGTTTCTGTTTTTTGTTGAGTTGATGGCAGAGTGCTAATTCTTCGTCGTTTAGTTCTTCATCATCATCATCGGCAAGGCCTTCGAGTTCTTCTTTGACTTCAGCCAATTTGTCCTCGGTGGTATCAACTTGATCCCAAAGTTTTTGAATATGTTTGGCCTTGCTGCCTTTCCAATCTCTAATGGCCTCTGATGGCTTGATATCCTGTTCTTTGTTAGCAATGTCAACGGTTTTATCAAAACACTGAGCCGCTTACATCGGATTTGGTGCATATAATACTAATATTTGATAGCCCAGCTCTTTTTGCCAAGTCGACGACATCTTTGACACCCTCATTTGTGACGGCGCGAAAGATTTCTGTGACGGCGAAAATCTCGTCACATTCGAGTATATAACGCTCAGTAATATTGCGTCTGGCACTGTTTAGATCTCGTAGTCCTTTTCATAGCCTCTGGTTAGAAATAGTCTCTTTCGTGGATATGTCAAATCGAAAGGAAAGACATACCAGGGAGGTCAGCAAAGATAAGACCCTTGCTCAACACATGTGCATTGCTATACACCCTAGAGACTGTCAGTTATATATGGCCTAGACTTGGACAAGTGACAGTGAGCATACCTTAATTTCTTCACATAAGGCCATATTGCACGTTCATGAGGCAAGCTTGAATCCGACGTCAACCGAGCAAGATATGCGGAGCATTCCTCCAACGTATCAAACACAACCCGGTCACTGAGATCGTCTGTGCCGCTGTCTCTAGACCAAATCCGCAGGGTCTCGAGTATGGCCTCCTCGGCGCCAGCGGTCAGCACACGGCTCGAGTTGCCCAGCCGATCTGTGAACATGGCTTGCAAAGTACTCCAGGCGACCTTGGATCTCTCGGAGCAATCCTCCCGCTCTTCGCCAACCATGTCGTCTCCATGGAGCTCAAACTGCCGAAATGAGTGGAGAAATTCCTTAAGCATGTCATCAAGCGCATCCTGGCCGAACAATTCCATCTCAATCGCAAAGGCATTGCTGTCGTGGTAGTGGTACTCGGTGGCGATGCAAGTGCAGGCGGATCCGCTATTGCTCTGCTCAGATGTTAGAACTTTCTGTCACAATGGAATACTAGGAGACAAGATCCATGATCGATTAACTCACAGTCCTTGCAAGCGATGGAAAATCTAACAGGCAATTGAGAAGGCTGCTCTTGCCTGAATATTGCCAACGTCAGTTTCATGTGCGCATACGGAAAGCATTATGACATCTGCAGGACTCACCGACGCCAGAATCGCCGACGAAGCCCACAACACGTTTCGTGGGACTTTCATACTCGGCTAGGGAAGCAGCATTGCGGTATATGCGCTGTACCGTAGAGTCAGGCTCCAGGTGTAAAGAGCCACTACCCAGAACGTCTTGCAACTTGGCCACAATGTCTTTGGTGTCGGAAACAGCCTGTTGGAAGTCGGCATCGTGGAAGCGGTCTCGGGGAGGTTCCTCATCGCTCACACGATGAGGAGGCTGTCTGACACGCGGAGTAGACCGTCGTCTCCCAGCCGAGGCCGGCAACAGCGGGGGCGACAAATGTTCCGAGGTTCCGGGTGTTGTAGGCTGGCTCGTCGATCTGCTTCGACTGGCATCCGGTGTCGATATGCCGTTGATGGCAGACTCCAGCTCGGACAGGCTCAGGCCGTCACCGGCACTGAAGATATGGACGTGGTTGAGCCCGTCGACGAGTCCCAGCTCGACGCTCTCTCGTACCTCGTGCCTACCGGCGGACACCGTTGCTGCTCCGGGAAGGTCGTCTACAAGGATCCGGGGCGTGCTGGCTGCGGAATTTCCAAGCCCGCCTTGCCAGAAGTTGAAACCCATTCCCGTGCATGGGGTGAGTAACGGTGTAGAACTCGAAGTCTCGGAAGTCGATGTTCTCGCGCCGGTTCGTAGGCTCGTTCCCACAGCTTCCACGGGGCTTCGCCCGCGAGATGACATAGTAAATTGTGTGACCTGGGTCATAACTTCACAAGAGAATTGAGAAGAGAAAGATGAGTAGCTGAGTTGTGCCAACTATGAGTTGCCTTTATTACTCTATCTCATTTATGGATGCAGGCTCTCGGGTTTAAGTACAAGAGAATTTCCTGTGGTTCGCTTCCAACTATAAAATCCAGCTTTCGCACAGCCCACTTTCAACCCTGGAAACAACTGGTGGCCTCCTTTTGGGCTGTTCCATGTTGTGAGGCAGAACCGGCGGTTATGCGCTGGTTAGGTCTCCCAATGCGGTCACGGTCAACCAATGAAATCGGCTCGGCCCGAACCACGGCTGTAACGCACCACTGAAATGTAGAAATACGATTGAAGATACGGGGCACTCTTATCGGTGGCGCAGGCGTGTAGGATGTCAGCAGTATACTGCACGTTGGTTGTTGGTTTCATGTCTCGACAGCGCCCCCAAATTTATCGTGAGAGATACTGGGATAAGCACTTTCTGGTGATACCTGAACGTCCAAATCCAGATTTGAGGCAAGATTTCAAACTACTTCATTCTGCCTCCTGACTCCAGGCCAATCTTTGACACGTTTCGCACTCTATAGTCATTGTCCGTGCAATCCATGCCATCACATATTAAGACGACAGACCAACACCAAACACCAAGACCCTGAGATAATGAGCTGCTGCCATTTAGCAACATGATCAGACCAGACACAAAGTGAATACAAACATCGGAATGCATAAGATTCATCAGTCATCAGGTTTGATATTGGCATCAAGCCGTCGTGTTGGTTGAGTCTACCAATAAGCAAACCAAGTCCTAGAATGCCTGCTACCGAGGGGGAGAAACAAGTCTCAGTAAAGCGAATGCCGAGTCTGTCTGAGAAAGGGGGCACTCTTTAGCTTCAATGAATTGCTCGGCATTTTGGCATGTAGGCAATCAACGAGTTTTCAATTTCACCACAGATAAGGGCAGTTATAGTTGCCCTCCGATTTGACTCATTCATCATGTATTCTGCATAAGACAAAATATAAAGACCGCACACGACAAAATCTCGGCTTATGTGATCTGGCACATCCTGTGGAGTGACTACCGCCAACAACTTCATAATCTTGTTGTTTAGGAACTTTGTTCTTGAACCAGTATGCCTATGTATCGAATGACCCGAGACTTGCACGTAGTGGTGTGTTCAACCGTATCACGACATTCACCCACAAGGCCTGCCCAGCACTATAGAAGTCAACCGCCAAGCTCCTACGACGACCTTATCATTCTACTATGCCCGGTTCCCCGCATCAACAGAATAGAGACTATATCATCGCGGCGGGTCCCGTCGTAGTCCTGATATAACTGTTGGAGACATGACATATTGCTGAGTCATTGCCCTACGGTAGTCTCAATCTACGAACCAGGGAAGAGAGAGATAGAAAGCAAGCCGCCATCCACCTGGAGCAAGTGGCGCCATCGTCAAGCCGGGAGAGCCCGCCATGCCGTTTCCGTACATGAAATGGGCCGTGCGAATCTCTCTAGTTTAGAACTCCTTCTTTGCCCGTGTCGTGCGATTTTATAGATATGGCTTCGAGAATAGAATAGTTGCCGGCCAGTGACGTTGGCGAGAACCCTCGACTGGTCAAGCAGAACACGATTAATCCGAGGATTGAACTGTATTGCTGACTTGAGGGTTTCCGGCTATAATTTAATTTATTTTTTGACACCTTGTATATGTTTCAGGCTTTGCAAGCGGACCACCGTCAACGGACGTATCTATCATCATTGATGAACGGATGGGACGAAGGATGTCAAGCTGACGAAGCTAAGTGGCGCTTACTTTCTCACCTAGTCAGTCAGGTTGGCCGCCGAAAGATGGGATGCAAGGCTTCGGTTTAATAAGCTACTGGCCTAACCCTCCTTCGGTGGTCAAGGACAAATCAAAATCTTCTTTGTGCTTTGAGACACTTCCATTAGACGGATACGTTCTCGAAGAAGACTACCGAGACTACACAGACAAAGAGTTGAAAGTCTCAGACGAAATCCGGGTCTAAAGTTTTCCATCAAGAAGAGGGCTGAACCTTGTGATTGCGGTGGATTGCAATCCCTGTAGCCACGAGAGCACTCAGATGCAAGGAGCTTGGGAGGATGCTTGGACCTTGCAGCTTAGGGGGGTTTTCTTGTAATTACTCTTTGGCTGTGCATCAGCGTCCAGGCAAGCCAAGCAGGTCATTTTTGTATTTTATTTTATTTTGTCCATTCTTTTTTTTTTTTGCTTTGCTGGTGCACGTTGAAGGATAACCGTCACGGGCCGTGCGAGACAAACGACGTCGTGGCTGCGCCTCTCCAAACCGTTCTTCTGGTGGTTCCTTTTTTCTCTTCGGCCGGATCAAAAGTGCGGACATGAATGAAGCGCGCATTCAACTCTTTCATCTATTCTCTTGCGACGAATAGAAAATAAACATTCCCGATTTACTTAAACAAAAAAAGTCACCATATATGAGTCGTGTGTTCTTGCTCCCGCGACCACTGACTCGCTAAAAATCCTGGAGCGGCTCCCGCGTTGTTCCTTTGAATCATCATCATCACAGATCGATGTCGCGGCCCAGCATCAGGGTATCCCGGTTGAACAGCCCGGCTGGGTGGTGCGCAGATGGGCCCTAGCGGTGGTCTAAAGTGGGAATCTCCAGGGGCAGTGGGGAGCTAGTGCTAAATGCAGTCTCGTTTGGCTCCCCCTTTCCCGACCTCGAACCTGGGGGGGCGTCCAAAGTCCAGTTCAAAGTTCAAGCACCTGTGCGGCGGCGACGGCGCGTGGGCGGCCTTTTTTGGGCTTTTGAATTCACGAGTTACCTCTTTCAGGTCTGCCCGAGCTGCCTGTCTGCTGTCTAATGTACCCAGGTTCTGATCTGACCTGATCTATCTTCTCGCGTGGGTTGGCTGGTTTTTTTTTTTCTTTTTTTCTGTCCCTACTTTGCTTGGCCGTCTGTGGAAAGGAAGATAGTCTAGATTCCAGGCCAGCCTTTTCTTTTCCCATTTTGTTTTCCTCCCCCCCCCCGGCTCCCGATACTGGATAGGTGCATCATCATCATCACATCCCACCCACCGGCCATGGGATTCACGCCTTGAGCTCGATATCGACCTGTACCGTTCTTTTTACTCTTCTCACTCTCACTTCCTCCCCGCCCTTCTCTCTCACCATTCCTCCCCCCTTGTCGGAGTTGACGATCCCTCTTTTGCTCTCTTCTATTTCTTATTCCTTGCCTTCGCATGAATGTCTGGCCGTTGGAACTCGGTCCCTCTCCAACTCTCCTTACGCCTGTTCCTCGAGGGGAAGGCCACGCGTTAAGCATCCTCCAACCGACGCGATCTCGGTAGACAGACATAATTGGAGCAACGCCATTTATTACGAGAGCAGAGCAGAGCAGAGCCAACTAGTGCTTTTGCGCTTTCTGTCAAACCCTGAAAACGAGGCCAACTCTCTGATTTGTCCATTGGCTCCCGAAGACGCCGACGTGATTACTTAAATTCGATTCTAAACCTCTTCTCGGACCGACACGCGCTTTTCGACCCTCGACGACCAGACTATATTGCGATTGGTCGTAGGAAACACGGCCACCAGCATCGTGTGTACATTAGCTGCAAAAGTCCGGCCCGTATATTCGCATATCAAAGCTGCGCCATTGTATTACCAGCATGGCTTCGATGATGAGCAAGCGCCAGCAAGCGCGCAACGAAAAGGCGCTGCAAGATCTGGTACACAATGTACCGGGTAACAATTCTTGTGCAGACTGTTACGCAAGAAATCCAGGTTCGTTGGCTCCAAACAGCAAAACTGGCAGCAGGAGTTTTAGCTAATTCGTTTTCCTCCAGCTTGGGCATCATGGAGCGTACGATACCTCGATACATTGGATCAAAGTTTTGGGCAACGGCTGACGTGTTAATTTCTAGTTGGGCGTTTTCCTCTGCATGCGTTGTGCTGCCATACATCGGAAGCTGGGCACACATATATCCAAGGTCAAGTCCCTCAGCATGGACGGCTGGACGAATGAGCAGGTCGAGGTACGCCACCTAGCCTTTTCCCTACCCTGTGCGAGCACTCCTGACTTTCTGAGCAGAGCATGAAAAAAGTTGGCAATAATGCTTCAAACAAGATATATAATCCCGACAATAAACAGCCCCCTGTTCCCGTGGATGCCGACGAGGCTGATTCGGCCATGGAGCGGTTCATCAGAGCAAAGTACGTGACGAAGACAGCTAGTGCGAATGGACATGGACGAACACGACAAAGCGTAGAGTCTGATGAAGGGATTCCTCCGCCTCCGCCGCCCAAGACGGGCGGCTTCTTCAAGAAGACGAGCTCGACATTCCCCTTGTCGTTCCGCTCGAAGAAGAGCTCCCATCACGTTGAAGAGCACCCCAAGGAGCTTCGAAACAAGCCCTCAAAGGTCTTTGGCGCGACCGTGGATGATGGCGCTGATGACATGGCTCGAAAATTGACACAACTTCGGGATATGGGCTTTACAGACGACAAGCGCAACGCCATGGTTCTGAAGGGTGTTAATGGCAACCTCGAAAAGACCATTGAAACCCTTGTGCGTTTGGGTGAAGGAAACGGCGCGCCGCTCGGTGCCATGTCAGGTCGAAAGGATTCCTTCCAGTCGCCAGATGCTCTGCCTATACATAGCCCAGGACCGGCAACGCCAACTACGGAAGGATATTCCAGGACGAGTCCTTCAACTACAAACAGCCCGGCCGTCTCGAACAATCCATGGGACATCTCTCCAGCGCCGCCGCAGTCTTCGCATTCTACTGGAACCATGCCGCATAGTAATCCATTTTACTCCACGAACCCGTTTGGGCCACCTTCTACCCGCCAAAGCGACTTCAGCAATATGAACCAATCCATGCAGAACCTGTCCTTGGCCCCTTCTCAGCCACAGCAGTTATTCCCTCACCATACGGGAGGCTTGCCGGCTCCTCCGCCTGTACAACAGTCCATGTACCAGCAGTCCATGACTCCACCGATACCCCAAACGCAGAACTTTGCGTCTTTCCTTTCTAATGGTAATCAAACATATCAACAGCAGCAGCAGCCTCAACAGAGCTATAATCCGTTCCTTCAACCCTCCCAGCAACAGACGTTGGCAGTCAACACTTCGGTCGCACAGAGCCCAGGCATCGCTGCCAACAATCCGTTTGCAAAGTCGCCTACAAGAATGGCGTCACCACTGGGTCAAATTCCAGAGCAGTCGCAGCAGAACTTTTATGGGGCTCAAACATCACCATCATATGGGAATAATCCATTCCTGACCGCCAGTCAACCCCCTCAACAGCTTCAGTATCAGCAGGTTCAGCAGCAACGCAGCCAGTCCTTTGACCAAGCCATGTTGCAAGCGCAGTCGCCTCAGCTACCCCAGCAATATCAGCAGCAGCAGTATCAGCAGCAGTATCAGCAGCAATACCAACAACAGTACCAGCAACCGCAACCGCAACCGCAACCGCAGCAGTTGCCACAACAGCAAGGCATCCAAGCGCAGCCGAGTTACCAGCCTCCAAGGGACAAGGCATCAATCATGGCCCTGTTCAACTATCCAGCAACGGCCCCATCGCCTTTGCAAGCACAGGGTCAAAACCAGGCAACTGGCATGAGCACTCAGCTGGCCGCCCCACAACAAAATCAACCTGTACAGCCAGCGACCCCCCAGCAGAATGTTGCAATGCCGGGAAATAAGAACCCGTTCCTCAATGGAACTTCATCGCCTCCGCAGACGGCATTTGCGCCTGCTCAAAATTCTGTTTCATTTGGGAGCGCAAGAAGTCGCGAGAGCATGAACCTCGGCATGGAGATGGCATGGAACAATGGTCGCCACAGCCCAGACGCTTTCGCAAGCCTGAGCGCTCGGGGCACGTGATGAAATGATTTAATGTGTCGAGGTCCGTAGATATCAAGTGATGTACCATAATAATGATGTTGCCCACTAGAAAGGCAATTAATGCTCGGGATATAAACTTTCATATTTACTTGTTCAATCTGCCCAAATCGCCCGAGTGTACATCTCGTATCGTACTTGACCCGTGAAAGAATCGTCTCGCATCCAGAAATAATGAAAATGTTTATCTCGACTATGACTTGGCATAATCATACTCGTACCATTCTTGTCCTGCCCAGATTGCCTTGCCTCCTCGATAACTCCGCTCCAGAGCGGCTTTGGCCCTTACTCGCATCTTATTCTCGTATTTTTGCAGGCACTGTTTACTTTTCTCTGGATCTATTACTTTCGTCCCAAAGCCGGCGTCGACGAGAGCATCGCACAGATCTGCCACATCTTGAATCGTTGTCAACCCGCCTGACCCACCTGTTGGGCTCATTGCATGGATTGCATCGCCAACGAATGTGAGCCTTGAATCGGTCTCCCACACATGGATGTCTGGCGTGCTCGATACAACGTTGACTGCATAGAGCGAATCTGCATCCTGCATTTCAAACAGACTGCGGAGATTGGACTGCCAGTTTTCTGTGATTTCCAACGCATATCCAGCTCGTACCTCGGGCGTGGAATTCACATCCCTGGTCGTCGGCGCCTCCGAGGTGAGCGCCCAGAACATGTAGTCGGACGTCTTGGACAGCCTCCCGCCCGACAGCGCGGCAACGTCGCCAGGCCAGCGGATGGGCGCGAATAAGCAGCTCCGGGCCGCGTTGGTGGGGTCGACCATGTACGCAAAGTGGTTGGCGAGAATATCGGGACGGGCAAACCGCCGCTCGAACTCGGCCGTCAGCGGCGTCCGTCCCCACATGACGGTCCGTCGCACATCGAGGTGCGGCCGGAGGTCCGGGAACCGCGCCCGGCGTACCCGTGAATGTACGCCGTCGGCAGCGACCAAAAGGCTTCCCCTTGCCAAAGTGCCATCGGCAAACGAGGCTCGTATACCCTCTGACCCTCCATCCTCGTACTCGAAGCTCACAAAGGCCTTGCCGAACTCGATGCGGTCCTCGATGCCTAGACGCAGCAGCTCACGAAACCACGGCCGGTCAATCGGGTAGCAGCGGCGCTCACGGTCCGTGGCTCCCTCGGCAGGCGATGCCAGCGTGGTAGCGCCCGTGTGGGCGTCCATTCGGAGCAGATCCGGGGGGCTATCGCGGGCATGTGTCCGCTCCAGCAGGTCCCAGAGCTCCGGCGACAGCGTCCGCTCCAACGCCTCGATGCCTGGGTTCACGAGCCGGAACCGATACCCTTGGCTCTTGGCCGCGAGGGACTCGTTGCGCTCAAAGACCCGAAAGGGAATGCCGCGGTGGTGTAAGCCTTGCGCCAAGCAGAGACCCCCGACGCCGGCACCAATGATGAGGACTTCATCAGTCGAGGCCATGATATCTGTTTTGTTTATATATGGAGTTTCTCGTGGTGACAAGATGAGAGATAGGGGGTCAATTGAGGAAAGTCAGATTATATGTTTCCCATTTTGATCTTCACTTGAAGGCTAGACACTACGTCATGACATTCAATCATATTATTCTGTATCACTATTCGAGCAATGCGGTGTAATGCATGGGAAATGGGAGGCTGTCAGCATTGGTAGTAGATGCCAAATTTATAGTGCTTACCAGTGCGTTCACAGAAGTTATCGTGCCAAGGTTTATACCAGAAAACCTTACGTATAGGCGCAGTGCTGACATGCTTACCTCAATGATGCCTCCACCTAATCATTATCGTGTTGGCAAGTTTCATGCTCGAGGCATTTCATCTTTCAAGATCTGCAAGATTCTAGCAGCAGATTTCTTGAAACATCAAATATTCCCTTTCGACAAGTATAATATCCAATAGCAATAGCTTTGACAGCATTTTCGACCCAACTATGAAAACGAAGACCAGTGATGAAGACCAGTCAAGTGAAAAGAAGCGAAACTAGAAAGAGTTGCAATCAACCTCGGACGCATTGCCTATCTCGTAGCCCAATACGTTGATTACCTGTAACGGATTCAGATACGTATCATGACCACTACTTCACCAACAGGGTGTCTCTCGTGATAGCATTACCTGAAGTAGCCGGCACGTTCTCATCATGGTGCATATGGTCTCTCAGCCGAACTAACATTACTAGAAGTGGAGATGGAGCACTTGTGGACCTGAAACGGTGGGCGGGCGAAAGAGAATTGGGCTCCATGCTCTGAAGCCTTGGTCAACGTCGGCACCGTGGTGGTATACAATCTGATGTGGATTTCATATCGAGGCGACCCTCTCCAGTATGATTCAACATAGGTGGTGCTTACGAAACCAAGAGGGGGGCGCTCGTAACTTTCTTGGATACGCATAATAGGTGAGAATGTTTGTAATGTCCTGCCACATCAGAAATCATGCTGTTATCAAAATCTTCAATTGAGAAACATTCACCAAATGGATTGCAAAAGTGGCGTGCCATCGTTTTTTGTATTGTAGCCTGTATCAATAACATTACTCAACAAGATTTGTTTTTGACTTCCCCGAAGTCATAGCTAACCTGCGCCGTCTTCCAATAACCGGAAAAGGATAATGGGTATAAAGTTTGGAAACGAGACCTTCCAAGGCATCACATAACGCCTTTGCCATATGCTGATACATTTTTTTTTCTTGCTTTTTTAGGATTTTGTACTTTTCTTGTCCTTTGCTTTCTTTGCTATCGTCGTTCATGCGTAAGCTCGTCCGACATCCACAGCTCCCACACTCAGGGCGCTGAAGCCGCAGCAGCTGTCTTCCATGCCGAGACCATCGGACACGACCCCCCAGGTCAGCTCTTGGGTCCAGGGCTCGTTCTCGCCGGGCGCGGGATGGCACTTTGCGCTCAGCGCCGCGCTGCAGCTGCCTCCCCGCAGCGCCAGCGGGTTGCCCCTTTCCCGCCCATTGACCAGGGCCGAACCGGGTGCGCGCCGCAGGCCCAAGCCCACGATAATCATCATGAGGGCACCCAGCAGAGCCAGCAGCACTACGAGTGCCTGCACTGAAAAGGCGACGGCTAGGACTGGAACTTGGTTGGCTGTTGCGGTAAGACTAGTTTCCGTAATCACGTCTGGGAACACGGCCTGCGAAAGGACAAAGCCCATAGCCGCGAAGAAGGCGAGGAGCCCCCAGGAAATTGGTCGCGGAAGAGTCATGTAGAGAGAGGCCACCTGAGCGCCACGGGCGTCGCAGGACACTCGGAGCGGTCGTGGTCCAAGGGCAAAGAGGGATAGCTCGTGCGAAAGATAATAAGTAGTTAGGTGAGAGTTGGTGACCATGTAAAGGATGGCTAGAAGCACTTGCGGCAGACATGCCAGCACGGCCATTTGCACTTTTGTGATGGAGGTTGGTAAAGGAAATGTTGTGTATGATGTAGATGTGCCGAAAGGTGTCGAGATGCCGTCGGGATCTGTAGGCACGAAAAGGCCAATAGCTGCCACGGTCGGGGCGGCCAGCAATAACCAGGAAAAGACCATCAACAGCCAGCGCAACGCGGATGGTGTGAATAACCAGAGGTGCGTACTTGGGCTGAAATACTTGGCCTCGCTATAACCCCAAGAACCCGCCTTGACGTCCTTCTTGGACAGAAGACAGGCGCTCTTGGTGGTGGCATCTGGGTGACATAGAAAGGAGCTGATAAAGTCTCCCAAGGTCGCAAGAGGCTTGAACCTGGATCGGCTCATCACTGCCACGATGCTGCCAAAGGTGACCAGATTGAGCAGGGCCACAATGCCTAGAAGGGCACTGCTTGTGTTAAGATCGCATGTCTCGGCAGCAGTCTGGGAAGTGAAAATTATTGCATTATAGCTGTCATTGATAAGCACATGGTCTTCAAGTAGTGCCGTGTTGTTTATACTTACATTACTTGGGTCGCCACAACCGTGAGGACAACGATTGCAGCGATAGTTGCCCGAAGGCCGGAGATGTGAGGGAGGTTTCGGATGGATGGGATTCCAATGTCGAGCCATTTCTTCTTGTCGTGTGCCTCGGTGAGCTCGTCCCTGGTTGGGCTCGAAAGCAACTGAAAGACATAGTTGCCGCCAGCCAGGAGTATAATGCACAAAATGTTGATCAGTGCGTGCAACAAGGCATTGTAGCTAGAAACCGTCGAGCAGAATCCTGACAGCAAGATATAGTCTCCGCCAAAGACTTTGATCTTTGACGAAACGAGAGCAAAGCACACGACGGCCACGAGCAGAAAAATCAGGGCCATGAGTGCATTAAAGGCCACGCCTCCTCTCCAACCGACCATGAATCTTCCCAAGCCTCGTTGCCCTTGTCCATACCCCCCGTAGTTGCCCGCAAGGTTGATCTGTGAGCCAAAGGGATCCTCGAAAAATGCTTGCTGTGACCTGAGACGTTCCCGCTGTGGCGTGAGTATAATGTCCTTCTCGCCCCATCTCGCCTGCTCCCTTTTCCTGGCCAGGGTCTCTGGAGTTTCTCCCCTCATGTAATGCACAACATAGTCTGGCACGAGCGATCTGCTCAAAACGCTGGCAGAATCACCAGCATCCTTGAACCACGACTTTGTCTGGGCCGTCGCTCTTCGAAAATGGCCGAAATGACTTGCGGTATAGGATGTTGACGGCACTTCGGATGTGGTGTGATGGTGGAATGGCCAGTTAATCCTGGATCTCGAGTCTCTCGCAGTGTGACGTCCATGAGATGAAAGTCCCTCGGTTCTTTCGCGCACCCTAGGACGTGTTAGAATATTGTGCGTTGATGGGTGAATATCTGAAAAAGAAAAATGAAAAGCGCATGCATACTTTTCCAATGGCTCAATATTCCTCACGGCGCCCTCCTCGTCCCAAGTATATCTCACGGGGGCACCATTCCCATGCCTGGCGGGAATGACACCGTCCATGTTTACAATATGTTGTTAAAAGCTCTCATTTAATGGTAGATACATTGAAAGAGAGACTGGATGAAACGAATGTATAGAATTTTTCTTTCTTTTCAAAACACACAACAGCACAGCACGCCGCGAAGAAGGAAACGAAAAAGAGCCGCAACTCGGCGTACCCAAGAAGCAGAACGAAATGGAAGATTGAGAAATCAAACTCGAGCGAAAGGAACATGGGAGGTGTCAGGGTTATGGGCGAGATCTTGAATGGTACTACTACGACTACTACATAGTACTGTCAATGGGCAGACAGGCAGGCAGGACGAGTCCTGAAACTGGTGCGCATCCCGCATTCTCCGCCATATGCCCGGTCGGTCGGTCGTGATCTATCTTGGTCCTAGCCGGGAGTGGGAGTGGCACATTTGTCCATGGCATCCATCCCAGGCAGAGAGACACAGGCAGAGAGACACACACAAAAAGGACAGCCAGTTGAAAAGGACGAGCCGCTGTCAGGCCTGAGGATGCTGGGATGCATTGAGACGATGGGTGATCCGTAGAGTGCCCCTAAATTTAAAGTGTGCAACTGCCAATCACAGCGCCGCCGCAAGTGCCTGGGCCGATCACTCATTGAAACACTGGCTTCCAATGAGAACGGCGTCGTGCCTCCATATCGAGTAGGTGGCTTATTTTCCATATTAACGCGCATGCATCCTCTTCAAATCGACAATGCAGCCAAGTCAGTTCAATCTAACACACAAAAGCAAGTATTCAATCAGAATAATTGCTTATGGCCTGATGAGGGATTGGGGGAGGCGATGGCTCGCTGGCCGTTTGGTACGTTGGTTGGTGTTATCTATCTACATAGGCTTATTATTAGCTGGTCAATTCATCAGTCCTTGTGTATGTCAACTTTTCTGGGATTGTCAACGGGCATCCCATGCTGCCATGATTGCAAATCAATTATCAGAATGAACAGTCATCTTTTGTTCCCACCTCTTTTTTAGTCCGGGGTTCTAATGACATTGGCAATGGAGTCCTGCCATCTCACCTCGTCCTTGCTGCCACCGAATCGACTCTCAACGACTGGTGATTGTGCGCTTGCTTGCCAATTGCACCTCCGTCCCAAGGGGGTGCCGGATCGCTGGTTGCTCCAGAAGGATTACGAAAGCATCATACCCGCCAGGAGTTGCTGGTCTGACATCGACCAACGATCGGATCTTTGACCGTGTTCGCGTGGGTTGTCTGGGGCATAATGGCCACAAATTGGACGAGAAGGTGATCATTCATGCGCTCAAGGTTGACGAGAGTGAAGGTGATGGCCAAGGGTGAGTGGGTCCGGTGGGCGGAGGAAGGGTCATCTTTGGATCCCGGTGCTACTAGGGAAGGGGGAGGTAAAAAGGGGGGCGCTCGGGGGATTTTTCCCTCTCTGTTTTTTTTCTTTTTCCTTACTGAATTGCCGTCTGTTCGAGCCTCGACCCATTCTGCCAGACCTCATACGCTGAACAGCCCAGACGCTCTTACGGCATTTCCAGGAATCCCCGGGTTCATTTCTTGGTTCCTGGCAAAATAGAGGAGCAATCGACGACTAGGATCTGCCATCTGGACCTGGCTAGGAGCCTTGTAGGACGGACAATTTTCAAAAGCTTTGACCGATTGTTTCAAGGGCATGAATTCTCTATCCAAGTGGGACACACCAAAAGAATCCCAGCATCTCTTTCGGAGTCTTTCAAAGGCTTTCAGAGTCTTCTCAAGTGTTGCTTGACTCGTCTGCGCATCTGTCATAGGTACTTATTATTCACTCATTCGACGTGAATTGTCCCGCCCCGAGGATCTTCCTTCCACTGCAGAAAATTCGTCAAGAATGGAAAAGAAGAAGAAAATCTGGACGTCAGTCTCTCATGGGGATTTCCCTGGGTCTGATTCATTACACCGCCGTAGCAAAGATTTGACTGGTCTGGGTCGAGGTTTTACGTACTCTGTACCAACACCATGATCTACTGCTTCGGAGTAGTGCCGACAAAACAGTTACACCCCACGTAAAAAGATCATCTGTAGAAAAGCGATTGCTCACGGTGAAGCCCCAAGGAGCAATTGAGAGTCCATTTCTTGCCGTATGTACAGAAGAAGAAAATTTTCTCATGATCCTCCTGCCCGAGCTCTCATGGATAACCTAGATGGATGATATGGAATGCTTCATGTTCTCTGAACAATTCAATAACACGCCGCCATATGCGATAACAGTCCACAACGATTCTCTCTAGTAGTAGAATGGAAGATAGTCTTCTGTCCGTGTGCCAACCCGGCTGCTTGGCGTTTGTTTTGATCGGCTAGGACGAATGTACCAGCGATAGTGGTGACCAGTCGACCATCCACGCGCTCTACGATTTTTGGATGCTAGACGAGTAGCTTGCTTAGCCTCACGAATTGGGCAGGAAGGTTCTCGAAAGTCGGGAGAGATGGAATTTCTCAATTGGCATTGTTTACATCGTGATGAGCCGCCCGAAGACACGATATTCCATCATTGACTAGAGGATACTCAGAGCGGTATAGTCTAGTCTGGCGGTACTACTCTGTATGCTAGCACCTGTAATGCTCTTGGTTGGGTTCTATTACATACCACTTTCCAGTGACAACAGCAACAAGACTGAGCGGAGAGGCCGTCTGCCTCTACGTGGATTGCCCAATGCCCACAGCTATGCCATTGCATGATCAAGATATGACTGATATTGATAGCTGATCATATGCAATTTTCCTCCAGCTATTCCACATTGCTATGATATCACCAAGCCGTCAGGCATATACTCTCTGTACTGCTTCCTGCAGCTCGGAACTATTGGTGAATTGTTCCTTGGCCTTCTGTGCATATCTACGGGGTTCATGTAGTACAAGTCACTACCATCATCCCATGATCTGCGGCAAATACCATGCACATCGTTGGGTGCACCAACGAGATCGGAGGAATCAGTGTTGAATGTCCGTCGTACTGCGGCCTTCACAACATTCTGCAGAAGAGTCACATATTCAACCCCTCCCCCGGCACCGGGGGAATAGATAATCAACCAGTCACTATTGAATGAGGGGTTTGAGGAACCATGCTCCTCGCATTATGTGGTGCAACGTAACGACTTTTGTCCCACCGAAGCGAGGGAAGTTGGAAAAAGAAGACTTGCGGCTTGGCAAATAGAAGACGAGTCCGCGAGGGGGGAAGTTCATATTCGGGGAACAAAGTACATAGTAGAGCATCCACATAGTAGGACCGGATTACTGAGCGACCATGAAGATACTGTACACAGTAATAATAGTAGCAGTGGCTGTCCTGCACGACCCTTGCCTATCTTGATGAGCCAGCGAAAGCGGTGTAATATTGTGTGTACTGTGTATATCGTATACATAGTACTTTGTATGATAATATACTAGCACCAAGCATGTACGTACATGCCATACTACCCGACTATGTAATAGTCGCTGGCCAGGCTGGCAGAAAGGCCAAAATGACCCACCATTGGTCAAGGGTCGTGATGCTCAACTTCATATGATTTGTTCGCGCCAGCATCGGCCTTTTTTTTCTCTATGGATTTGAGCCTTTTTTTGGCCTATCCTGTCAGGCATGATTTCTTTGGCGGGAAATCCGATATGGGGCTTGAAGCAGAGCATTTCCGCACTGCGCAGTGCGGATTGTGGATAGTGAATGGAAAGGGCATAACGCCGCTCACTTCCGAGGTTCGTTCAGAAGCGATGCCCGCCGCTGTCTGGCGGCCACGACACTGACAACCGCCCAAGCCCACGCCACACGGTACATAGTTGTCAGCCAGCAGAGTGTATTAGTGGGACTCAATGGACGACGAGGACAGCGGCGACGGGGAGATAGATTAGATGTACCTCCGTACCTCCTACCTTACCTTTTGACTTACCCGTTCCTGTCGGCCAGCAGCATCGTTGATACCCAGCGGGTTGATCAGATGACTTCTGCTCAATTTCCGAGGTTCGATAAAACATGAGTTCATGTTGTGCCACGTCAGTTGAAAGATGTACAATTGGGAGGAATCCTACAATGGGATGATCACTTTTGGAGGGTTGTTCGGATCGACGACGGAATGCCAATAGGCAAAGAAGCCAGAAGCCGCAATTGCCCCCCAAGCCGTCCCGTCCGTCTCGCGCAAGAAAAAGGGGCGCTTAAAGGCTTTATATGATTGTCCGGTGTGTCGCCATGTATTATTTTATGCAAGACACATTACACGAATAGTACACGAAACAAACGCGATGATCTACGCCAGCCGCGACGGAAAACGGGAGAGGAGAGCACCAGTCAAGCCAGTCCCCAGCCATTTGGCTTTTTCTCGACGTCGGGCTGCAATCTTCATTGGCGCAGAGCGGTATAGTGACTGTGAGGCCATGCTGTGCTATGGTTGCACTGCTTCGTCCATCCCAGCACCCCTGGCTAGATACTGGGCTAGGGCTCTCCAGGCCTCGCCTAGCGAGCTCCCTGTGGCTCCGCGCCCCCGCAAATTCTGTCTCCTCCCGCTGCGTTTCAACTCATCCCACTGGCTGAGAGCGCAACTCCACGAAGCTTCTGCAGAAGGACGCATAAGGGCCATGCAGGCGGACTCGAGGACGGCCAACCAGCACGTGTGTCGCGCTCTATTTTGACCGTCGCGTTCCCAATTCGCTCGACGCTAGACTTGTTCCTCTGCATAGCCAACATGCAGAGGTGGATTCTCAGGCGCGACTCGCCAACCAAATCCAGCTTACCGCTCCCTCCTGAGATCTCGAGAGTGAGGCCGAGAGGGCGGATGGACGATCATCGCGACATATTGAGGGGGGAAACAAACT